CATCAAAGCAAAAGAACACTATTTGAAGAAACAATTGTGTCAACCAAATCATTTTGTTTTTCATTCAATGGAGTTTCTTTTAACAACTCCAAGCACCCTATACTTGACATTATTGGACATCTAAACTCGTGTGAAATATGGGCCATGAAACGACTACGAGCGTCTAATGCTGATTCCAACCTTTTTCTAGTGTCTTGCAATTTATCTACCTTGTGTTTCAAATAACCAGTCACATTAATAAAATAATAGGAGAACATCCAAACACAGCCAGTCATAACTGTATATTGCTCAATGATTCCAATGAATCGAGCAGAGTATCCATTCAAAATATACTCATGGTACGAATGGTAGCAAGCACACATAATGTAGAGAAAGCTTGTGTAAAATGTTGGGAATAGCCCATGAAAAGTTGAGTAAATGTACAACTTGTTAGCTCCAGCAAACCAAAGGAAAAGAACTGGAATAAACATCATGTTATGTTCGGGAAGGAATAGTATTCTGGTTGTGTAGAGAACCAAGGAAACAACCATTCTCTGCATTTCCTGCCCATCCAATCTTTTAAAAGTCTCCTCATAGGACATGGCCATATCAATATTCTTCCTATGATAGTTAGTATATAATTGAACAAGAAATAGGACAATACTCAAAATATTCTGATTAAAACTTAATGTTTTAAGGCTATTTAAAAAAGATAACACAAATAGAACTCCAATCAACAACTTGACATTCAATCGGTTTGCCAACATGTATAACATTGCCCTTTCCACACCATTCTTGCAATTAGCATTCAATTTAGATTCAATCTCTTTAACATCATCAGAAACTGATGAACTTTTCTTAATAGGAAAAGATAATGAAGGTAATGAAGGTGCTTTGATGAATGATGGTCTCGGTGTTGTTGTAGTTGATGATGAACTTGTTTCCGTTTGTTGTTTTTCAATATTGTTTGAATTATTTACATTATTATTAAAATTATTGGAGAATGGCACATCCTCTCCCAGTTCCAATCTCTTCCTAAACGAAGGTGATGAAATATTGAAAAGTGTTTTTGAAGATGTAGCTTTTGTGTTATCATTAATTTCAATATCATCACTGATAAATTCCTTCTCCGATAACATCATTCCTTCCTTCTTTTACTCGCTAAATAATCTTTTCCAGAGTTAATATCTTGCATGTTTGTTAGTGGCTTATTTTCAAACATTTTTTTGGAGCTTGAGTTTAGCACACGGGAAGTACCTTAACAATTTTGGGCGCAATACTTGTTACAGTAAAACAAGAGATAAATCGAACCCCTCAACATGATCTGAATAGTAGTAATTTTATTAGTGGATTATCATCATGATGGACTTAATTTTGAAAGACATAGACCATAACTTCACCAATAATACAACTGCTACGCCATTCTCACAAAAACTTCATAAAAAAATATTCAACATTCTTCTACTCAAGGAGGACATCATGATTTTCGGAGTGGTTTTACATCATGAAACCACCAAACTTTCACATCATCATCTCAACATGATCTATATAGTAATAATAATAGTAATTTTTATTGGTTCATTATCATCATGAAATTGGAATTTATTTTTCATGCTGGAAAATCCCAAGTTGGTGTTCCATCATCGGATCATTCACCAACCATCATCATTATTGTTTTCCATCAATATAATAATAGTATTTGTGGAAATTAATTTTTAGCAATGTAATTTTGGTGAAATGTCAAAATTTTCACTAAATTCATCATCACTGCTGGATCTACTGGACAAGTTGGAAAAGTGTCAATGTATTATTGTTCGGAATGGTCAATAGTAGGTAGGAGAGGTATTTATTATCAGATTTTCATCATGTTGTCAATTTACCAAGTTCCGATATTTCATGCTACAGAGTTGATTCATAGCCCAATTACAAATCAAACAACAATAAAACAACAATTCATAATGTTTATTATGTTGTTGAATGTATAATTTCGAGTCTTGTAGCATAATTTGTGAAAATCGTGGATATCTTATATTTTCATGTTTTTATTGTTTTTCACATGATGTGGATATTGACTTCTCACTAAAACATCACGAACAGCATGTCATTCATCCATTCTCTACCAGAGAATTATCTTTTCCTGTAATTTTCACAATTGGACATTTTGCATTTAATATTTGTGATACTTTACTATTATATTCAATGAATAAGGGATGAGAAACATTCTTTAGAAGAAGATAGATTCCCAGTGATATATTCTCTCTCTACACAATTTATTATTTCAATATCTGTTAAATTAATTGAGATAGAAGATATTTCATCAGCTCATATCAAAATAGCTGGAGTTGAACTACCTTGAAAAAGAAGTCTGGAAATTCCTGCTGGCTAGACATCTTTCTCCAATGATTTTAAAACCTTAAAAATCTTGTTTTTTCTTTAGATTTCATTTCTTTCACCTAAAATCTAACGATTGACCTTATTTCCTTAAACATAAGAATAAATTCATTTTATAGAATCATTATTAATTGAGAACAAATCTGTTCTTAAATTGGTTCCTTACTGAATTCCACTATTAAGGTAGTACTATAATTTCATTGAGTAAGCTATTAGACCTTTTTGAAAAAATGCAACAACTCAAAATGAGGGGAAATTTATTTTCCTTTATTGTGCTGCTCTTGCTGGCATCTACCCTTAGTATGACGATGATGGTCGCTGAGGGTAAAATTGTTCAGGTACAAGTCTTGTCGAGACATTGTGATCGATCTCCAGTGACTATTTATCAAGTTCCGACAGATCCGTGGGACTGGCAAACAGATTTGGCCAAGTATTCGTATACAGCAGGATTTGATGCATCGGGTCCTATTGAATTTGGTGAGGGACAACTCACTGGATTGGGTCTTCAACAATGTAATATTGTTGGACAACATTTTAATGCAAGATATTTATCGAGAGTTATTAATGAGACTGGAGGTTTGTTTGCATGATTATTATTAATCATCAATTATCATTACATATTGATATTGAAAAATAGCACCAAATCCAAATGTCATTGCCGATTTAATTTATCCAGAAAATAGTGATGTGAAAACGACAGCTCATTGGAATCCAAGAGATTTTAGATTTTATGCTACCGATTATGATAGAACTCTCTTTTCAGTTTTTAGTATTTCACAAGCAATGTTCCCTGCTGGAAATGGACCAGTTGCTGATATTTCAATTACTGGACAAGCGAGAGCTCTTCCAAATCAAATGCAACCAATTCCAATTAATACTAAGGAAAATGTCAATGAAATTTGGATGAGTGCTTATGGAAAGTGTCCAACTATTGATTTGAATAATGAAAATTATCAACAAAGTTCAGAATTTTTCAAGATTCTTGACAAGTACAAGCCAACCTTGGCTTTCATTTCCAATGTTACTGAAATTCCGTTTGATAATAGTCTCAAGGAAGGATCAGGCAATCATGTTATGAACATGATCAATTCATTCATCAGTCCATATGAAAATCAAAAGCAAATTCCTTTCTACAAATTACTTTCCGATAGAAAATTTGCTGATGAATACTTTAGAGCATTGAGGAGTGAAGCTGGATTCAAGTATCCTGCTTGGAAGACTATTGATTTTGCCAACTTTTATATGGTCTATGATCTTTTAAATGTTCAATACTCCCACAAGCAATTGAAATTGCAAGAACTTGTCAAGATTTGGGATATGATCCAAGAATTGGGAGACGTCGCAACATTTATGGTATTCAATAGAAAAGTTCAAGGTAAACTTGGAGGTGGACCACTTGTTCAAAACATGATTGTCGAAATGAACAAGATGATTGATAAATTGACTGGATTATCAACCCCAAAGCCACCAAATAATTATGGAGCTGATCTGGGAGCCAGTAAGACAATACCATACAAGTATATTCATTACAGTGCTCACGATGTGAGTATTCTCTCACTCATGGCTGCCTTAAAGTTGTCAGATGATTATGTTGAGCTTCAAAAAAATCCTCCATATGGATCTCAAATTTTAGTTGAATTGCACCTAAGTGATTCAGTTCCCCAAGGACAAAAACCAACCATTAACGATTTTTACATCAAGATTGTTTACAATAGAGGATATAGTGATAACAGATTCGCTGAATATACTTTGAAATCTTTGGGTGGAAAGGGATGTCAACCAGGAAAGGACACCGACTTTAATTGCACATTCACTAGCTTTAAATCGATTTGTGAAAGAGATGCCATTCCTGTAAATTGGTGCAGGGAATGCAAGAATTATGAAGCTGATATTTGCATTAGGGACAATTACAATGAGCAAAGAAGTTTGACAACAATCTTTTGGATCTTGTTGGCAATTCTTTTGGGTGTCTTGTTATTAACATGTTCTCTCTTCTGCGTGATGGCAGTAAGCAGATCAAGATTATCCAGATTGATTAGAGGTGTTGCCACTACTGAGACAAAGGAATCAGAACCATTATATCAAACTGTAAATTAAATGATTTTCAACAGCATTATTCTTTTGTTTGACCATCTTTTCCAATCTTGTATTGTAGTGGCATGTGCCTGTTTTTATTTCATCATCAATCCAGGGAGTAATAAGTAAATATTTATTGCATGGTTGTTATCTGATAATTCACTTTTTTGCAATAGTTTCTAATACGAGTCAGCACTTCTCCAAAACCATCACCTCCACACACATGCTTATAATACTCCAAAATGTTCAATAAATTACTGACAGCAACATCATTGGGAGATTTTTCAAGGTACGAATTAATCAATGCCAAATTACTATCCAATTCTGGAATTATTTTCTCTTGTGGAATCTCCTTAAATATCGAGAATACACCATTCAAACTTTCAAGTTCCTTATTCGAATTCAAATTATCGAGCTCATAAAGCCATTCATCTTGGGCAACAGCTTTTTCCTTGACCAATTCATAAACATTTGCAATGTTACTTGTCTGTGAAGAATGAATGGAACCTTCCAATAATATTCTATCTACTGGTTTTGTAATAAACTTCTGCTTGGTATTGTTGAATGTCTCTTCATCGAGGAGAATTCTAACTCCAAGTGAGCTTGCCAAAATAGCCAAATTCATTGCAATCTTTCTAGAATTTGATATGAAAGAGAAGAATCTGAACGAATTAGATCCAATATTTCCAACATGTGAATTATCACTTGTTGAAATTCCAATAAAGAAATCCAAACCATTTAAATCATTTTCTTTCAGTAAATTGTTAGTGGAATGAATGATATTAGTAATTTTGAGAGCACATTCAAGTGCAATTTCTGATGGATGTTTCTTATTTGATTTCTGATCGATTACAATAATGATATCTTCAGAAGAGTTGATTTGAAAGTGAGCTTGATGAATATTGGCAATGTTTCTAATCATGGTCGAAACCTTAGACAGAGTGACTGAAATATCCGAATGTGTTGTTTGTAATTCAAACTTATTGAATGTGATATGAAGAATGGCACAGGTTTTCCTTGACAATCCCATTTTAAATAATGAATTGGCATCCTTATTGAGTGAAAGTGAAGAGCTTTTCGTTTTGGAATCTAGTGAAGAGGAGCCACGCACATCTATATTCTTTGAATCACCATTCTTATCATGAATTGTTTGCTTATTCGAATCTTGAGCTTTTTCATTATCTTCAGCAAGGTTTTCATCATTTTGGCTCTGAATGTGATAAAACACAGTGGCTGGAATAAATGGCTTTACCTGTTTCAACCACAATACTGTCGTGTGTAAATTATCTATAATCTGATTCATTTCTTTGAAGATACTGGACGAAAGTGTAACCTTCTCCAAATCAAACACCTTCACAAACATTAATTGCTCCTCTAAATAGTTAACAGTTCGAGTAATCATTTTGCTCAATATCAAACTATATACCATTCCAATAATTATTATAAGAATCGAGACACCAATTGAAATTCCAATACTCAAATTAGTTGTCAAGCTCACATCTTCATCGTATGCAATAATAAACATTCTCCACACATTATCAAACTTGTAATTAGAAACTGATACAATATACTTGGTATCAATACTGTAAATTGAAAATTTAGAAGGAATATTATCTAATCCTCTAAAATTGATTGAAATGTCATTCATGAGTTGACCAGCATTATTTTGTGTCAAATTGAAAATACTCAAATTGTTACTCCCATCATCGGTGGTGGTCTTGATACTTCCAGCAACTGCAATTGTGCTATTCAATTCTGTCAAAATGACATATCCTTTTTGAAAAACTTTGACACCACTCAAATATTCTGACAACAAGTACAATGGAATGGTAGCTCTACAAATTCCAATCAAGCTTTTAACTGGATACATTGTGGAATAAAGTTTGGTAGCATATGGCAAACTAATGGCTCCTCCAACCACATAAAACGGTTTTCCAAAAACGCCCTCAACTCCCAAACTATTCGATTCTGAAATGGCTGAAGTATAAAACTCTGTCGTTTCCAAATTTTGAGGAGCAGACGAAACTGTAAAATTATACTTGATTACTTGTGCAGTTGAGATATTAACTCGATCTCTAATCAGTCCTGGAAATCCATTATCCTGATAGGTATACAAGAAATTTCCATTTATAATCACATAGGAAAATCTCTCAGAATGATTATTCACCTGTAAAAAGTAGCCAACAAAAACTCCTGAATTATTGAATCCTTGATAGAGATATTGTCTGTAATCTTTCTTGGCAACGAGTCCATTGTTATAGTGGCCAGCAGCTAGTTTGCTTGACATTTTCAACTCTCCTAGAAATCTGTCAATGTAATTGGTGACTTGTCCTTGAACTGTTTGGATCATCTTGTTGGTCAATTCGTCCACTGATGAATACATGCCAACAAATACTGCTAAATAAACAGTTATGGCACAGACAATGATAAGTATACTCAATGTTGTCATGAGAAATAAACGGAGGGGACAATTAATGGTTCGTTTTGGTTGAGTTTTTGATTGAATCAATTGAGCATTTTCTTCTTCTTCTTCTTCTTGGAAAATATCTGAAACTGAATCATTGGCTCCATAGTTTTGTCTCTTATCAGTTGTTGTAGTAGTAACAGGAGTGACTTTTGTCATTTTTTTCTTGTAGAAACATCACCAGCTACTATTCATTGATTTTTCCTTCAACTACAATTTGCTCTCAATAGATTTCAACATCAAAACCCATTTCGAAAAAAATACCTTGGATAAATAGCGTTTAAAGATGTCTAAAATTGAAGTAGTGCTTAATGTTTTTGATGGGTGCATCACTAAGAGGGTTAAAAGCAGTGAAATAGCTAGAAATAGCAACCATCATTACAAATTATTGTTTTTTCATAGTATTAAATGACATGATGCAATACTGTAGTTTAGAGAAACCATGACATTACTTTTTTCACCTCAGCACCAATCATTTTTCCATCTAATCAATCTATCAAACATTAGCATCATGTGTGTAATTCTGTCTATCTAATTTCAAATGCATTGTCAAATAGCTTTCCAAATATCCACAGCCCCTGAGCAATAGCAAAATCTTCCACCAAACTTGTAGATTGTCTCTAAAATCAAATCCTTGTGCATGTAACTGTTCATCATTATATTCAATAGTAGCCAAACCAAATTTTAAATCCTTCACTCCATGAACAATTTTAAAATTAGGATAAATTGTAGCATCCTAGTAGAGCTAATTCACCATTTGAAATAACGCCAACCCAAATATATTGGCTGAAGGAGATCCATCTAATAAATGATCAAATTTGACCAAGGAGAAACTTCCTGATGCCATCACCACGGATGATCCCAGCTTGATCTGGAACTTAGCAATATCAATGAGGTGATTGTCAAGGCACTCTCGGTACTAACATCCAACCACGGGTTGATTCAAAAGAAGTAATTTGAATCAACCAGTTCGAAGCTTATTGAAATAATTCAATTAAGGGAGAAGGAAATCTGTACCTCTCCAGAGAAATGATTGAAAAAAACAAGAAGATAAAATAGAATTCTTTAATGTGTTTTGTTTTTTTTGTACATTACTTATCCAACAAACTCAATCTGAGAACCATTTGAAGTTCCTCATCATTTTCTTCAAAAGTGACAGAACTATTACTGATTGTCTGATTTGTATTTGCCGAATGATTTGGAAGAGTTGAGAGTGGTGATGAAATGATTGGTGAGATGGAAATTGATTGTTGAGTTGTTGTGGTGTTAATTCCTACACTGATATTATTACTGATATTATTACTAGTATTTGTATGATTAATAGGAATATTAAAATCCAAAATCACAGACTCATGGTGAGTGGTTCCTTGTTCCAACAGTGAGAGACGAATGGCCTCATTCAACATTTCGTCATCAGCCGACACGTTAGTGACATCAATGGAATTTGGAATGAAATCAGAAAAGGTTGGCAATCCTTCAATGTGGTCATTGGCTGGTGTTGAAGAGATATTGTTTGTTGTTGGAGTGACAGTAGAAGAACTCATTGCAGCATTGTTATTAGTAGCTCTATTTGGTGTACCAACTCTAGTATTGTTGTTAGTGTTATTATAAATTGGACCAGCAGGTCTTCTGATTGGCGAACGATTACCTGCCAAATAGTAACCCAAATAGTCGTGTTCATCCTCTTCTTCATCCTCATCAGCAGTATCATCCTCTATGAAGAATCGATTCTGAAGACGAGAGATGAGAGCATGTTGCAATGTTCTTGTTGGTGATGAAGGAGCTCTGTCTGTTCCGAAAATATATCTAAAGTAAGAATCATCATTGTCTTGATTTTGTGTGGAATAGGTAGAGGAGGTAGGTGTGGTAGAATTGTTAGTAGTGGTGGTTAAACTTTCTTCAGTTTGTTGTTGTTGTTGTTGATGTTGATGTTCATTCATACGTCTATTGGCAAAGTATGTCTCCAGGAATGAAATACCAGAAGCAGGATTGACCAAATTGGTGGAAGGAGTAGAAATGGTTGGTGAAGAAAAGCTATTATTATTAGACAAGGTGTTAGTGGTAGTGGTGGTTGTAGTACTTGTGAAACTGGTATTAGTATTGTTGTTTCTTGTTAAATTACTCAGTATGGAAGCATCTTGTTGAGAGTTATTGAGAGAGTTGGAAGATTCTAAACGTTTCTTTCTTTCCTCTTCCTGTTGCTTGTCTTCCTCTTGTTGATGTTTAATTTTCAATTGAATGACAGCTTGTTCTTCTTCTAATTCTCTACAACGTTGAGACCATGGCTTTGGTCCCTTGTAGTCAATCTTGAAAGGACAAGATTTACAGAAGGGACAAACTGAGCTAGTCTCTGCATGCTTTGGTCCTTGTTTACATATTTGAATAACACACTCTGAACAAATTCGTTGGGAACAACATTTGGCAACGTTCATTCCTCCCTGATAGTACATCATACAGATAGGACACTCATCGTAAAATTCATCGAGAGGTCTTGGTGCTTGTGGTTCAGCAGAGGAAGTTTGTTCAACAGCTGTTGAATGATTGTTATTTTCATTGTTATTATTATTTACATGAAGAATGGTATGGAATCGGGAGAGAATGGATGATTTACGATCAGGAGTTGATGAATTTGTTGATCGTTTTCTCCCACGGTTTTGTTCTTGTGAAGTTGTGGTGGTAGTTGAGTTATTGTTAGTATGATGATGAGAATGATTGGCAGTAGTAGTAATTATTGTATTGTTGTTGGTATTAGTTGTAGGAATTGGTGGTACTTCAGAAACAGGTGGATAGAATGGAGCAAGTCGACCATCAATGACCAACTTTTTCAATGTGGCCACATCCCAAGCACCAGTATCAGAATAGATGTGATAGGTAGGTTCACAAAGAATGGCAGGTATCTTATTGTTGGACTTTGTATTTCCCATATTGAAAATCTTCTCTTGTACTGGTTGAGTATTATTATTGTTGTTGTAGGATCACACCAAGAGAATGAGAGGAGGATCGATTAGTATGTTTGTAAATTGGTATGGTGGTTGGTTTGTTGTCAGAGAGAGGACAAACAGAGGTTTTAATGTCTTTTTCTCTGAGAATTTGATAATATAAATTAGAGTTGAATTAGCAATTGTTAATTGTGTACAATGAGAGAGATCCTCACAAACTCAAAGCAGCACAACAAGGGATTTTTGGGAGGTTAATTGATTGATGCCTCTGACTATCTTTCGGCCTCGGTGCGTAGTTATTAAAGTGCTTCCTGATGATGCCGAATATTAATAAATAAATAATTGTATGATGTAGTGGTTATTTGTTTTAGATTGAATGTGAGGATTTTGTACAAAATCTCTCTGTTGTTGCGATGGTGGCTTTTCTTCCAAAATGAGCCACAACGCCACAAGAGTATTTTTCGTTATTTTTTTAAAATATGGAAAGTTTGACCGAATTATTTTAATTTTAGAGTTCAACTTGACCTTGTTTGGTCAACATACAAAATCATGGGGAAGAGACATTAAGGAACTGAAATTGGTTTTGTAAAATAATTGTGTTGTATTCAATACCATGTTAAAGAAGAATACCTTGAAAGTTGAGTAACCTTGTCCTTATTCACTTAATATCACGAGTCATTATAAAATAGGAACAAGATAAAGTATTATTTCTTTATTACAGGACATACATTTGGGTTAACCTTGTTCCATGGCATTTTGAGTAAGACTGCACCCATAGCACACGTATTGGTAATGGAGGCAAACATTAGACCACAACCAACAAATCCAGGCACTGCCAAAAAGTATGGATTTCCACTAGCGAGGAAACCAGCAACACCAGCTGCAACGAACATACCAGCTGTGAATCTGACTTGTCTTTCCAATGACCAGACTTGAGAAGCATTGGTGTCTCTCTTGGCAACAATTGGATCATTGGAGGTGGCCTTATTTTTGATATCATTGAAACCTCCCTTAATGCAATAGACATCTTTGAATCCACTGTTATCCAACATTTCAGCAGCACGTTTAGCTCTCAAACCAGATTGACAAACGACATAAACTGGCTTGGAAGTATCTAGAAGGGAAATATTGGAAGAAAGAGTTTGGACTGGTAAATTGAAACCAATATTGAATTTGTGTTCAGCTGTTTCAAATTCTTGTTGAGTTCTGACATCGACAACTTGAACATGCTTGGCAGAGGCACCTTCCAATGATTCACGAATATCCAAAAATTCAACTTCCTTAAAGGCACACAATGATCGGGTCGAAAAGTTTCTCAAAGTTGAACAAGTGAGGGAGGTGAGCAATTTCTTGTTTGAGGAAGAGCTAATTTGTTTCATCATCTTTTTGACTTTATGTTTAAATATTTACTAGAGTTGTTGAGGTATTTGTTTTAATATTGGAAAACAGCTCAAATCCTGGCTCGGGTGAAATTTATTGGTTTTAATGATGATCATCGAGAAATTAATAGACAAAGGCGAATCTTGATGGCGGCGAAATTATTGTTGGCTGTTTTAGGACTGCAGCCGACAAGAGAAAGGAGGTTATTTTTATCCAACAATTTCAAGGTTCAATTTTATTGAATATTTACAAAAAAATATTAGTATTTAAAAACTAAAATTAAGTAGTATTCATCCAATTAGGTTTTAAACAAGTATGATCACTGAATATTGTCATTTCTGATTGATTTTTTATTAAGGTAAATTTATTTGTTTGCCACCAATTTCTTAGATTTTGCACAAAAGATATTGATGGGCAACTAACAAAAACTATGGAGAAACATATCTATAAATGGCAATATTAACCATTGAAATCTAAATTTTCAACAGGAATGGAAATGAATGGTTGCTGAACATTCCCACAGTACACACAATAGTACTGGATTTTTATAAGAGATTAGCACCTGACTTTAATAACTGCCATTGATCAAGAATCAATTAAGCGGGAAGATATATCAGTTGCTGTTTGGAAGAAAGGGTCCAAGGATGAAACATTGTACACTCTCAGCTTAACAAATGGAGGATCTTCCACAACTGTTTCGATGGAATTCTTTTCTAAATAAGTATACAGCCTAAGTACTCCATTCCAATATATAATTTGGAATTGATAAATCAAAGTACTATTTCAGAACCAACTGACAATTTTAGGTCATTGTCGGAATCTATTAAGGAAGCTTAATAATATAAACAAATTGTTTTTACTGAGTTTTTATTGAACATTAAGAAGAACATGTTTCCAAATGGTCTCTTGATGGGAGAGACAAACCTTGAATTTGCCAGGGATGTATTCTTCGCTCTTTATTAAGGCATTGGCTCCCAGGTTCACTTGCAATCAAGCAACAACAAAATAAAATAGAGCAACAACAACCACCACCATTACACCTCATCTCTTCAAAGGTGAATCCTTACCAAACTCGACTCTAAATATACAGAAGAAGGTAATCCTCTTTGTATACACTTTTCAATAGTTTGATATTGCTTAATATTGGTGTACAAACGCTTAATATTCTACCATCATTCTCATCATCCATTATTATATATTCCACCCCTTCATATAATACCCTTCCTAAATATATAATTGTTAATAACCTTCATCATTTCTCTATTTATTAACAATATCCAAACAGCATTGTATTAATCCAACAACAACTAATAACCTTAAATAATATATTTAACAACAACAAGATGGGAATTTCTGCTTCATCATCCCATTGTGAATGTCAAGCAAAGAATCCTCTCTGTGAATTCAACTCACTCGACTCGGAAGAGATGAAAATCCTGATTCCAAAGAGTAATTCATTTGATGAGTGTGATAACACTATTTATCCACTGACTAATACTCAGCAAGACCAATTTGATTGTTATAAACTTACACAACGAAGAAGAACCATATCTACAACCAATCCTACCATTACAACTCCAATAACCGCTCCTGAAATTTCTATTTGTAAAACATGTCACAAGAGAAAGATAAATTCATCATCTCCTCCACCAATTCAAACACCGCCTCATCATCATTTCGAGGAAGTTAGTTCCCCAAAATCAAGTAAAACCCCTAAGAAGCTCACATTTTCCATTCCCAATCCTGTCAAGATTTTCAATAGTGCCTTAAACTCTGATTGTAATTCATCACCTACTTCTGTGACTGGAAATTCAAGATTATTCACAACACCAAGTAAGAGAGATCCACCACCTCAAAATCCTACGTTGGGTGTGGCTAGGAATAGAACAAGACGTGGTTCAACACCAGGTCGTGAAGAAAGTGTCACCGATTTGGAAAAACTCAAACAAGACACAAGAAGTAGATCAAGATCATCACCGCAACCTAACAAGAATATGACAGGAGCAAATCCTACTTGTAAATCTCTTGATAGCAAGGAATATGTTTCAAGGGTGAATAGAGTTAGAACCAATGGTTCTCATTCGGATAGTGACGAGGAAAAATCAAATCTTCCTCCACTCAAAAACTCCCCAAAGAAGATGATCAATGAAGAGGACGGTGTTGTAGTGATTGGTTTTACCAATACTAATGGTTCTTCAACAATTAGTAATGCAACAACTGTAACAATAACAACTGCAAATAATAGTGAAAATATTAACAGCTCACCAACAAATGCCAGCAATGAAAAGGAAATTGACTTTGCCATAAGTGTTCCACATTACAAACAACCATTGGCCAAAATTACAATACCAAAATCCACATCTCACAGCTGTCCAATGAATGCTGTCCCGACGACAATTAAGGAAACAAATAAGGATCTCAAGGAAGTCCATGGAAACTGCAGAGCAATCTCTCCACTCGACGTGTTCAGAACTATAAATAACAGTTCTCGAAGTGATCTCATCCTTAAAAAGAAGAATAGACCAGCCATTGTCCCTGAAGAACAAGATAAGGATATTGATGTTTTGATAACTGCCAACAAGTCAATACAACCACGCCCTCGTGGAGGGAAACAATTCAATCTCTTCAAATTCAAATCAGATGTTCCACATGGAAATGAAAAGGTCCTGACACAAATCAAGTATCACCAATCGACACCAAAACTTGATTCTCCAGAATCAACCAAGATTGTTGTCGATTTGAATGGAGCTGCACCTAATGTAGGTGGTAAAAAGTTACCAATCTATGTCATTCCACCAACTTCTCCATCAAAAATCTCTCAAAATCAAAGATCCAAAGGTGTTACCCTCACCGAAGAAAAGAAGAGAAAGCTCGGAAGTTCCAGAAGAGCTTCAACAACAAAGAAAAAAACAAGTAAAAAAATGTTTTCTTGGTAAAATGATTATTTAGCATCATCTTTTTCAATTTCTATGTAATTAATTCATCATCTAATGATGAGGAAGAAAGAAGGCAAATTCCGAAGGGCTTTGAAAAAACACGTGTTTTGGAATTTTGGAATGGTCAAGTTGAAAAAAAATTACTTTCATCAAATTTTTATAAAATTATTCCGATAACGAGATGTACTCGAGGAAGTTGTTTGTTGTGGCTGCCTTGATGGTGGCCTTTGCTGCTGTTGCTGTGATGGCATCATCATCCTCTTCACCAGAGGTTGTTGATTTGACTGATATGAATTTTGATAGATTGGTCACTAATAGTGATGCTCCTTGGATTGTTGCCTTTGTTGCTCCTTGGTGTGGACATTGTCAAAGACTTCATCCAGGTAGGTTATTCCTTTCTTTTCTTCCTCTTATATTATCATCCAACAATCTTTCACAATCTTGCACACAATCTTTGGAATTTTAAAATTGTGTGTGGAAATTATCATCCTTGTTAAATTCAATGGTTTAAAACAACAGAATATGATAAGGCTGCTAAATCACTTGGAGGTGTTGTAAATATTGGACGTATTAATTGTGATAATGAAAAGGGATTGGCCCAAAGATTCGGAATTCGTGGCTTCCCAACTATTAAAATCTTCCCTGCCTATAAATCATCCAAGGCCAAGCCAGAAGATTATCAAGGAGCTAGAGAATCATCAAGTATTGTCAGTGCTGCTCTCTCCTTGTTGAATGCAGTTAAGGATCCAGTTAAAAAGATTGATGAAGATTTGGATTCATGGATTCTCGATGAAAATTCATCTCAAAATGCTAAAGTTGTCTTGTTCAGCAGTAAGACTGCAAATCCTAATTTATTCAAATCAATTGCTGTTGAATTTACAAGCAGAAAGGTTGATTTTGCCTTTGTTGGAGGTGATAAATTAATTGAAAAGTTTGGCATTGAAAAGACACCAGCATTGCTTGTCTTTAAGAATGGTCAATCATTGGAAGATTATGTTAAATATGATGGTCAATTGAAGAAGGGTTCTATGGTTCAATTTGTTGAAGCAAACATTCCAAAGGGTGACCGTTCTGCTCCAGTTCCTGTTCCAAGAAAAAAGAAGGCAGCTCCAATCACCATTGTTGAAGATAAGGAAACTTTGAATAAGAAGTGTGAAAGAATGTGTGTTATTGGCTTTGTTGATTCTCAAACTGAATCACAACTCAAGCAACTTGCTGAAAAGTATCCAGAAAATACCATTCTCCAAGTCAACTCTGGTTCTGATGTTGATACTTCATTGAGAGGACTCTTCTCAATTGATTCTCAAGAAGGATGGCAAATTGTCGTCTATAGAGCAAGCAAGAAGAAGTTTGCCCTCAAACAATCCATTACTGAACTCTCTGAAGCTTCTCTCCTTTTGGATAGAGTCATTGGTGGTGATCAAGCTTTCAAATCTCTCAAAGATGAATTGTAAAATATAAATATATTCCTTAATCAGCATCTTATTTCAATATTTAAGAGTTCGAGAATCATCAAAGTATTCCAAAATAATTTTGGCGGCAAATTTCACTAAGAAATTACAGAAAAAAAATGGAACTACGTGATGAAGGCGCCACCACACCAATGGAAGTAAATGAAAAGTATTCGGGGTGAGTTTAATACAATCTATATTCAAGTAGATACGAATGAAAAATTTATTCAACTATTGGATAATAACAATATTTGGAACTTTTGTGAAATGTTTATTCTTTTCTCCGAATATTTGTGATGCTGGTTTCCATTAATGAACTTGGATGACATTCAACTTTCAATGATTCTGATGATTCAAATTCAAAAAAATGAATAGAAAGCTGAGGTTGGGTATTATACTCTTCATCTTGGCGTTATTCTTGTTGGCATGCTTTGCTGTTTGTTTGGTAATAATTATTGTGCCTTCAGTGATATTTGGCAGACAAAATATCAATATCTATCCAGATCCAGTGTATACAGCTTCGGATGATTATTTACATTTTCTAGTAGTTGGGGATCAGGGAAGAGCCAATGCTGACCAAGTGAGTGTGGCAAAGAGTATGGGAGACTACTGTGACCGAGTGAAGAAGTGTTCATTTGTTATTGGAGTGGGGGATAATATTTATGATTATGGAGTTGGAAGTGCCACTGATGAACAGTTTGCAACTAAATTTGAAAATATCTATTCTCAATATAATGGAACAAAGAATTTACCTTGGAAATTAATGCTGGGAAATCATGATTATAGAAATAATCCAAATGCTCAAATTCAATACAAGAGCTCACTATGGGATTTGCCAGCATATTATTACATATTTAACAAGACATCAACTTTGGGAGGATTTAATGTATCATTCGTTGTGACTGATACAAATACATTTCAACCAGATTCACTCATGAATCAACAATATGTAAAGGAACAATCAGCATTTAAGCAAGATCAATTGAATATGATTGAGAGCGTGTTGAAGGAAAATTATGGAAAGACAAATACTTGGAGTATAGTTTTAGGACATCATCCTGTTTATTCAGCCGGAATACACGGAGATACTACCACTCTCATTGAGAATTATTTGCCTCTCTTTAAAAAGTACAAGCTTCCACTCTATCTTTCAGGACATGACCACTTTTTGAATTGGCTTAAGGATCCAAATGAAGTTACAAACTATGTCATCTCTGGAGGAGGAGCTGGGAATACTAGACCAACAGTTTACAACAAGTATTCGAGTAATGTTTACAATGACTCTGGATTCTTTGCTGTGGAAATTCAAAAATCATTCATTTACATGATTGCAATGGATAAGAATGGCAAGGAATTGTACAAGATTAAAATTGACAAGCCATAATAAAACAACTATTGAAACTTTCTCATAAATGATCTGCACCGAATATACATTTTTTGAAGCAAGATTTGGGAAGAAAGTAAACAAAGTTTATTGCTTCTTGCCTGCCAAACCAAAAGTAAAGATCTTTTTAAGATTTTCCTTAACTTCTTCATTTGATTTACCAGGATTACCACTTCCAATACCTTGCCAATTGGTCGAGTTGTTTGAAGGATTATTGTTGGCTGTTGTAGAGGCTGTTGATGTGGCATTGTTTGGAGAATTATTTTCCTTGGATCCTAAAATACTGGCAGTGGAAGAGGCAAGAGAACTCATGGCTCCACTTCCTCCTTCCATGTTTGGTTTCATCTTGTCAATGAGTGCAGAGAATGAAATAAGAGTTGAGCCCTTTGTTTGTTCCTTGGCATGTTGTTGGACAATGGCTTCCAATTCTTCTTTCATTTGTGAAACAAATGATGCTACAGAAGAGTCAGTAATGAGTTCACAATCATTCGACAAGAGTTTCAATCCTTCAATAATGTCAGAAATAATTTCATCGGTCATAATACATCCATTAAGAGCACGATAATTGTCCAATAATAAATTGGCAGTATCTCTACGATCTCTCAAATCACTATTTTGGTTATTTTGTTTACCTAGCCAGACTAATTTCTTAATCATGAAACTATCACGGAAGTATGGATCAACTTGAGGAATAATTTCTGAAAAAACGTTCAACACTTCCTTGAACATACTTCTATCTCTAGAATCTAAAAGCATGTCAAATTGAGTGGAGAGCTTGTTAAAATCTGCTACTTCACTCAAACTACATGCCAAAATTCCCAAACCTCTAACAGCCTTCATCTTAATGTCAGATTCCATATCAGAGGCAACTGTAATGAGTGCAGGCAAGATTTGAGCTGCCAAAATTTCAGATTCCAATGGTTCAATTAATTCAGTTAAAATATCAGCAACTGATGAACGAACAACCTTGGAAGGATTAACAGCAAGTTTGCATACAACAGTAAGAATGTCATTTCTCAGCTTTTCATTCATGGTTACACCGCTAATAAGGGCATTGTACAAGAATGGCATATGTGAGCTTTCCCATGTTCTCTCTGAGATGGATACATTGATAATGAGTGTTCTCAGTACTTCAGAAATTCTTTCCTTAGGACTGAATGGTAATACACCACAAATATACACTGGTAAGAGTCTTTCCTTTACAATAGTTACACTGGTTCTTTCAGTGTCCTTTTCCTTCTTTACAACTTCAATAGTTCCGTCAATGATGGTGTCTGAGCTTGTTTCCAAGAGGGAAACAATCTTTTGTTCGAAAATCTTTGAAATAACAGGTTCTCCAAATGCTTCACATAATCCATTGAAAATTGTGTAAATTTCTTTAGAAATCTTTAAATATTGTTGATATTAACAATTAAAATCCATATACTTACATTGGTATGTTCAATGTTTACAGAGGCAGCAACAGATAAGAGTCTTCTGGTGCAAACATTGAGTAACCAGTAAAGACCCTTCCAAGATGCAGACTTGGTCTTTTCCAAATCCGAAAGAGAAGTTTCTCCAATATACTTATCCATAATCTTTTTCATGGATTGTTCATCCTTGGTATTTTCAGAGTTGTGAATTTCTGCTGGCATTGTCTTGGTCATTAATTTGAGAATGTATGGTATGACACCACTGAAACATCTCAAAAGGACAACAATCTTGGAGCTACTGGCATTTGATCCACTCTTGAGTCTCTTCTTAATCAAATTCTCAATGTTACTCAACAGGGTTGGAGCAAACTTTTCAAATAAATAATCAAAGGTAAAGCACCATGTTATGAGAGATGGTACAAGTTGTGTTGTTGCAGCATCTTCAACAGCTTCTGACTTATCGTACAGGAATTTGAGTGTCATTTCTTCGATTTGGAAATATTTACTCTTACTTTCAACATCTTCTTCCTCTGTGAAAGTCTTGACTAATTTGGCCAAGTTGATAACAACTGAAGCTCTCACTTCATCAGTTTTATCTTCCATGAGTTTGAAGAGAGTTGTCAAGAGCATTGTTGGTCTCAGAGAGGCCTTTACGTAGTGAGATAATTCACCACAGGCCTCAGCAACCAGTATTTTTCTTTCAGTATACTTGTGAGTAATTTGTTTCCAACATTGAGGGAGAAGTTCCTTTTCAAATCTATCTGGAGAAATACGTCTAGCTAAACTAATACATCCATTAATGATCATTTGACGTTGTTGATCATCAGGTTTCTTGATGAGATTGAATAGAGATTCGGAGAGTGTTTCTCTCACTTCGGCATCTGGGTGTGATTGGAGGGTTGCAACAAGAATTGGCATGAATTCTTGTCTCTTGTTTGATTTGGCTGTTTCCAAAAGAGCAGGGAGTTTTTCACCCAAAATTTGAATAATACTCGATTCTTGATTTTCAAATTCTCTAAGTTTGGCTTGAAGTACCATAACATCTTGTGAAACAACTGAGTTAGATTCATCAGTGCTTGAATTTAGTGGTGTTTCATCTGAAGTAGTTGCTGATGTTGCATTAGATTCAAGTTGAGACTTGAGCTTTTCTATTGCTTTATCTTGACGTTGAATTGACTTTTCCAAAGATTGAATCAATTTATCCTTTTGTTCCAATTGAGCAAGAGCTTCTCTGAGTGCCTTTGTGTCCTTCATATTTTGTTTGGTCTTATCACCTCCACTATAATAGTGTCTATACAGATATGACAAACCTATTGGCAATTCATTTTCATCACTATTTGATAAAACTTCATCTAAATTGAACATGTCCATTTCGTGTACTTCATCAGTGAAACTAATAGCACTGATTTTATATCCTTGTTTAACCAAGTAATCTTTAACAAGATAATTTACAACTTGCTTTTCGTGTACTGTTAATGGTTCGGAGGCCATCTTGTGATCTACATTTGGTGTTGTAGGTTCATCATTTCCTTCGGCATTTTCATCTTCATTACCTTCAGTGTTTTCATTTGCTTTAGCTGTTTTGTTTACTGTTGGTATAACAAAACTTTCCTTTGCTTGACCTTTTAATTTGGCAATATCTGATTGGAGAAGTCTAATTTCGTATTCCATCATTGAAATGGTTTCATCCTTCTTTTTTAATTGTTCTTCGAGAGCTTTTGTATGTTGTGAATCGACTTGAATCATCATACCATTGCTGTTGGATGATGATGCTTGTTCATTCTTATATTCCTTGTTTTCAAAGTAATCTCTCAAAAGTTTTAATTCTTGTCCTTCTTCCAAAAGTTCTTGATAGAATTCCAATGCAGTGAGCATGAAATTATTCTTGATTAAATAGTTGGCTACGTAATCATTCATCTTTCCGATTAAAATGTAAATAAATTACTATCTATTCTACTACTAGTATAATTGGTATCCAAAGATTGTTTCTTTCAGATCCAAAATTGTTGTTGTTGTTCTTATAATGTTGTATTCTTCTATAAGCCTCTGCAATTTACTAAATATACTATTGCTGTTGCTATTGTTTGTCGGTGTATTGTGGCCACAATCAAAAAAGAAGATTTTCCAACAACAAAGAGAAATTATTGATGATGTGTTCGATCAATTTTTTTTAATAAATTTTTTTAAAAATTGAAAAATGCGACATCGAACTGCTATTTGGAAGCGTTACCAAAAAAAGTGCGCCAATAACAACATCTTCTTTAATGGCTTCTAAAACATTCCAAGAAAAATTTAATATCAAATACAATAAACTTTGTAAATAGGATGAGATTTTTTCTTTGAGATTTAATCATTCCGCTCAAAATTGTTGCAATATTTGTTCAACAAAAAAATTTCCGTTTCAAAAATATGAAAATTTGAAGATGAACACAAAAAAAATGCCTCAACAACAAGAAGCTTCAACACCATCATCAACGACGTTTGATATTAAAAGCTTTTTTGATAAGCTGGTGAAGCATTTGCAAGCCAACATTCCGAGTGAGAAGCATCGGATGTTTGTAACAAATCTAGTATCTTTTGAAAAGGATAAGACCTATTCAAAGCATGAAGAAATGTCTGTCGATGAGACACAAAAAAGGACAATGAATATTTTGGAGTCGTTTTTGGAGGTGGAAGGAAAGTATAGAGAGTTGATAATAACCGACAATCTTTTTCAATCGAGTGATGATGAAATAGTACTGAATATTAGAACAATGATTTTATCTTTTAGGTATCTTATTTATCATATAAAGCTTGGACAAGATATTGACTTTGAATTCTTTGAACCATTATTTAATCATGTCTTGCTATTGCACAGTAAGATTTATAAATTATATGAAAAATCCTATCAGATATTCATGGATAATTACAAGGAGTATGATTATGAAAAGTGGGCAGAGGAAGAGGATAATACTTTTAAGGTTCTTCCGTGGAGGACACATGCTGCTACAGTTATTTATACTAATGAGAATGATTCAATACCCAATTGGGTAATGCTCATGTATTATTTCCTTACTAGTTTTTTAACAGAGTTATTACCTTGGGGAATTAAATACTTACATGAATTTGGTCCAAAACCAAAATTAACAGATAGACAGCGAATTTTGAATGCAATCAAGAAGAAGAAAGCACCAGAATTGAAGGGATCGACTTTCCAAAGTTTACCCTTCTTCCAATTCATTCTACTCAAGTATTTCTATGATAGAAAGGTAAAACACACTCTCGATAATGCCACCTCTTCGGAAATTACTCAATGGAATAGAAATATCATTGAAGAAAGACTATTGAAGGAATGCTTAATTTATTGGGGAGTATTCATCTCTTCAATTACTTCAACTCACAGAGAAGATCAACAAATGGCTCTCGATGAGGAAGACGAAGAGGATGAAGACGACGAAGATGAAGAAGATGAACTTGAGGATGTATTTGACGGAAGAGGTTTCAGAACTGTTGGAGCAAACGAGCTAGATGAAATAAGAACAACAACAACACCATCATCAACAATGCAACATTCAACCTTCTCGGATCCACTCAAAACCAATCTTACAATTGCACAAATCAAGGACATGAAGAGATTCATTGCTCACATCATCAAGGATTATATGTTCGAACCATTCCTTCCTTTAATTTACGAGTTTAGTGAATATGAGAGTACTCAATCTCACATTCGAGAGGGTCTACTTAGAAATATGGACAGCATACGAGCTCACTCACAAACAGTAGTAGGAGCCTTGTGCAATTGCTTTGGTAAGCCACTTTGTATAGCTCTGTTACCAATGCTTTTAGAGGACTTGAAAGTAACCGGTGTGTCAAATCCTCTTTTACGACTGACGGAGGGAAGAAATAGAGGAAAAGTCAGTTGGACTGTTCGTCAAAAGGCCTACAATTGTGTGGGTATTCTAGTGAGAGAAATGCTCACAACTAATATTACTCTAGGAGGTATGTGAGAAATTTTATCATTTGATGTTAATTTCATATTTAATATTTCATTTAATATTGTTAAATTACAAATTTGAATAATTAATGATGTCTTGAAAAAAGGTGGAGTAACTGGAAATGTTGTTCCAAGTTATGAAATTGTTGAATTTGTTATTGAAAATTTTGTGGATCCATTCTGTCGTTATGCTTTGGAAGAAATGAAACAAGCACCAGTGGATATTCATGACATTATAGTAAAGCAAACCGCCATTTTGGTCACATTTGCCTTCAGTAAGCTGTATACCAACAGAGAAGGAGAGGCCTCGAATAATTGGGGTCTAATTGAACATATTAGCAATCAAGCTGATACCTCTGATGAAATCAAAGAGATTATTGAGTTTATTCATGTTTTCAGAAAGGAAATTATGGAATTGCTGCCTAAAAAGCTTGTAGATAGTCACTATAGCATTAGAGAAGCTGCCTGTGTCTCACTTGCCAGCTACATTTCAGAAATGAAAGTCTTGAAGGAGAGTTTTATTTTAGAAATTCTGAAAACTTGCGAGACCTTTGTACAGAACTTTGTGAAATTCAGTGTCATTATTACAGCTGTTACAGACAAGCTCGAGAGTGGAAAGATTACTCTCGTAGATGATGACAATCAACCAATAGTCACTACCAAAACATCATACTCTAAGGGAACCTACACTAGATTCACACCACATTTTAACAAGTTATATTCCAACTTGTTTGAAAAGATATGTGAAAGTGGAGAGTTGATTTATCCTGAAGATTTGGAAAATCTCACTGAAGAAGAAAAGAAGAGACAACATCACCTTGTTGTGGTTTGTCTCTTTGACTCATTCTACGACTCGTTGGAATTTACAAGGCACTTTTCAGATACCAATCTTATTGAGAAATTCCTCGATTATGGAAAGAAGCAAATTATGCAAAATATTTTCACATTGAAGGAAGTTGACAAGACTGAAGATTTAATTTCTGCCTTTTCTACAACAATTAATGCTGTTATGAGAAATATTGATGGCAAGGTTCTTGTAGAACTCTTCCAGAAACACGACATGTTCACCTTCCTCACACAATTCGTCAGAGTTTGCCATAACCATTGTAATTACAGAGCCAGAGATTGTGCTGTTCACACCATTGGTAATATGAGTAATGCTGACTTGTTCCATTTGTGTCCATTCGATGTTGATAAGGAAACTGGCAAGGTTACTCCACAAGATGCAACCCACGACTTTTTATATGATTTTGTCTTTCAGGTTTTGAAAAAGGAAGCCGTTGTAGGTGACAGATTTTATGAGGAGACTACTCTTGAAGATGATTCCATCATGAAAAAGAAGATTATTGTCTATCACAATGCAGTATGGTCTTTGGGAAGAGTTATTCTATCTGCTGGTAGAAAGGGTGTTAAAGATGAAAGATTTTACAAGTTCATGAAGGAGATGGCTCCAAAATTGATTCGAGTTTTGAAATTATTTGCCAATAAGGACTTTTACACAACTGAAGAGGTTATTGATGACATTACTGGATATTTATCAAATGTTTGCATTACTATTGCTTATATTAGTTTGATTGATATTGATCTTGTTGCCCCTGAATACATGTCCTTCAGTTCTAGTTTCATTGAACATGTAATTTCTGATAGTAATGAAGATTTGGATGAGGAGAAGATTGCCATGGCCACTTCGATATTCAGATTAACAGAATATTGCTTGGAAGAATTACATGGTGAAGGCATTCTCCCAGAAACTTGCATGTTATTGGAACACTTGTACAATTCCCCACTCTTTGAAAGACTTTCTGATACACACTTGTTCTATATTTCTAGGAGAGTAATGGAGAAGATGAAGATTTTTGTAGCTGAACAAGCAAGAGAAGATGATCTTTTTTAAAGGTCAAAACCAAGACAATTTTTAGTGTATCTTCATTTCTTTCTAAAACCTCAATTAGATTAATATTCTTCAAGTATTAATAATTATCACAATACTCTTATTGTCGATTGTTCTGAAAAAGGTAATAAATTTATTTCAAATTTTCCAATTCAATATCAATATTGGCTTGTTTGACCAATTCCATTTTCAAAGCACGTTGATTCCTGTATTGCTCATAAATTTCTGTTAGAACAAATCTTGAAAAGGTATCTCCCAAATTAACAGAAACTTGATCATGCAATTCTTCAAAACATTGCTGAACTTCAAGAGTTATCTTTTCAACTGACATTTTCTTTTCCTCCTTTACAAGTTTCATCATTTGCAGGAATCTCTTTCTAGTTGTTGATGGAATATTCACTTCAGAAACGGCTCCAGTCTTGATGAACAAATCATGAATGGTTTCTAAAAAGTTTGGCAATTCATTCATACTTCTTCCTTCCACAAACTCTGGATTGTATCTCAGTAATTCCAAGAGGTAGAGATTTTCTGTAGCTAATTCTTGGATGCAGAATTGTTCAAAGAGGTCGTAACCTCTGTCATCCGAGATGGTTTCAATCATTTCAGTATCTTGTAAATCTTGGTTGACCAGTTGTTTTCTTCTCTTGTTAATTTTTACCTTGTAGACAATTAGTACAAGAATAGCAAAACCTCCAAATACAAGTAAATACACACAAGTGTACAATACTTCAAATGCAAATCGAATTCCATCAAAATAAATTGCAATTTCATAAGCATTTGCATCAATAAATCTGAAATTATTAGAAACTAATCCAATAACTTGTTGAATAATCATGAGTGCAAAACAGACCAAATACATGAACATTTCAGATCTGAAAAATAAAGGAGCATCCAAATAAAAGAATCTTCGAGTAGATTTTGATGGAATAAGTGACTGGGATGATTTTGTTGAGCTAGTTGAAGACAATGAATTGACAGTTGACCTTCTTCTCCTCTTAATCTTCTTTTGTCTTGTACTAGAAATAATATCCACAATTGCTATAATACTAATAATCACACTATATCCGAATATAATAACTGTATACGAAATGGAAACTGCCTCAGTATAAACAGATGCAGTAATAACACTCAATCTCACTAACAAGACCCACATTAACCAATAGCACAAATTAAAGATTAATGAAATGACAATCAGAGTGACGAAAAGCTTTTTAGAAGTGACGAATCTCAATACTTTCATCATGAATGATTGACCATTATTCTTCTGAGCTATCACATCATATAAATATTTGAGGAGCTGGAATCTAATAACTTGGATGACATATGCCAAGATGGCTGTCAAATTCAATGTGTTTACAATAATCATAGTGACATTTCCAACAATATTAGTGGCAGTTTCGCCTCCAGATTCCCACATTTTAGATTGACTTGGTAAGAGTTGACTAACAAGTACAGATCTTTGCACAATTGAAATTAAAACACTTTCCACTAATAGAGCAAGCATTCCCAAGAATGGAGTCAAGAATCTTGAAAGTAATGGTTGTTCCTTCCTGTAAATAATCAAGACAATGAGAATGATGGCAGAGCAGATTGCAAACATTATTCCAAAACTAATCTCTGCACTGTACACGCTGGCAATGTACAATAGTTCAGTTTCGGTCAATTTAGTTGTGTTCGAATAGGATGAAGTATACTCAATAAAAGTGGAGAATTTGGTTGTGTGAGTGCATTGACAAATGATAGAATCTTTTGAGGAATTTGAATATTGACAGCCATCTGATTTCCACATTGACACTTCCTCATTCCAATACATACATTTAACATTCGTAGTGTTGAGTGTTAAATTTTGTTTGATTTGATCATTGAGTGGTGTGAATATCAAAGTAAATGGTGAATCCAAATCCTTCAATGTCACTACTTGTGCATCTTGATAATATTTAAATTCAACCAGAGTTGATCCAGATTGAACACTTGCAGAATAATTATCCGATTTAACATTTTGAGAATAGGTTATCAATGATAATCCAATATTTGTTGATTCTCCACCAAATTGTTTGGCAACTTTCTTTAAATTCAATGAAAGTTGTGAGTTTGTTCCATGAAGAGTTTGTTGAATTGCATTGTCAGTGGTTGAGCCGAAAATTAGTGAAGAGACAGTGACATTCATTTCACTGGAATGATAATTAACATTTGGTAGGTCTGAATCTTTGGAATTGACAACTTTCGGTAAAGCATTCGAAAGTAAAATCTTACTAAATGATAAAACTAGAGATTCTGTTGTTGAAGTGTTTCCAGTAGCTGGATATTTCCTATTGGATGAGAATAAATCCGAAATGAGATTCAAAGTCGATTGGAGTGCAGTACTACTGAGTGGATTCTTTACGAAACCATACTTTTTCATTTCCTCTGATTGACTTGTTTGGACACTGCCAAGGAATGATTGAACTTTTGATTGAACTTCCTTAACTACTGATGGAGTATTGGCATTTTGTGGAAGAATTTGTTGAATGACAGAGAGAGATGCTTCTGGTGAATTTGTTGGAATTTCAATGTTTTTCACAACTTGATCTGCAACAGAATTCGACTGTTTGATGGAATTATCATACGCAAAAACTGTCTTGATAGAATCTGGAAGAGTTTGATTGAACAATGAATCAGTATTTCCTAAATATGGTGTGACTTCTAGAGTGAAAATGTAATACTGATCAATAAAATCCAAATCATCCTTAACAAGTAAATAAATGTCAACTGAACTGACGTTTCCACTGCTTGCAATGAATGGTAAATAAATGGAGGCAACTGAGCTAGTAGAGAATGAACTCATTCTAAGAACTCTGCCTTGTGATGGCTCATAGAATGCATAAGCATAACTGAGAGGTAACAATTGAGTGGCAGCTGAAAACTCAACTGATGCAATGTTGTAGGCATCTGTCAGGGCAACTCCTCTTGAAATTGAGCTACTAGCTGTGAGTACACCATTCTTTGGTTTTGGTGCAGAAATGATTGGAATTCTCTTGGAACCAATTGCAGATCCAATTGTAAAATCAAATTGTAAAAATGTTGCTTGTTCCAATTGAGATTTAGTTAGAGTAAAGGATGGAATTTGAAGAATTGGACTAAATCCAATAGAATTGCTTGCATCACTGATAAGAACATAGGAAGAACTTTGTAAAGAGGAAATATTGTAAACTGAATCCAAAGAATCACCTGTCAAGTAAATATTAATAAGAATAATCGGCTAAACATTTAGAATTACATCCAAATAATGAAGAAACAGACTGCCCACTAATTGTCAAGTTCAATAAATAAAAGTCAAATGTTGTGGCATTTCTAGAAACAATAAATTCAGGAACATTGACAGATACAAACTTGGAAATTGCAATTGATGGTCTGGATTTTTGTAATTTCACAACAGAAAGTTTTAGAGATGAGGAAGTTCTGCTGTTCTTCAATCTGGCAATTAGGAAATAATTGGTAAGGCCAATAGAAAGTTGACTAGTGTCAAGAGTAAATTCATTGCTCTTTTGATTGACAGGAGCAATTCCAGAAGATGTTAATCTGTATCCAAAGAAATCAGATTCGTTATAATTTGATAAAACTTTGAATCCAATAATTGGATTATCATCACTATAAATAACAATACTATTCGAAACATTCAAATAAATATCAAATGGCAATGACAAGTTGCAATCCATTCCAAGGAACCCTTCCACAGTACACATGCATGTATTTGGTGAAATACATAAACCTCTTCCAGAACAAACATCATCACTATCAGCTGTCTTGTTGAAACATGAAAAGGAGGAACAATTTTGTCCCAAATAACCTTCTTCACATTTGCAAGTATCGGGAGCTATGCAAGATCCATGTGAAGAGCAAACTGTTGATTGGTTATTCAAAATATTGAAACAATTAAAGTTTTCACAATACTTTCCAAAGTAGGGAATTGAGCAGTTGCATGAATTAGGCGAAACACAACTTCCCTTTCCGGAGCAAGTTGCAGAATTATTAAAATGAAAAGTTCCACAATAGAAATCTGTGCATTGGGGACTTGAATATCCCTCCTTACAAGAGCATTGATCAAAGTCTATGCATTTTCCATTTCCATTACAGACATTGGATATATTCGAAAGAATGCCGAAACAAGATGTCAATTCACATTGGGATCCTAAATAATTTTGAGAGCAGTTGCAAGCATTTCTTCCACTACATTCACCTCTTCCAGAACAAACACTTTGATTATCACTTCTAATTCCAAAACACTCTGAAACTTGGCAATCAGAACCATAGTAACCTGATTGACAGGTACAATTATTTGGTGATGTGCAAACACCAACAGAGTTACAGACCTTTGAATTATCATGTCCAATACCATTACAAGAATACGCAGAGCAATTGGCAGAAGTGTATCCCTCCTTACATGAACAAACATTAGGTTTGGTACATTTTCCATTTCCTGAACAAACTAAAGTTGAATTGTCATCTCTCACATCAAAACATGTGTAATGAGAACAGTTATTTCCTGTATAGAATTGATTACATTCACAAGTATCTGGAGCTACACAAGAACCTTCAGAAGAACAAACAGATGGTTCCTTGTAATCGACTCCAAAACACGTAAACATTGAACATCTACTGCCATAGTATCCTCCTGTACAATTACATGTATCAGGAGCTGTACAAATTCCGTGTGAATCACAAGCCAAGGTGCCATTCTCTCCAAAACAAGTTGGAATTGAGCAGTTTGATCCAGTATAGCCATTTCGACATGTGCAGTGATCTGGTGAAATACATGAACCGTTTCCATTACACACTCTTGAACTATTGAATATTTCACCATAACAATTAAAAGATTCACAATTGGCTCCATAAAATCCACTGTTACATGTGCATTTGCCAGGTTCAGTACACTTTCCATTCCCACTACAAGCCATATCGGCATCTTCATTCGAGAAAATTCCACAATAAAATCTCTGACACATGTCTCCAGAATAAGGTCCATAACAAGTGCAATTATTTGGTGAATTGCAAGTGCCATGTCCTGAACATGCAGCTGAAGAATTAGTGGAAGGTATTTCGTAACACGAATAATTCTTACACTCACTTCCATAAAATCCCTGCTCACACTGACAAACTGAATTCACACAAGATCCCTTTCCATTACAAACTGTTGGATCAGTATTAAGAATACCACTACAATAACTGAATTGACAAAACTTTCCATCTCTATTGGCTCTACAGGAACATTCATCCGTATTGACACAAGAACCGTAGCCACTGCACACATTCTGAGAATAGGAAATGGTTCCATTGCATAGAAAGGTGACTGAACAATCCATGCCATAATATCCTCTCTTGCAGCTGCAGTATTCATTGGCAACACAATTTCCATGTCCCGAACATGCAACTGGATTCGTTGCATCCAATCCGAAACAATATGGAACTGCATCTGATGCCAATTCAATTTCAACAAGTTCTGAACGAGTGCTCTCAAAGAAACTAGCAATAGTTCCAGAAACCACAACTGGAACACCATAAGAGAAATAATAATCATTGATACCAATTTCGAATATTTGTGAAACATCACTTGTGGGAAAAACAAGGACAGTATCAATACCTACTCCAGAACCAGCATTCTCATCTCCAAATAGGAAACCATAATCCCTTGTCAATACGAGTGAAGAACCAACTGTTGGTCGGCTCAAGGTAGCAATCTCAATAAAATTAGCAGAAAGTGTTTCCAAATCATTCAATGGAACAGAATAAACAATCCGATTATCATCAGTCTCATTATTCTTTCCACCAATGACATAAACATCTCCATTCAATAGAAATGCATTTGCCTTTGCAATAGTTACTGGAAAATCAGCAAATCTTTCCCATTGAGTTAATAAACTTGAAAGATTAGCTCTGAAAATTCCATTATCATAAACACCACCATTCGAAATACCACCAATTAAATAAATATATTGTTCAGTAATGAAGTGTGCAAAATAGGTTGGTGGAATATTTGCCAAATTTGGTGAATAATAATTTAGATTAGTAATTGAGTTAGAGGCCTGAATAATTCCAAATGTTGAATCTCCACCAAATAAATAAACTAATCTTCCACCAGTTGGATTATTAATCGAATAAACAGCATAATTGACCATAGCAGTGGTGAGAGTTGAAATTTGTTGAAAATCTCCAAAATCTGAATGAACAGTTGTATTGTAAACGTTTCCATTACTTTTTCTAATTTCTCTTAAAGATTTAGTAGCAGCCACTGATTTTGTAACTCGTTTCTTACTATCATTTCCTCCAAAAGCATATAAAATTCCATTCGGATAATCATAATAAATTGGATTATACCTAAGAGAGGTCAAATAATTCATATTCGAAAGTGTAATATTTCCATAAAATAGACTAGCTTCCACCAATCCGAAACTTAATCCTGATTCTCTTGTCGATTGTATGATTATTCCATCATTATTATCATGTTCATTATCTGATAATAATAAAAAACAATTAAATGATGAAAAAAACAAAACAATGAAGGAAGTGATGAAAATTTGAAGGAAAATTGATCGGGTTGATGACATTTTGACACCTTCAGCAGAGTGATGGTGAACCTTCTCTGATTTTTTTGTTGGTTTAGGTCAATTAGTTTTGGATTTTTTATTCGAAACTTGGATGTGTCACTGAAAGTTCGGACGAAAGATGTCCACAATCCCAAACGGTCATAAACTGAAAGGTTTTCATTAAGGATTCACTTGTTTTTCTTCAACCTCCTCTTCTTGATCATATTTAATTTCCTCTCCTTTATCATCAAATAGTTTAGTTTCTTCCGTTCGAATCTTGTGTTCAATCTTTGCTCCCTTATACTTTCCAGAAGATTCTCCAACATCGCCGTGTCCATAAAACATGCAATCTCCCATCAAACCTCCATAAGAACTGACAAATGGCACCTGTGCTAAATAATAGAGTCGAGTGTTTTCTTCTTGTTTGTCGTGTTCTCTGATTGCCTTTTCTTCTTGTTCGTTCATTTTTTTTTTAGAATTGTTGTTGAATAATTGCTTAATATATAGTATTTCTTAAAATGGAAGTGGTTTATTTGGAAAATAAAAATGTTATTATTAATAATTTTTTTTAAAATTTATTTTTATATGAGATAAAGAAAGATCAATTGCACCCTATTTTCCTGCAAAACAATTCTCTCATCATTTTCTTTATCTCAACTGGTATTAGAAAGGTTTCGAATTCTCATTATTATTCAAAAATGTTAAATTTCAATGTAACCTTCTACGAATACTTCTCTTACAAAAGAAAGAGATTCAATTGTTTCCAAACATGTCAACAATTATTTTAATTAAACATTTTATTGTAAAGTATTAAACAAGGTAGTATTACTTTCTAAAATTGAACTATTTCCCCCAACGCTCTCAGACCTTATGGAACATTGTGCCAACAATATCGAATACTCACACGTACCTATCTTTCAACGATTAATGTCCATCAACATTGATTGGTTGATTTTTTTTGACAGTTGGACATGTTTGATTGACATGCACATCAACTAGCAAATTATCATCATAATACGTAAGCGAAGGCACCAGCAAACAAATCAAAAAAATACACAAAAACCGTACGTAGCTAATTTCTCTCTTTAATTTTTTTTTAACATGCTTTCACACACTTTTTATTCGAAACTCTATGTTTAATCCACACGTTTTGAAAAATCTATACACCTTTTACATTTATACAATATAAATTAAATAGAAAAATGTCCATTGTCAGATCATCACTCTATCGTCACGTTTTCGGTGAACCATACAAGGCAGAATTCGCCTTCCAAAACATTCGTCCAAATGTTGGTGCTTGGGATTCTAATTGGCTTGCTGCTAATGCCTTGTTCGTTGCTGTTCCATGGCAAGGTGGTGGTGGTTCAGTTGCTGTTTTGAACCAAAAGACTCCAGGTAAACAAGCTGCTGATTTGCCACTTTTATCTGGCCACACTGGTGCTGTTTTGGATTTAAAGTTCCATCCATTCAATCAATATATTTTGGCAACTGGTTCAGTTGATGCTACTGCCAAGATTTGGTCAATTCCACAAGATGGTTTGACAAGCACTGTTACTGAACCATCAGTTACATTGGAAGGTCACATGAAGAAGGTTGGTTTGTTGGAATTCCATCCAACTGCTAACAATGTCTTGTTGACTGCTGGTCAAGATCACAAAGTTGTTTTGTGGGATATTGAAACTGGTAAGAGCCAAGTTGAAATGAAAGATTTGTGGAAAGATATTCAATCAATTTCTTTCAATAAGAATGGTTCATTGTTTGCCTCCACTTCAAAGGATAAAAAGTTGAGAATTATTGATCCTAGAAAGGGTGCAGTTGCTCTTGAAGTTGAAGGTCATGGTGGTACTAAGGGATCTCGTGTTCAATGGATTACCAATACTGATAGATTGTTCTCTGTTGGTTTCTCAAAGACCTCTGAAAGACAATACATGATGTGGGATCCACGTTCATTGGAAAAGCCATTGCACACTGTTAATATTGATATGGCTTCTGGTTTGATTATGCCATTCTATGATCCAGATACTAATTTGCTCTTCTTGGCTGGTAAGGGTGATGGTAACATTAGATTCTTTGAAGTTACTAATGAAGAACCATACATTCACTCATTGTCTGAATTTAGATCAACTGATCCACAAATGGGTATGGCTATGCTTCCAAAGATTGCTGTTGATACTACTTCTAACGAAATTGTCAGATTGTTCAAGTTGACTGCTAATCAAATTACTCCAATTTCATTCACTGTTCCAAGAAAGTCTGAATTGTTCCAATCTGATATCTATCCAAAGACTGCTTCTCCATCTCCTGCCTTGTCTGCTTCTGATTACTTCTCTGGTCAAGATGCTGAATTATCTTTGGTTTCCATGAATCCAGAAGATAAGGAAATTGATGTTCAATTCCGTGATTTCAAACCAAACGTTGAAATTAAGGCCAAACAACCAAAGACTGTTTTGCCAGCCAAGACTTCAAATCCACAAGAATTGGTCAAGCAAAATGAAGAATTGAGACAACGTGTTGAAGCTTTGGAAAAGGAAAATTGGAATCTCCAACAAGAATTGAAAAAGTACACTGAACAATAAGTGATCAAAATAGTTTGTCTTTTTTCAATACTTAACGCGCTGTGTTTTAAATAAAATAGTGTATTTTTAATTAATTTAACATATTTCTTCTAAAAAACAAGACGAAACTCTTCGTAGATTCACAATAAGAGTTCAGCATGGCTTAATATCCAGCAGAAGTTGCCATGATTCACAGACTAGAAGAGTGAGTTCAGACATTTTCACATCAACTCCAAAAAAAACAGTAAAAACAATTGCAACTTTCCATCAATAAGGACGCTTTAATTACTCTAATTCCGTAATTACCAATGAACAATTCTCCTCCTCATCACACAAGAGACGTCATGCATAATCTCTAAAAAAAAGCTCAACACAACAAATTAAAGTATCATGCAAGCTCTTGTTTTTGATCGATTCGGAGAAGCTTCTCAAGTTCTCTACATGAAAGAATTGGAAAAACCACAAATTGGAAAGAATGATGTGTTGGTTAGGACTCAGGCCATTGGCTTGAATTTTGCAGATATTTACAGAAGGAATGGAAATTATCATTTGGTGGGAGAACCTCCCTATATTTTGGGATATGAAGGGGCTGGAATTGTAGAAGAGATTGGAAGTGAGGTGAACTCTGATTTGATTCGAGTGGGGATGAGAGTTGGTTTTGCTGATGTGCCTCATGCCAATGCTCAATTGGTGAAAGTTACTGTGGAGAAGGCAATTCCTCTGCCAGATGAGATTTCATCAGAGATGGCAGCAGCTGTCTTGTTGCAAGGATTGACAGCTCATTATTTGACAAGAGATTCATTTGTTGTGAAGGAGGGAACTGTTGCAGTGGTGCATGCAGTGGCAGGTGGAGTTGGTCAATTGCTTACCCAAATTATCAAATTATTGGGAGGAACAGTTATTGGACTGACTTCAAGTGAAGAAAAGGCAGAAATTGCAAAACAAATTGGAGCAGATCATGTTTTTCTATATAAGGATAATTGGACTGAACAAATACTTCAATTGACCAATCAAATAGGTGTTAACGTAGTCTACGAATCAGTTGGTTCAACAATCATGGACTCATTCAAAATTACAAAAATTGGAGGAACTGTCGTATTCTATGGAATGGCAGGTGGCGATCCTCCACTCATCAATCCACGAATGTTAATGGATGGCTCAAAAACACTCACTGGTGGCGACTTGTGGAATGTCCTAACAAGTAGGGAGGAGAGATTGAAACGTTCCACTGAATTATTTTCATGGATTTCTCAAAAAAAGATTACAATTAGTGAGTGGAAGAATTTCAAATTGAGTGAGGGAGCTCTAGCTCATGAATTTTTGGAACAACGTAAAAGTACTGGCAAGATTTTACTCATTCCTTAGAGAAATTAGCCTCTTTTCCACATGATGGTTCATTCAATTTATCCCAAATGATGAAATTTTTCACCTTCCATATTAAGACTATTTACTATTCATTGAGATTACAATAAAAAATCTTTAAAAAAAAAATGATCAACAACAATTCAGCCCTCACTCGCCTGTTTTTCAACTCTAAAACCAAGCAGTATTCCTTCCAGGAAATATTTTCCACCCTTCCGGATGAACTCACTGGAGAGATTTTCCAACATTTATCCATGACCCACTTGATCTTTTCCGTGGTGAGAGTTTGTAGGTCGTGGAGGGAGATTTCCCTTCCGATCATTTGGAAACGTTATCAAGATTATGCGCAATTGGTTGATGATGATTCGAATAATAGTGGTGGTGATGAAGCATTTTCAAGCCTTTTTCAAAGTAGAATGGGAAGAAATTTCATCAAGATGATGTTTAAGGAACATGTTTATGAATTGGCGACTCGATTGATTGGGGTAACCAAGATGGGTGAGGTTAGAACACAAAATTTGCATGCAACGATTACAATGGATTTTTGTAAGAAAGAATATGAATGGTTTGGAACTGAATTGGAAATGATAGAGTGTTATAGTGAATTCTTTGGGAAGGTGGAAAGTCCTATTAATTCAGATCAAGTTGTTTCTAATAATTCCAAAGTAGAAATTGAGAAGAAATCAGATGAAAAGAATAGTAGTGGTGTTATGAGTTCAGTTTTACATTACTTGTCATCATTCTTTAAAAATAACAGTTCAGCATCATCGATTCAAATTGAAAGGAAACCAAACAAACCAATGATCACTGAGGGGACACAAATTTTCAAAGTAATCATGCTTGGTGACTGTTATGTGGGAAAGACATCCACTTTGGAGTGTGCCATTAAGAATATTAATTGTAGACAAAAGGAAGACATGCCGACCATTGGAGCTTCCTTCTTGAAACAAAGATACAAACTCATTCCCAATTCCATCTCTGAATTGCAATTGTGGGATTACAGTGGTCCAGAGAGATTTGCAACACTATCTCCAATATACTACAGAGGAGGACATGTAGCATTTGCCATGTTTGATTTAAGTAATAGTGCACTAACTTTGGATAGATTGGATAGGCACATCAAAGATTTGGAACAACACAATCCAATGGAAGTGGTATTAGTTGGAACCAAGTCTGATCTTGTAACAGAAAAAGAAAGGAAGTATAGAAAACGTGCTCAACTGTTGGCATTTGACAAATTGAAGGGAGGTCTTTATGTAGAAATCACTAACACAGACATCAAGTATGCTCACAGTCTACTTGTCTATTCAGCAATCATTCTTCACCTTAAATACTCGAAGAATATTAAGATTTAAACAACTCCTGACCATGTACAATTGTAAATCGACTCAGAATCTGTAGATAAACAAGATAATTGACTTTCGAATTTGATGTAACAAGGAATGCTCTAACTTTCGCATGGTCTCATGTACATAAGCCAAGATTTGAACCCATTTACCATTTGAACTTATTATTGATTTAACATGTGGTACGTGATCCGCCTCAATATTAGGATATCTCATAACAAATATTGCATTGAATATTAACCGGTTTCGGAGTGCTGATAGTCAACGCTTTAATTTACCCTATTACACACAAAAGTCAGTGTTACAGAGCTCAGGTGCACCAATTCCTCAAACAATGAGTTCATTATTTAACATTTTCAACACTTTGTTTCAAATCTAATAACTGTAGTTCTTTACTGTAGTTTTGAAGGAGGGTTTGCAAAATTGCTAAAGAAGAACATTATACAAAGGAACCCAAAAGGAACAGCATTCCTTACATGCCAATGTCCCAAGCAATCAAGTGGTTTACAAACGCCGAATTTTATAATAGTTATCAAATCTGCCAAATTTTGATGGATAGCCATAATTGTTTATACCTCGTTTCTTGAGATTGCGTATTAATTTTCTTCCTAAAAGAAATATTCAAACCGAAAAGGCGGTCTATGCCAATTTGTGTTGGTCTTTACTGTGGTGACTGAGAAAACATCAACAACCTTTGAAACATTGCTAATTGCAACCACACAACAACATGTATTCTATTATACAACAACATTAATGTTATTATTACAATATTTGGATGGTGGATTACAACCAACAGATATCTATCAAGCTTTCACAGTGCGCCATAATGAACCAATGATAATATTTCCTTGTGGAATGAAGTTTGCAATAAGTAATGGAAAATTTTAACAGTTTGTGCAATGCATGACAAATATGGTCAACCTCCTCAGACTCCTCTGATTTGTAATTCTTAATGTTGTCTGAAACCTTGTCGACTTGTGTCAAAACATTATTGAAGGCAAGAAGATAAGGTGAGACAAGACAGTGCACTGCCTGAAAGTACCAACTTTCCATACTAATTGTGTTATGCGAAAGTTTCGATTTAACATCTAGTGATGCAATAGGAAAAGTTGCAGATCTGGGTGATTAGATAAATCAGGTGGATTGCCTTGGTTTGAGGATCTAAACCAAATGGTGATAAGGTAGGAAACAAGTTTGTCATCTACTTGTTTGTTTTCATATTCGAAACAACTCAAATAATCGGTATGTTTCGGTATGCACACAAAATATTGGACATTAAAACCATTGATCTATGACCAATTGTTTGATGGTACCCTCAAATTCAAAGCATAACGCCAACAGGCATGATGTCGTTTCTGACAGTAAATTAATGGCGTTTTGCTGAGAACATCTGACAGATGCGAATCCAACTGTGTTTGCGTTGTTTGATAGTGCTCCACCATCTTTCATGGTTCGACAATATCAGCTAATACCCAAAAACAATAATTCTAAAAACAAAAACACACCAAAAAAAACCAACAACTGTTGCCTGACACATCAGTTTTGATTTTTCTAATTGCGCATTAGTCCATTTCTTTCATACTCACTCAGCTGACATCAACAATATATTCGACACAACTGAGAGAATATTGTCACATTATAGAAGTAGCAAAAGCAAATATTTCAGCAACAATACTTTTGATAGATGGCTACACGTGTCATGTCAGCAGCAAATAATTCAGCAACAAATAATAGTACTATTAACAATGGTAATCTCGTGAATTCATTTCCATCCTATATGCCACCATTGAATAATAATAACAATTATTCAATGCCAAGTCAGCATCCTTACTTGGAACATGGTGGTGCACAAATTGACCACACTATGGAATCAATGATGATGAATGGATTAGTTACTAAACAATCCCTGATGGATATCTATTCGAGAAATCAAGCCATCCTTTCCCAACATCACAATTCGAAACAGAATATGATGCTTCCTTCTTACTATCACGACTCAAATCTCCCTGACCAACATTTCTATCACAACAATCCACAACAACATTCCAATCCACAACAAGCATTCCAACAACATGTAAACAATAATGCAACAACAACTTTCCACCACTATAATGTAGATACCACTCACATGAATAATAATCATCATCACAACAACATCAGCCACATCAGGGCTTCTTTTCACCTGAACATGTGGATGGCATGGTTTCAATTTTGAAAGGAGAGGAAGATTTTATTCACTTGTTGGATAATTCAGAACCACTAACTTCATTCGATATTGAAGATCATCATTCTTTCAATCCAACTATTGTTGCAACTTCTCCACAAAGACAATCAAGGAAGAATCGAACTGTTTCGAATAGAAAGCATGCTGAGGAAGAAGATGATGATTTTGATCATTTAACTGAGGATGAGCAAGATCAACAACATGATGTTAAATCACCATCTCATTCTTCTGGCAATAGTTCAAATGGCCAAAAACAACGTGGACATGCCAATGTCAATACAACTCCAACTGGAGATAAGAGCAGTACAAGAACTAGCTCTCCAACCAATAGTCAAGAAAAGAATTCACCCTATCCTAATGGCAGAAAGAGAGCAAGCAAAGCATGTGTTGAATGTCAGAAACGTCATACAAGATGTGGTTTCGAACGACCATGTGAAAGATGCGTAAGATTGGGTTTGGAATGTGTGGAAATGAAATCAACCAAGAAGAGAGGAAGATCAACAATGGGTTCAAATCAAGATATCGAATCAAATAATACCTCAGTGGCATTGGATAAAAATGGTAAATCTGGTAAAAAGACCAAAGCTAAAACCTCAGCCGAATCAAAGAAGAGAAAATCATCTCCAAATGAAGCAGAGCAAAACTTTGAAACCAAACCAAAACTCTCTAAGGTTGAGATTATGACTTCTTCTGATATTGCGCATGCTCCAACAACTCCATCAATTATTACAACACTTACTTCAACATCAACTAATGTCTATCCAGTGAATGATGCCACTACTCCATCACAACTTGTTGAAAAGCCATTGGGTGTTGTTGCTGTTGGTTCTGATTTTACATCTGTTCAGTATGTGAGCGATCCACTCTCTACCATGTTTGAAGAGCAACCATTGACTCGATTGGATTCAATTATGGGCCCTGATTTCATTCAAACTCAACTCAATTTGTTATGTGAAGCCAAGGCAACTAGAGAAACAATAATTTCACATGTCGATAATGGACTTGCTGTTTTGCAACAATCTCATCTCAGAGCTGAAAGAACTGCCAGAGCCATGATCAAGCTGAAAGAAGGTAAATTGGCAGAAATGTCAATCAAGTTTGTATTCATGTATACTCCAGCAAATCCATCCATTTTGGAAAGTGCCTATGTATTTTTGAATTGGAATGGTTCATATACTTGTTAATAATAATGATTCCGATACTATTACTAGGCAGATTCAATGAACATGATAATTATTTCATCATATATACTATTTCTTTTGGAGAAACTCAAGACCTGATAATTTGAAAATCATTTGGATCAATATTTCATAATATAATACAATCTTTCTAATATTTCCTTAATATTAATTTGTAATATACTTTATGTAATGATCATCATCAACGTTCCGAAATTAATGGCGAAATCTTAAAATTGCAAAATTTCAGTTATTATAGCTATTATTACAATAACTTGGATTTCGGCAGCCATCATACAAAATCAGCACAGCACCACTACAACAATAATTAACAAAAATCCTCATAACAATATCTTCTCAAACTACAACTTCTCATAATATCTTCAATCCCCGACGATTCCCAACCAAACGAACAATAAAAATGCAAAAAATCGCGTTACCTTATTCCCTTATAAATATTGAGGTGTGATGAGAGCAATTCCGCTCAATCATCTTTTCAGATGTAATATTTGTAAACAATTGATAACAACACAAAATAAAAACATCAAACATTAACGAGATATCATTTCTTATCTTGAAAAAAAACCGCCAATTTTCAATATCATTTTTCTTACCAAATCTTCTCAATCCAACATATAACAAATAATTCCACTAGCACCTCTCTCCAAACTCAAATCATCATTTAAATTTCCAAATAAATCAAAACAAGTAATTTGGAGATACAAACAACAACGACCGAACTGAACAGCTCCAACAACAGCACAACAGCAAACGAGAGATTTTTTCATCTACAATAAAAAAAAAGACTGCAAATGAAAGCCTTGCGTCTCGCCACTAATAACGAAGCTTTGCTCATGCTCAATCATAACCGCACTACTATGGAGAAACAATATAAGATCAATGAAAATGATGAGGAATATGATGAGGGTTTGGTATTCAAGTGTGCTACTTGTCCAAGTCCTTCGGATGATCAATGGGAAGATGTTTTGGAGAATTCCAAGAATCACATAGAAGATGATCAACAACAACAAAGAATAGAACAATGTAATGACTGCGATGAAGATGAATTAAGTAAGGATTCATCTTTGGATGAAGCTGTTCATGATCTTGAATATATAGAGTCAACTTGCTCAATGATTCAAAATTCAGCTTCATCAATTGCCTCACCTGTGAATGGTCCTACAGCAGCTGTCAATTCAAGAAAAGTACACCATCTGTCAAGTCCAAAATCAAACAAGCATTTCTATAATCACAAGAGGAATTACAAAAGGTCAATTTCTTCTCCATCTTTCCTTCTCAATCATAAGGCTGGAAATTCATTATTTGAAACAAACACTTTTGAGTTTGTTCTTGTAAATACTGAGGAGCATGATAGCTCTTCCTCATCCTGTTGTAAATATAATGAAAAGATAGAGAATAGAGATCAGAAAGCTATGGAAATATGTAAAAACAAGTCGTGTGCTCCTCTCGATGTGGTTCTAGAGAGATTGGAATATAAATTGCAAAAGATTGAAAAGTTGGAGAAGAAATCTCAACAAGAGGAAGAAATCAAACAGAGATATGTCAATGTAAAGAAAAAGTTTTTGAGAATGCTTGAACTTGGAATGGTGACATCTCAGAGAGAATCACAGAATAGTCCACCTGATGATTCCATAGATATTCTACATAAGGCTAAGCATAACAAGAAGGCAATTCTCTATTTGCAATCACCTGAAAAGTTTAGTCACTTTTTATCGAGAAAGGCATTGAAATATTATTACAAATTGTGTCAGATTGCAAGATATGGAACACCCAAGTCAGAGTTTGCAGCCACAAGAATTTTGGACAATCTCTTTCTAGGTGATATTGATGATGCATTCAATGAACCAGTTTTAAAGCAACTTGGAATTACTCACATTGTCACTTGTGTGAAATCCTTGGAGCCAATTTACCCTGAGAAGGGATTCGAGTATTTGAATCTGCACCTCTACGATGAGGAAGATCAAAATATTTCTGATATTTTCCAAATATCTTACGAGTTTATAGAGAAGGCAATAAGTTCTGGATCGTCAGTGTTGGTTCATTGCATGAAGGGAAAATCAAGATCTGCCTCTGTATTGATATCCTATCTGATGAAAAAGAATGAGTGGTCTTTTGAAACTGCTCTCGAGTTTGTCAAGGCAAAGAGAGGTTTAGTTCAACCAAATTCAGGTTTTGTCTCTCAATTGAAACAATTAGAGAGATCACTGCTCAATCAATCTCCTTCACAAGATGAGAGTTCAAATATGGAAGCCTCCTTTGCTTTGAGAAGTGGAACACTTGCTCTTTGTTTTTAATAAATTAAAATCCACTAATATTAAGACAAAGAACTTTCAATTTATTGATTGACTTCTTTATTCTGTCGTTGTTGTCTCTTTTGAATACCTCGTAAGGTGATGGTGGTAAAACCTTCAGTTTCAACTGAAGAAACTTCTACACCATCACACAATAATCCAAATCTCAAAAACAACATTTTCCCAAATTTGTGACTAGCATGTCTTGCTGCAAGATCTGAAAAGGTGACTTTTGCTGCTCCATTAATGACCTCCAACTCAAAATTTGCAATGGCTTGAATAAACTTCCTCTTTTTTGGTTCATCTCTAAGACCTCTTCCATAAATTGAAAGTCTAACAGAAGCTGACTTGGCAGTTTCACTATATCTACCAAATGTTACCTTGACAACATGATCAGGCAGTGGATCTCCAAACTTGTATTCTGCATTGGCTCGAACACCTTGCAAAATTTCCAAATATTCTGTTCTAGGTGGAGCTGGATCAGCATAAAATTCCTTTCTTTTTGTAATTTCAATCTTGTCTCTCATGATATTTGGATCGACTGTATTCATAAAATCCATATTAAAAAGCTTACTCTTCTTGTTAGGTGTGATAGCTCCTTCCTGTCTTCGTTGTTGTTCAGCCACAAAGGTTTCATATTCTAATTGGCCTAATTTTGCAGTATCCAAGACAATATCTTTGAGATATTCTCGCTTTCTTTTGGTAGATTCCATTGGTTTTGGAATTTGAATAATATCTTGAAAAAACGAGTTTTTTGGTTGATTATTATTGGATGAATTTCCAAGAGTTTCATGCGATGGTGTTAGTGGTTGTGGACTAGTTGATTTTGAACTTGAACTTTGATTTGATAGAGCTGGTTGATGATGTGGTGAGCTATTTACATAAGTTGTTGTGGAAGAAGAAGGATAAGATCCTTGAATTGGTGGTTTAGAACTGCTGCTTGTTTGCTGTTGATAATAATATTGCTCTTGTTGAGGAATTGAACTATACGAAGATGTTTGATTGTGTGGAGGAATGCTCATCATTGGATTGGTCATATAGGGTTGCATATAAGGAACATGATGATGAGGTGGTGGAGGGACAGACATTGGAGGAAGATAAGGTTGATGATAATGATAAACCATTGGAGGTTGGTGATAGTGTTTGGTATAAACACCATGATCATAGATATGTGAAGATACCTTTTGTGGTGGTGGTGGTGGTGTAGAATGAATAGATGCAGGTGGGACAGTATTATTACTAATAGAAGGATCATATCTTGGAGGTGATGAGAATACTTGACTTGAAAATGCAGAGCTACTACTACCACTATAATGTGATGATGAGGATGATGGTTGTTGTGGTGGTATACTATTAGTAATAATGGTAGGACTTTGAGGTGGTGAATGTCTAGTTGTTATTGTTGGTATTGGTCCACCAGAGGATCCATACGAATTAAGGTAGTGAGACTCTGGGTAGGTGGTTTTGTTTGATGGACTCGAGTTTACAGTGTATTGGTGTTGATGATATGCAGTAGATGCTGACTTTGTTACAGATGCATTGGCTGTAGTAACGATTGTTGAAATTGTTGAGGTACTATATGAGTATTGATGATCATCTTTGTGATGATAAATTTGGGGAAGAGATGGTTGCAGCTGCTGCTGCTGTGTTTGAGGTAATGAACTGTTTTTCAGGGTTGTATGTATTGATGGAGTGACTGTTGTGTGCATTTGTAATTGTCCATCAACAGATGAGGAGTATTGTTGTGTTGTATTGTCTGAAACATCAGTTGTTGATCTTGCCTCAGCATGATTAGGATTATAGGAAAGATTAAGGTGTTGAGTATTTCCAATTTCAGTATTTTTCATATTTGAATGCTCCCGAGTTGTTGTATCGTCACAAGGTTGTATCCGTTCATTAACATTTTCGATTGTCCTCTTCTCAGGCAGTGACGATACAGAACCATCTTGTTGTGATGATGCAACATTGGTTATCGTGCATTGCACCTGAGGTTGATCCTGCTGATGTTTCATTGCCACCAATGTGTTCAATACATCATCCTCAATGACTTTGGGTTCTCTCAATACTTGTTCATTGTCAGAAATTATAGTGGAATTCTGATTAGTACAATTTGATGTGGTAGTTTCATTGGATTTTGAATTTTCCACAACGCCACCATTGCTGCTTCCACTACCATTACTACTCTTTTCATCATCCGTTATTTCTACTATTGCAATGTTATTATCTTCTTGTTTGTTAAGAACCATCAAACTCTTTGCACAAACTTCTTCCAAACTCCCCTCAGAAGAAATCGAATAACTACTCAAACTACTACTATTATCACTACTATTATCTGATTCATCCTTCTCATTCTCATCACCATCACCATCATCCTCCTCAGTATTCTGCTCTTGTTCTTGCATCTGTCTTTTTAAGGCTTGCTCTTGTTCAAATAATTGTTTAGCCCTCACACTTGCCGACTTGGTACGAGCAACCATTTTGATTGTGGTTGGTTGTTGTTGAGGCCTTTTCATCTTTTCAGAAGAAGAAGATAACGTTGATGCTATTGCATGTGAATTATCATCAGTGGCAAGTTCTCTCATCATTTGATATACTATTTTGTGATGATATTACTTTTTACGATGATTCTCTATGAATCCTCCTATTACTATCAGTAATTCTTTCTCCCTGTCGTTGTTGATTACAAACAACAAGAAAATTGCAAAACAAATTTGAAGAAACTGTTGCCGTTCAAACGAAAATACGAACACGAACACACACAGAGAGAGCAAGGTTTTGATGCTGCTGAACTTTATTGAGAGGTAAGTGTGTCAGCCAAGACCTGGTTATGGGCGGTTTTTTTTTTAAAATTTGGAAGTACGTGTTGCAGCACTCAAACGTCTGGTCTGTTATGTATTGAGAGGGATTTGTTATGGAAGGGGCTGTCAAAGCATGCTAATCAACAATAACGAGATAACATTATTGTTTGAAAGTGCACTAGCCTTTTGGGTTTTGGACTGCATTAAAGTAAACAAACTTTCATGCTTGGATAATCAATTGATTCTCGAGTAACATGTTTCTAATAACCTGGTTGCTTTCGGTTTGGATAGAGAAGATGTTTGAAATTTTTGCTTTCCCTTTGTTCTTGTTGTGTCCTAATGGAATGTTGGCCAACACAAATGAAAAAATAGTTTTGGAAATAGATATTAATAAAGGCAACAAAAGGTAAGGAAATGGTGAACTTTTAACCTTACATATTCAATAGGAGTGCATGCTCCTCTCTTAGATCGTCAACCATGAATTTCTTTCTAAGAGTTGGACTGCAACAACAAAATAATAAACAAAATAGCAAGCTCGGTAAGACAATCACAACACCCAATCCCAAACTTCCAAATCCAAAAAATCCTCTCACAAAGCCAATATCATCATCAATATTTTGATAATAGTGATACCAAGGTTGGAAATTGAGTGTACCATTGGTAATGTACTCGGCATACACGAATGGGTCATTGGATGACCGCAGTGTAATGGTTAAATCTTGGAAAAGTACTGTATGATTGTAGACATCTTCACCAGTATTGAGTAAACTGTAAACATAGGTCAATCCAGAAAATGTTGATCGAATGGCTGGTACATATGGCAAATCTGTTGGTCCACATCCATATCCTCCACTTGAATTATTTAATCATGTCCACATAGAATATTATCAATTATTAATTGAGAATGAAATTAGTTCCATAATTCATTAAAATACTTTGTAAAATTAAAGTACTTACAAACTATTATCTAATACTGCGACACCACTGACAATTTTTACCTTTAGGCAAATTTCTCTCAATCTATGGACAAGGTAACACTTTCCATCTTCCATAAATCCATACCTACATGATCCAGAATCATAAATAGGAGATTCAGTCTTCAAAAACAAATATACGAGAGGAGCTTGTACTGTAAGGACTGGTCCATTCACAATATGTGTTGTGTGAGGAGTAGTATTAGGAGTATTTGTCATGAGGGTGAGACCTCCCTTTTTTCCATCTTCCTTATCTTCTGGTTTCACTGACAGCATTAATGTATTGGTAAATGAGATGGTCATATTGAGTGCCTTGTCAAAATTGGTCTTGATTGGTTTGTTGAATAAGAGGGATGGATTCGGATTTTTAACTTCATATTTAAGAGAGTCATATTTGAGTAAGAAGGATGGATCGCCAGGATGAAAAACATCAGAATCCATATTGCTCTGCATTATGACATTATCCAAAAGTATGAGATTTTCATCCAATGTAGTATTCTTAACAATAGTTGATTGTTTGATTGTTTTGACGACCTTTTGGGTCTCCACTTTAGGTTTCTCATAGTTTAACCTAGAATAAATAGAGTTTAGTTTTGGAGGAATGACAACACCTGGCTCATGAAGATTGACAAAATTGGTGTTCTTTTTCTTTGCTGAAGGAGGAAGTGTTGAAGTAGAAGTGGAGGGAGAGGGAACTGCAGATACAGAAGGAGCAGGAGGAATAGGAGCATTATTTACAAGTGTTGCAGTCATGTTGAAATTAAAGGCTGCAAACAATTCTCTATTGGTTGCTTGCCATTGCTGTCAATATTATCCGAATCATTATTAATAATAATAATTTAATCATTACATATTTAATTAATCCAATTAATTGATAATAATTTAATCATTACATAATATTAGCACAATAGTATATCATAATTCCGCATTATTAATTATAATGTCAACCATACAGTATAATATTAAATTAAAATCCACATTGTAATTATTCATCAATGTAAAATTAAACCATACGGAATATTACTTGTTAATACTATAGAATTAATATGTTAACAAACCTTTGCTAGAGAATTAAATCGGGCAATATCCTTTGGATCGGATGGTGTTCTAGGTCCCAAAACACCAAACAATACTCCAAACAATATTAAACCTGATCCTAACACGAGAAAAAACGTTAGGAAAAGAGCCAATGGTTTAATACCACAACAATTCCATTCCATGATTATTTAAATATTAATCTACTCAATAATAATATGATCTATTATGGAGTACAGAAAGAAGAACAAGTTTCTCTGATGTTGTTTTCACTTAACTGAAAATATCAAAAGAGTAACAGACAGTTGAGAAAAAAGCAGGACCACAAGTAGTGATAATAAATTAGCGAAAGGAGTGTCTAGTATTTTTCTTGTGCAATAATATCAAATCTAATTCTATTTTGAAAAAAAATCTAAATCTTGTAATCAGCACTAAAATTTGATAACGACTCAACAGAATACCTCGGAAGTCGTAACTCACAATATGAAACTCTCCATGGCTAGAGGGACAGGATGTTTATTGAATTAACACTTTAAAAAGTTTGTAAAGTTGAACAGCAAAAAAACAAGGCTCAACGTTTCAAGGAACGTAATAAGGTTGATAGCAGCTTGAATGTTACATGGATAATTGAAATAAATTTGATATTTTTCTAATTTGATATCTTGATAGGGTCCAGATTCTTAACAGATAACTATTCTGAACAAACATGTATTATTTCTCCATAGATATCTTTCTGCGTTAAGCAATCAAAGTTGCAAAATATTCATAATATTAATATCAATAAATCCTTCATTATGGATAATTAAGGGAACAACTATGTTTGTCGCTCATATTATTTTTCAATCATATCCTCAACAATTTCCTTACGACTTTATTGTGACAACTACTGTTGTTTTCTTAACGCTCTCTTTTACGGTAGTTAAACCACTTAAAATGTCCAAAGCGATTAGCCAAAAAAAAAACAAAACTCTTCTCAGCATGGTCACTCAACAACAGTGCTGTTCTCAACAAGAGTTGTACAACAACAATACGCGAGCAATGGAACAACAGGGTGATTCTATTCCATCCTCCTCAACAAATAAAACAAACAGAACAGACATTAATTTAATAACCGAACATAATCATCATAAGGAAAGTGTTGTTTGCACACCTACATCTCATCAGCAAGCATTCTCACCTCCTCATCATAGAGAAAGTATTTCAGGTGATTTTGGATTTTCATGTCCATTCTCTTCTGAAAGTATTTCTGATCCAAGTTCAACAGGACGACATTTTTCAATAGCCTCATCTAGTGTTTCCTCGTCTTCCTCATCCTCGAATATGGATGACGACGAAACGACATCATTTGCAACATCACAATTGGATTCACTTCTGAGAAAACATCACCTCCTTGCAGAAATTCAACAATCAACACAAACATTGGAACGAATTAGTATGAATAGAAAGGCATGTGCCATTGATCTAGAATTTAAGGATGAACTCAAGATAAACCGAAAACACTCTGGTAAATGTTCCTTCAAATCCAATCACTCCCCAAATTCTCCGGAGAGTGATGGACACGCTAGCCGTTCTCATGACTTACTAAGATCAATTTATAATGCACAACTGAGTGCAGCCTTGCATATGGAAAATCCATCCAAACTCTTCTTAGACTTGCTGAATGAGGTCATATCTCTCATTCGTTGCCAGTACAGTTTCATTGGTGAGGTCAAGTACACAGATGATGGAAAACCTTTTCTACACTCACATGCTATATCTTTCGCCAGAACGAAATTATCTCAAGAAGCACTCGATCTATTTCAAAAATGTACACAAGTAGGCTTTAAGTTCAATAACATGAACAGTCTCTTTGGTCATGTAATGATGACAGGGCAACCTTTACTGACTAATCACCCAAAAACTCATCCTTTTGCATCACCTAATCATGTTCCTCCAGGTATGTTCAAGTATTGGTTGATTGAATCGATTGATTATATTTTTTGAATAATTATTGGATTAGGACACCCACCCCTCAATAGTTTTCTTGGACTACCTTTTATACATAATAACAAAATTGTTGGCATGATTGGATTGGCCAATAAAGAAGGAGGATTTCGTGAGGAGGATATTTCATTCTTGGAGCCAATTTGCACAACCTGTTCCACGATCATTGTTTCTTGGCAGTATTATTTGGAAAGAGAAGAGGCAAAGGAAAAACTCAAGTTGGCAAATTTAAATCTCGAACAAAGGATCGAGCAAAGAACCGAGGAGCTATTACGTAGCAATATTAAACTTAAAGAGGAAGTGGAACAGAGAAGAAAAGTGGAGCAAGAATTGTTGGAGCAACGAAAAATATCAGAGAAAGTCATTATGGAGAAGGAGCAATTTTTGAGAAATACATCACATGATCTACGTACTCCACTTGTGTGCGTTTTGGGTCTTTCTGATTTATTACTTGGATCATCAGTGAATATCAGTAATGAGCATTATGAATATCTGACCATGATTAAGAATAGTGGAGAGACTATGCTCTCATTGATAAATGATTTTCTCGATTTAATGAAATTGGAGCAACATATGAAACTCAATTCAGAATATTTTTATGCTAATGAACCAATTGAAGAGGTTATTGACCTTGTAGTTTTGGAATGTACAAAAAAGAAACTTGATCTCATAGTTGACTACAAACCAGATTTTCCTTTTAATATAATTCTAAATAGTGATAAAGGGAGACTAAAGCAAGTTGTACTCAATTTATTGTCTAATGCTGTGAAATTTACAGAGGTTGGCTATATTTATATTGGTGTACAATTGGTCAAAATTGATGCTGAACAAGCCCACTTGGAAATAGAAGGTTTGTAATATTTATAATATCATTATTCATAGACATTAAATTCAAGTTTGTGATACGGGTATTGGAATTGAAAAGGAAAATTTAACAAAAATTGGCCAACCATTCCTCCAATTTAACACCCAGCATGCACCAAAAGGAACAGGTCTAGGTGTCTCCATTTCAAAAATGATTTCAAACGCGCTCGGGGGAAGCTTGAAGGCAGAAAGTGAAGGATTAAATAAGGGATCAAAATTCATCTTTACATGTAAGACAACTTTCAAGGAAATTGAGGAACTTTCACTTGAAGATCGTGCCAACATGGAAAAGAATAACTCCAAACATGTAAACTTTTTTTCAAAGTGGAAGAATACAAGCTCTCCTCGCAATACTCAATATATGGTACTGGATAGGAATGATTTATTTTCACAGAGTTTGAAAAATTTCTCCAGGGGTTTCAATGTTGCAACGGGTTACAATGAAGAGGAGAATTTCGTAATATGCAATTCAAAACAATCACTTATTGAATCCTTAGAAGGCTCATTATCTAAATTGGACAGTTTGGATAAGCTAATAATAGTGGTGGATTTAAATTTATTGGAAGCTTTACAATCTTCGAATGTTGAAAGTATTTGTCATGAATTGAACTTGCCATTGAATCACAACAAGATTCATATACTGCCTTCCATGGTTCAATTTTCTTGCCTGAAAGAAGGTCCATATTTAAGCAAGCCAATTTTCAAACTTGCCGATTTTACACAGGCCCTCAAATCGCACCTAATTGAAGAGGTCAAACCTATAGAGAAACGATCAATTGTACCTGAGGACGAATTACTGAGCATTGCTGGTCACTTTTCTGTTCTCATTGTGGATGATAACATGATTAATTCAAAGGTTCTCTCACACATGCTAATCAAACTTGGATTACAAAAGATTTCAATAGCTTCAAGTGGTGAGGAAGCTATCAAATATGTCAAGAATAGCTGCTTTAACATTATCTTTTTAGATCTTTTCATGGATGGACTCGATGGGTTTGACACGTCTCGAATCATTCATGAAACCTGTAAAGAAAATGCTCCAAACATTGTACTCCTCACAGCAAACATTGTAAATAAGAAGGAAGAGGAACAACTCTTAAACAATGGTGTAAAATACTTCATGTCAAAGCCAACCAGGTTAAGTGATATCAGACAGCTAGTGCTCGATATTGTAAGAAGATGATAGAAAAAAATGCCAGGAAAAGTTTACCTTCCGCACACTTCATTCACATGTGCTGGCTGGAATGATCACTCAGCAACACCCGAGAAGGATATTAAATGTATTTGTAAGACAGAGTATGATCAACTTGGAATTTTAAGTGAACAAGTAAAGGATAGAGTCTTTTATTTAAACATGGAAAAACTTTCCGAATCAGCATCTGTTTTTAAACAATTATTTAATGATGATATTGCTACGAGTAGGAGGGAGGATATTTCCAAAGTGATGGCACTATCACCGGATAAGAAGGAAATTACCTTCTTTTTGCCATCCTTCATTGTCATTACATTTCTACAATTAATTTATGGAGTTTCATTGACGAGAGATTTATCAATGACTGATTTTAGGATTATTCTCACATTGCTCACACTATTTGAGTGTTCCCCAAAAGTGAAGAGTAGAATATTGGATTGCATTCACGATGATTATTTGAATGTGAATATGTGGCCATTCATTGTGCAAAATTTCTCAGAGAATCTCGCAAAGGATCACGAAGATTATTCCAAGATTGATAATTTGAGGAAATACATTGTGGAAAGTCAGGAAGATTCATTCTCTCCTGAAATAATTAGTGGATGGGATTTAAATTTCATGATCAATGAATTTTTACCAAACATGGCATCTGAATTGTCGTCAGGAATTTTCTATCAAGCCATTCACGATTGGTGTAAGATTAAATTTGCAACTATTGATTCGGCTGATAAAGTTGTGGGAGAAAATGCAAGTCAACTGAGAAAATTCCTCAAACATTTGATTGAGATTGATCAAAAGGGAGACAAAAAGCAAGCAAACACTCCAACTCCAGCAACAAATACCGCCAATGCTAAATCGAATACTTACTTTGCCATACCGAAAGTATTTTCCAATTTCCTTACAAGAATTGAGGATGAAAAGATTGTTTCTCCAAATTTGTTATTCAAAATTTATGAAATTATTTTAAAACATGTGGAGGACAATGCTGAGTAAAGTTGATTCTCTACCTCTTGAATAATATTATTGTAAAAATATATTTAAATATTAAATAGTATTTAAAGTAACAACAAAATATTAAAAAAAAATAGCAACAAGCCAAAACCTGTTGCTCTTCTGAATCATCAATTCATTGTACAAAATATATAAATCATCCATTCCTTCTTCATCATTTAAATACTTTAACTATTTAACTATTTAACTAATATTTAACTAATTAGAAAATGTCCTCACCCACTCCTGCCTACGGAAGAAAGAAGAAATCCACCAATCAAACTATCGAAGAAGATCCCGACTCTATTAAAATCTTCAACCAACTAAAAACTACAAACTCTTCCTATCAGCAAATATTGAATAGAGTTTCAACATTACACCAATCGCCATTTACCTGGGCAAGGAATTTGGGAAATGTTGATTATTGTACAGCTATAGAGCCTTCCTGTGATGCTAATTATTCATCAGAGGCTTCTTGTATTTCATGTTCATCACAATTAATTAATAATAATAATATGATGACGATGATGAATACTACATCATCATCAATAGGTGGAAATTCATCGGATTTTATAAACAGTTGTATTGAAAGATTGGAGAAGGGAATTCCTTTGAGAGAAATTGAAATTAAACAATTATGTATCAAGGCACAGGAAGTTTTGATGAATGAAAGTAATATTGTGAGAGTTTCATCTCCTGTTACAGTTGTTGGAGACATTCACGGTCAATTTTGGGATGTAATTGAAATGTTTAGAGTTGGAGGACCTTTACCGAATACTAATTACTTGTTTTTGGGAGATTATGTGGATAGAGGAAAACACTCTGTATTGACAATGAGTTTACTGCTGTGTTATAAATTAAAGTGGCCACAAAGGATTACTCTATTGAGAGGTAATCATGAAACTAGAGGAATTTCTAGAACTTATGGTTTTTATAAGGAATGTATGGAATATTATGGAAGTCCAAATACTTGGAATTATTTTACTGATCTTTTTGATTATTTAACAGTGGCTGCATTGGTGGATGAAAAGATTTTCTGTGTACATGGTGGACTTTCTCCTGCAATTACCTCTCTGGATCAGATAAGAGTTTTGGATAGATTTGGAGAACCTGGAATGGAGGGTCCACTTGTGGATTTATTGTGGTCTGATCCAGATCCAGATCGTGAAGGATTCGGAACTAATAATTCAAGAGGGGCTGGCTATTTATTCGGAGGTGATATTGTTAAAAAGTTCCTCCATTTCAATAGTGCCATTCACATGTGCAGAGCTCACCAATTGTGTGATGCTGGCTATCGATTACTCTTCGATGATAGACTCAGTACAGTGTGGAGCGCACCAAATTACTGTTATCGATGTGGTAATAAGGCATCAGTTCTGGAAATTGACCAGGAATTGAACATGTTTTTCAATATATTTGAAGATGCTCCTTCACACGCAAGAGAATGCACTGTGGATAGTAAACTCCACAAGAGTACAATGAAACTCATCAAGCCAAAGAATGGCAATGGAGATTTCAAAGTGGCAACCTCTATCAATGGTGGTGATGAGTCCAGTTTTGATGTTTCTCAATATTTCCTTTAAGAAACTTGTAAATAATACTAACCAACACCCAACTTTTTCGCAATGTGAAATAACAATTTATTCAAAGTAGGAATAAAGATTACAAAACAAATCAAAAAAAATGTTTAGAATTGGTTCAAGGTGTTTCACATCAGCTGTTGTGAAAAATTATCACATTAAAAAGAATTTATTTTACTCTCATCATTTAATTATTAATAATTCTTGTTCTAATAATGCAAAGAAATATTCTTCATCATCATCAACATCGGAACAACAAGAAAAGAGAAGAAAGGAATTTTTGGCAGTTCAAAAATTAGGACAACTCTCATCAAAGGCCATAACTAATCAAAAACTTGGAAGATTCGAGGAAGCTATTAAAGTTTATCAGGAAATTGTGGAAATGAAACCAGATTCAATTTTTGCAATGCTTCAAATTGGATATATTCTTGCATTTGAATTGAATAGAAAATTGGAAGCCATTCCACACTTGGAGCACGTTATTGAATTAACTAAAATTCCAGAAGTTTACACAACTGCAGAAGAAATGGATGATTTAATTATTAATGCTGTTGAATTTCAACCAAAGGCAAATTATTTCCTTGCCAAACTTTATAGAGAACTAGCAATGGAATCATCTGATTTGAATGCAAGAAGAGAATCTTTGGAAAAGGCCAAGAATGCCATTGAAAAGAGTCTTATCATGCTCCATGAAAACAGAGACAATATGGAAATTCAACCAGAAGCTATTTTGCCATTTGAAAATTTACTTGAAGAAATTGTAAATCTGTCCAAACCTCAACAATAAAATAGTGTGGTGTTGAATCAATCTTGTATTTACAAAGTTAAAAGTTTACAACAAGAAGGATGAACCTCTACAAGTATTGGACTATAATCAACAGCCTCTCCATCCACAACAACAAACGATCCAGTATCAATTGGTGTAAGCATGAATGCCTTCACTTTCGACAAATCAACACACTTTTCAAAAATATGATCTCCCTTCTCTGCTGCCAAAAAGATATTGAGGAAATCTCCTCTTGAAATGTCATCCTTCACATAGACCAAATCAATGTAACCATCATGATGGTGAGCCATTGGTGAGGCAATGAAATCAAAGGAAATGTGTGAAATATTGGCGGCCAGGAACATGCAAAATCTGTCCTCAATTTCTTTGACTTCCAAGTGAGAATTGGTGGAATCCTCAGTGATATTTGGTTCCTTTTCAGAACAATATTCTGGAGCCAATTTCTTAAATTCCTCATGGAAATATTGTTCCAAGAGTGGACAACTTAGTTGACCCTTTTCATTTTCCTTTCCTTGTAAAAATTCAATACTACTCTCTGTATAGGATGAATACCTTTGTTCATTCTCTCGAATGTTTTTCAGAGATTTTACACGTTTCAATTCTTGAGATTGTTGAACATATTTAAGCTTTCCTCTGTATGCCTTCTTGTTCATAATTTGTTTGATAGCTCCGACCGTGTTTCTGGCTGCACCCAGCCATCTCATATTTTCAGTGCCAATATCCACATCTGCAATAGCACTCCAAGTAATACTCAGGAATGAGATGTATCTCTTATTGGCCTCTTGAAAACAGGATAAAAGATCCATAGGTTGATGGAACCCTCTGGCGATAATAAAGGCGGCCATTTCAGGAACTGCTGGCTTTCCACTTTTAACTTGAGATCCAGAAAATACAGCCAAAGCATTGGAAGTTCCTCCTGGAATATGACCAATCCTGACACGATCAAATACATTCTTCCAATCCTTTCTCTTTCCAATTCCGTTGATTATTTCATAAATAATACCATCTCCTCCCATTCCACAAATATCTGTATATTCCAAAATCTTATCAGAGGTAGAACAAAACTCAAATGCATGATCTGCCCTCTCTGTAATAATTGCATCATATGAAAGATGAGCAACATCAAGCATTGGCTTGATTTGTTTCTCAAAAATCTTGGTTCCAGTCTTCTTTCCACTGAATGGATTAATAAAAAGCAAAACTCTACGATTTCCAAATGATTTAGATCCCGACATGATTAAATTAGTTTTAAAAGCATTCGATCTAATACTATCAACCCACTCTGCACATTCTTCATTCCCCAAAGCCTCAAATTCATAAACAATCTTCTTACAATCCTTTGCCCTAAATGTAAACACAACAAACACAAGAGGTTGATCCGTTTTCTTATGAACAGCAAATATAGATTCCATTTCAATCGTCAAGAGAGGCACCAAATTGTCGTTGCTCTTCTTTCCCTCCAAATTTCGCAATATCAGAAAATCACCATTCAACTCTGCTTTGAATTTCTTATTTCGATATCGGAGGTTGGAATCTAATGTAATTGGCTTGAATCCAATGAGGTTCTGATCATTATTATTAAGAGAATAATTATCAATGGCGGTTAATTGTTTTTGCTGTTCGGAATGTTGTTGATCTTCAACAGCTACAACTCCCGAATCATTGTCATTCACAACGAGTGTGATTTCTTCTTCTGCTGCTTGTTGAGTCATTTTTTTTAACGGAGTTTTTAAATGAAATCCGTCATTATGATTTGGATAATATTAAATGTCAATATATTTAAATGTTAAATATATTATTAAAGTTTTTTGTAATAATTTCTGCAAATATTTAAAAAAATGATGAACAACTACTTGCATGATGATTGTGTTGGTGAAGTATTTTCGTTTCTTCCACTTGCTGATTTACTTCTCGGAGCATCACTCGTTTGCAAGAATTGGTTCTTCATTACTGAGAATTTACCGAACAACACTTGGACAATTCAAATTCGATACTTTCTAGAACAAACTGCTCATCACTATGAAGAACTTTATTCAAAATCGAGGCAAGAAAATTTAAATTTTGAACAGAATTCTAAAAAGGTGATGCTCACAAATTTCAAGAAGGGAATGAGAATATGTTATAAAAAGAGAGCCAAACAATTGAGAAGAAAAGCACAGAGAAATGGATTGCAACATGTTGCAACATCGAGTAGGGAGATATTGATACGAATTATTGCTCATGAATGGTATTATTTATTTCAAAACTTTTGTAATAGATTTGATGAGTTAAAGTATGGTTTGACTAGTGAGGATGTTAAGGAAATTCTGATTTGTAGGAATTTGAGTTATAAGCCTCAATTTAAAGATGCAGAAGTATGTATGAGGAGCTTTATGGAAAGTTTTGTTAAAAAATCTCAAACCTATTCGAAAGAAGTTTCAAGAGTGTTGGAAAGTGAACGTGCCATAGAATTTCAAAGAGGACTTTTGGAAAAGGTTAAATTTGATCAAGAATGTATAGAGATTTTAATGAAAAATCCAACGTTTCAAGTACGTGGATATCTAATCCAAAACATGAATCCAAAAACAGTTAGTTGTGAATTGTTTCGAGAAATGATGAAACGTCTCAAATTACCCATGTACACGAATTTAGCAAGATTATTCAATGAAAGGATTGATTTCTTACAGATAGCAATTGAGGAAGTGTCTAGTAGGTCAGATAGGGGATTATATTCTCTTCTTACTTGGTCCACATTATCTTATGAAACATTATCGCAAATTGAAAGTCCTCAACTCAAAGATTACCTAAAGATTCGCTACCATTAAAGTGAAAGTTCGTGTTCTATTGTTTAAAAGTTAATCTTTAGATTCTTGAGCTGAAGGAATGACAATGCTAGCAGTATCTAGACCATAAAAATCAGCCAAAGCCATACACATATTCTTTCCAAGATTGCAATAATTTTCCATTGTGAAGGGGCTCATTTTCGTTGATTCTGCACTGGATTTGTAACTAAAGAAAGAAACCTCCAAGGTGTAGCAATACTTTGCAACATTGAGAACCTCTCCCAATACTCTTCTACTTGCACCGAGTTTGGATGGATCTTTACATCGTTTAGTGTCACTCATAGAAAATTCTTTAGCTCTATAATCTAAAAGTTTTGGGAATCTGAGTTGATCCGAATCCATTGTGGAACTGTTTGGTTTGTTTCCATAATTTACATACATGAAACCATTGTTTGCAGCTGAGTGAGAGTGTAGATCCATAAAGAAATCGATTTGATAATTTGGATCGTTTCTCAATTCGAGCAAGTACTTTCTCACATGATAAATAGTTGGTTGACTCCACTCTTGAGGACTCAGCCAATGTCTATTAAGATCGAATCCCATACTACAGGTTCTGTAATTTCCAATTGCGACACCATCAGGATTTAACATTGGAACAATTTTGAAAATTAGCTTTTCTCTCAACTGTACAGCAACAGGATGGTTGGAACATATAAAACTGATAAATCCATGACAAACAAAGCTGGCAGGAGTTTCTCCTGGATGGACTCTTGAGGTGATAAAGACAATCTTTTTCTTCTTGATGGTAGTATCAGCCAGAAGAGATGGGCTGGCAATTGTCAAAATGTCACACCTCCTGTTTTGGGCTGTTTTACAGAGCTCTGATCTATGAAAATAATTGAAGTTCTTGGATTCAATAACGAAAAGGAATTTTTGCAACTCGGTATAAGTATAAGGATAGCAATAGGAAAAGTAATATTCATCTTCATCTCTATCAAAGACAAAAACAAATGATAACAAATTGGGTGCTGTTGCAATATTGGCATATTTTGCAGGTTTTCTGTAATAGTAAACTTGTTTTTCAGGAATTCTCTCCCACTTGGGTCTGCTAGTACTTGACACAAGTGGTGTCATTCCTTGTCTGTAGAGTGATTTGTTCTTACTCAAATTTGTAATTGTAAACAAGACTTTTTGATTTTTCAAAACATTTGATACTTTGAAATAATACCACATCCTCTTTCCTGGATTGTAAGTATCTCCTCTCACATAAAGATCATACTCATTCTCATCGACACGAATTACCTTCTCCAAGTTTCCACTCTCAAAAGATGAATCAAATAATAAATTTCCCTTATATGTTGGTCTGTTGAGTACCTGTTGCTGTTGTTGCTGTAAATCGATAGGCATTGGAGGTGTTGGGTTCTTAAGAACTGCTGTTGTACTTCTCGGTGATTTCAATTTGATATCTGGAATACTACTATTAACATTATACATTTGGGATGTGATTGAATTAAAATCGTCAATGGAATTCATCAGTGACGATGTCTCCCTTGTTGGAACTTTTGGTCTACTACTTGTCAATGATGACCTCAGAAAGGAATCCTCACTCACCGATGTATGTAAAACAACATCAGGCGATTCATCATCAATAATGTTTGTGACTGAGGCAATCCTCCTTGAAGTTAATGGAGCTTGAATAGAGTCATTCAATGAGGCTCTTGTATTCAATCCTGAACATAATTCCGATTCATCACCCGAACTACTACTTGCCAAATCATCTTGATAATTATTCTTTTGATTATCGCCACCTCCTCCACCATATTGAAGAAAATCCTCATCATTTTGTGCCAAGCTACTAGTACTCGATGAAATAGTGGGTATTGATGTAAGGCTCAAGTTTGAGGAAGAAGGTGGGAGATTCATTTTTTTTCTAATGCTTTAAGAAATAGTACTGATTATTTGGCGCTCTTTTTTCAGTATACACCCAAATATCAAAGGTTTTTATCTTTGGATTCAAAATGTGCCAAAAAAGAATGTTTCATTTGGTGAATAAAATCTACTCTATCAGTTAGGGGAATCACTTTTTCAATCAAGTTACATCAGTACAACCTCGGTGGAGGTCAAATGATTAATCATCAGGTTAGAGTTTTTAAAGTGCACAGATTACAAACAACAAGCAAATGTCGAAGGAAGAACAAGTGCATCTTTCGCTCAGGAAGCAAACTTGGTGTGTTATCAAACATCATTTTGGTTTAGATAATTTTTTTTTAAAAAATATAAAATATTTTCCTATTTCTTCAATGAAATGAAAACGAGCAAAGACGACAAGGGATTTCTAATGGAATGCTTGAATTTAAGTTGGAATAGATTATCAGAAGTTTTAGATTATGTTTAGAGAAAAGCTACTGCTACCTATTCATTCCAAGTTACTCCATCTCCCTCCACTCGTTCTGCACTCAAATGGCCATTCGCAGATTACAATAGAATTTACCAATTGGAAAGAATGCAATCTATGTTCCTGCCAATATTCGTAACATTGATAGTGGTACTATAATTCTACCAGATGAAGATGTGCTCATTATGAATTCTAGTTATCCACTCACTCCAATTTACTATTCGACAGGTTCTTGGAATGGAGGAAATGCACGTTGTGATATTGTGAATCCACCAAAGGTTTTGGCCACTGTTCCATTTCCAAGTGATCTTGTGTTGCCATCTAGTTTGGCTAATTATGCTGCTGCCATATTGATGCAAGATGGACAGACATTGGTACAGACACAACCATTGTGTCATTGTACAAATAGTACTGCCACATCAAATGTAACCTCCATGACCAATATTATCAAGGTTAATTTATATGGAGATGGAAGACTTGGATCTCATGGAGGATCTGGATTGTCATCTATTGGAGGAGCTCTTCGATTGGGAGAGTTAATTCCAGATGCTAATGGAACAGTTCATCCAGTACGTCATGCCTTAAAAGCTGATTTATGGGCAGCCAAAAATTATTTTAGAAAGGATCTCTACTCGCTCTCAATAGTAATATTGATATTTATTCTATGGGACACTTCAAAATTATGGAGTCTATCTAGTGGATGACACCTTTTGGAATGCAATCAATATTGGTACTGAAATATCAGCTGAGGGAAGCTATAATGATCAGTTTGAAAAAGCATATGGTCTAAAATTTGGATCACGTGGTAATCAGTGGGCACTCGATGTGAAATTATTGTTTTCAAATATTTCAGTTGTTGATAATTGGAATATGGGAATGTGGCAACAAGTAGCTGCATCCAATGGTTCAATGGGTTCTGGTGGTGGAACTCCTCTTATGAGCTGGGCTCCACAATTTTACAATGGAACATCAAACCCAAAAACTTCAATTTCACCACCATTCAGAAATGTATCTATAAGAAATAGTTCAATGGAAAATGGAGAATTGACTCTTCAAGCATTTGGTCATCAAATCATTGTGTTTATGATTTGTTTCGTATTAATATTTTTATAAACTTACTTTTGGTATCTTTTCACACAACTAATCAACCATAACACCCAACAAGAACTTTACAACTGTTCAAGAACGGGTTCTTTGGTGTATTTAGGATCTTGAAATCTTACGAATTATCCTGAGGTTATTCTTCAAATAAATATGATTCCTCACTTCATGATATGAGGAGGGATTGATATCATGATTATTTGGAAGTATTATTCAAATTTTGGATACTATCTGTATTGAAATCAGGTTGAAAGAGTCAAATCTTTAACACTATATATAAAATATGCTTGTAGCCAATTGTTTTGACCTCAAACACACATCAGATTTTATTAATAAAATAAATTTCGAGTAAAATTTATCCGCGGTTTTTATAAAAAATGTTCGGAAGCTTTGCGTCGTAGCCTTAATTTTCAAAGAAGAAAACAAGCCTTGCTTTTAAAAGCCTTCTACAAGTAACTATTTGTACAACACTACAACTTGTATATTTCACTACAATGATCAAAATTAAAAAAGAAATAGAACAGCATGATGTTCAACTACAAGACAATTTCTGGATCATCCACAACAACAAGCCTTCCGAGTAGTCTACTTTCATCATCAATGGCTGCTTCCTCTCATCATTTACATAATCCTCTCTCCATCCTATCTTCATTACCATCTACCATAGGAGGAACAACATCAATCCATAACAATGTAACTAGTGCTTTTCCTATTGGACAACAAGCAACACAACAAGCAATTTGTCTTGAATGTGCCTTGGCATTCCTGTTTGATAAGAGCCAATTATCGTTGAGGAAGATTAAACTATTAGATGTGTTGAAGCAACTTCTTTGTCCTTCTTCCTCGGCCATGATTATATCTTCACTAGCCTCTGGGATGAATCCTAAAATCAATTCAATGGTCAATGATTTGGATCATGTAGGTCCTTTGTTACTTTCCACTTGTTTGAAAGCTATCCTTCCTGCTTCATCATCACTCGTGTTGGACAATAGTCAAGGAGGCTTGAAGACTAAATCAGCATACCAAGCATCATCATTGGGAGAGAACAACATACTTGAAGAGGTTATTCGCTTATGGTTGGAAATTGTTCCAACTGATAAGTTACTTTCCAGAGATTTTCCTCTAATTGTGCAAGTGGTAAGTTTGCTTTAAACTCTATATTCTAAACTTCAATATTCGAATCCACCTGGATGTGATGTTCTTTTAGATGTGTGGAATAAGTGAAGAACAACAACAATTTGGTGATGTTTGTGCCAACTTTCTCTGTTTATTAGTTGACAAGATTTGTAGAAGTCTTCAATCTGAAGATTGTTGGAATGTAGTGAACATACCTGTGGAAGCCTTCTCTTCACTGCTCATCATCCTCATCAACAACTTTACTTCCAATCAGCTATCATTCAACAAGACGGAAAATGAACAAAAGTCTGATGTTCTATTCATCATATTGAAATTATGCCAAATTATTCAACTACACAGTGATTGTACTCGAATTGCACATGGTGTGTGGAACAACAAATCCAATGAGACATTCATTGACACTGTTCTTGCTTGTTTGTTGAAGGCTGAGGATGAAGATCTTCATATTAATGCTTTGGCTGTTTTGCATTGTCTTGTTAGGTTTGACAGGGAGGCTCTTGATGTACTCTCCATCATTGACTACCAAAGATTAATTAATGCTCTCATATCAGTGATTCTCTCTCCAAACATTTCCATACAAATTATTTGCAACCAACTCATACTGGAATGCTCAACAAAAAGTCAAGATGCCAGAGTTCAATTTTTAAATTCAGATATTAGTGACTTTCTTTTTGAAGCTCTTAACAAGGATGCTACTGGAGAAATAAGCCCATCAATTTTAGCCATATTTCACTCCCTTTTGGTTTCTGGAAACAATTTGGTTGGTACTAATTTTTTGCATAATTTCCAAGAGTTAGGTATTACAGCATTGTTAAAGATTTTTCCATCCAAAGTTGAAACTATTGACCACTTGAATTTGTCAAATAATATTCTGAGCATATTTTACATGTACTATTTGAATAGTGTAGAATTTGGCCTTACTACCCAGAAAGACTTTCAAAATAATTTCAATTCATTGTGCGAACAGATCAGTATCACAATAATTAATTTTCCTAGTGATGTTGTAAAGGAGATGGTTACAACAATTGGCTTGAATTTCAAGACTCTCTGTGAGATTTGCTATATGTTCATACAACAATCTACACTCGATACGAGTAAACTGGTACACCATTTAACAGTATTATTTAGCACTATTTTGAAAAATGGAGTTTTGGATGAAGTTGAAGAGGGACTTGCTACTTTTATGATTTGTGCTATTGGGCTTGGAAGATTGAGTGAATTTCAACAATCAGATTTGTTATCAAGAATTGATGAGCTCATTCTTGAGCATGTTAATATCTCTGAGAGTCTTCATGAAAGATTTTTGAGAACATGTCACGACTATTTCTATCAAAGACTTGTTCAACAAAAAAGGGCCAGTATTCTTGATTATCTATTGCAAAAGAAATTTGTATCATTATCTATTAATTCATCCTGTGAAATGACACTTGCTCACAAACAGCTATTAGTCCTAGTATTGCACTCTAGTGATTTATTGGATTCACCTGTAGAGAGCTCCATATTGGATCAGATTGATTTTTCTCCAACTAGCATTGTTGGTATGTTACGAAGTGATCTTTGTGCATTAGGAATTGCTCTTTTACATTACACCCTTTTTAATAATGAAATTATTACACCACTGAATACATTATTGTCCACTATTTCAACAATGATTCTTGATAAGAGCCTTAGTAATTTGAGCACTCTTTCCAGGCTCAGACTTTCCGAACTCTTTGTTGGTCTTTCCTTACATTATTCTTTCGGCACAATTCCCTCCACAATATCTAACTTGGTTCTGGGTTGGTATCTGGAGTGTATGAAGTTGACAAATTTTTCCTTCAAGGAGAGAACCTCACTCTTTGTAAAATGGGCTTCTCAACAGGAGAGCACAACAAGTGGTATTACACGTACCTTATTATCTGGTCTTATCAACATGCAATCACATAGCCAAGAGTCGTATTTGCTTGGTATTTTAAAGGATGCCAGAGTGGATCTTGTACCAACTCTAGTTTCACTCTTTATGGAAAATTCAACATCGAAAAATTCAACTACCCAATTCTTGAGAATACTGAGCGAATACTTCACAACAGAAGCACTGGTTCATGAGAAGGACTCTACACTTGTCATTCAGAAAATAATAGAACCTACTTTGAGTAATATTTATATTTCACTCAAGAAGGGATGTAACACCAACCTTACATCAACTCTTGATGAGATTACTAAATGCACTAGCATCATATTGGATTTCTCGAGAAGTGTTGTTTATCTCTCAACTATTTTTAATCACTATTCTAAAATATTTCATTCTCTTTCAGACCTAAAGCTAGATTTGAAGACTATTGGCCTCACTATGAATATACTAACGAAAATTATCTACTTGATAAGATCAGCAGATGATAATGGCATTTCTTTACAGAGACTCTCTAGCTTTCAAGTCAAATCCAACTTGACAAGGTCACTTCAATCCATAGAGAAATTACTCACTTTATTTGATTCAGAGAATATTGCAAGTGGTTTTATTATTAGCATCTTTCAACTCATAACAGCCTTGCTTCGTAGTATGGTGGGATCAAGCGAAGAGAATTCCCAAATTTGTGAAACATTGTTGAAATTTACCATTCAATATTTGAATAATGATTCTCCACTTTTAAGAATTCTTTCAACATGTACATTCCACACAATATTGTCAACAAGTAGCAAGATTGATCATTCGAAAGTTTGGAGTTTTACCTTGGCTTATTCATTACTGAATAATATTTTAAGTGTAAGTACAATCATATCTTCAGTGTCGACTAATATTTTTTGATACCTATGTATAGAATGAAGATTTATTGGCACTTTATTCTGTAAAATCTCTTTACTTGTTGGAAATTAAGAGGAATATGTCAGAATCAATACTTGCTCAGAGTATGTGGAACGAATTTATTGTTTCTTCCATTATGAATGATATAAGAAATGAGGAAACTTTTCGGCCATCCTTTGTTGTTTACATGTGTTCAATAATGTGGGCATGTCCTCCTTTATTTCATCAATTATTTGAAACGTATTTCAAGAGAGATTTCTTTAGAAAGTTAATTGACTCTGCCAACTCTTCTTGTGTTAATGAGTGGAAGGCCTTGATTGAAACATTATTGTCCCATCCAACTATTTCTGTCGAGGACAAACTATTCATAGCCAATCACAGTTATGAATCATGCACAAAGATAAAGGATACAATCTTTGAATCACATGTTCCTGGAGAGACGTGCATAACCAGCGATATTTTCCTTCATCCTCAACTGTTAGAAATTGGCAGAAATAAGGAATTTGCAAGTGTATTGCTAAATATGCAACAATTACTAGCCAAACAATTTAAAATCATTAGTTAGATGGCTTCCACTCATAAAAAGACACTATCAGACTTGTCTGAATCGCTTATATTCTCTTCTGATGCAACCAATCGTTTAGCTCTTTCGAACAACTTTACAACTATTGCCGAATCACTCCACACATCAGCCAATCTTTCACAAACACTATAAAATTGGAGATACTGACCAGCGAAGAGAAGCTCTTTGGCTTGCAACAAGTCATTTTCCAACTTTTTCTCCAAATCAGAAGCCTCACTCCTGAATGCTACTAGATTGTAAACACATGTTGGATTACTCTTTCCTCTCAATTTGATTAGATCAACAAAATACAAAACAAACTCTTCCTTCACTCTCTCAACAATCTCGCCACTTACAAGGATGGCACAATAATTTGGAGCTAGGGATTGTAATCTTAATGCAATATTACAGGCATCACCAATCACAGTAAATGACATTCTACTCTTATTTCCTAGACAACCAACAAGCATTTCACCACATGTGATTCCAATAGAAATACTCAATTGAATACCCATTAAATTATTCCATTTAGTGTTTAAACCTTCTAATATTTCCATACACTCAATGGCAGCTTTACAGGCTCGCGATTCATGATTGGCACATCTGAATGATTTTTCATTCCAAAATATCATAATAGTACCTTCAATGAATTTATCAATAATTCCATAATGAGCTTCAATTACCTGTGATATAGAGCTATAATATTCGGTAATGACTCGAATAAATGCTGTGGTTTCGGTTTTTTCAGCAAGTGCTGCAAAATTATTGACTCCACAATACATGACTGTCATGCTAGGTTCTAATTCCAAACCAATTTTCCCATACTCTTGCATATTTGAGACAATCATCTTGGCAACAATGTGTGGAACATACTTGCTGAATGCAAATATTCCTCTCTGTGTAATTTGTATATTTTCATCCATTTCTCTAATTTCATTGAATACTGTTGCATGTTTCTTGTATGGAGATTCCAAGCCTTTAAATGAAATGAGATTATTCATTTGTTTGGTAATATCTATCAGAGGCTGGTTAATAGATTGAACAATACACAATACAATTAAGGTTTCTAATACAAATAAGATAATAAATAAAATGACGGAAACAACACCCGTGGATATGACTTCTGAGAAATAACTTCTTTCCAAACTCGTTGTCACAACAGCCCAAGTTAAATTGTAATTATCTCTAACTGTTGAAATCTCCACTACTTTCCCCTTATAATCAAAAATGTACGATTCGTTGGCACTCAGATTCATGTTTAGTAATCCAGTATTATATATTTCACGAGCAAGTTCATCAATAGAAGAGTCGCTATCACTACTCCTTGCCAAAACATATCCAGTTCCATTGATTATGAATGATTGTAGCGAAGAGGAAGTGTTCAGAAAGGTGTTGACATATTGGATCTTGAACTCTAATGCAACAATTCCAAATAAATAATCCTCAGATGTGCCATTAAACTGCACTAAATCTTTTGGTTGAGTAGCAACAATAGTTTCATTAACCTCTGACATGCTCAGGTTTCTTGTTGGAATTTGGCTATAAATTGGATAGGCAAAATAAACTGAATACAAGTTCTCCTCATTCAAATATGCGTGAGTCCAACAAGGCTCAGACGCCTTACGTGAACTCTGCACCTCCCTATACCAATCACTATCCGTTGGTGAAGTAATATGATGGTGTTCTCTATCAACCAATTGCAAATCATAATACGACAATAGGAGTGCACTATTATTCCTTACAGCATAAACGAAATGTTTTTTCAAGCCCTCTGATGTATTGAAATGTTTGCTCGTTTCGAATAGATGGTTTCTATACAGTATATAATAATCATCATATCGTATAAATTGAATGGAAGATATTTGTCGACTGATAATCATTCTCTCAGCTGTTCGTAATAATCGCATCCACTCAATTTCATGATCCAATTCCATCAATCTTCCAATGTAGAGAGTGTAAAACATCAAGTCAACCAGAGTTCTAGCAGAATTTTGAATTTTCACAACTCCCATCCTTAGTTTGTAGCTCATTTGCCACCTTTCGTATCCATTTGTGTTTTTGTAAATATCGGATCCACTAGAGAACAGCAAGACGAAAGAAGCCAAAATCCCAAAAAATGTTTGAAAAACAAACAAGACAAAAATTAGGTTCATAATTCGGAAACCATATCTTCTACAGTTTACTCCGCATTCTCCACAAGAAGATTGTCGTTTCTTTCGTTTTTTCTTTCGTGGTGTTGTTTGGATGTTTGATTCAGTTTCGTTTGATTCTTCTTTAGAATTATTTAGACGAATGATAGGAGCCTCATCAATATCATCACTATCAAAATCAGAGTAGAAAGCAACTGGGAAATCCGATTGTTTAGATCGTGAAGTTGACTTCTTCTTTGTCCTTCCTCCAATTATTGATTCTCTTCGATGTTGATATTGGCCAAGGTTGTTGTTATTCGGTTGATTGTCACCGTATGAAAACATTCTGTTAAGACAGTGCAAGAGATTTCTTCTTATTTTCTTAAAGGAAATTATTCTATTTTGTTCATTTAGATTAGTTGATAAACTCCAGTTGAACGAACGTAGTCCTTATCGTATGTAGTACTCGAAAATATCAATGTGGTAACGAGTTATCCAGATCCTCGGATATAGACCACTTAGTGCATCAACTCCATGAATAATATTAATGGAAAATTGTTATCATCATAAATTGATTAGAATAATCTGGACACATATTCTTGGAATCATGCTGATCATGATATCACAAAAAACATAATAATTAATTCCCAAGAATAGTAAACCACACCATGCACCCACTAGACAATAACATCCAAAGACTATCACATGCAGCTTTTTTTTTAATTAAAAAATAAAATAATCTAAAAAATTTACAAGAATAAGGCGGGAAAATTTATCAACAAGATAGGATAGCCTAAAATCCTCTAACTATTTCGATCGATCTACTAATTTTATTTAGATTCATATACCACACTGCTCACTTTCCAAAATGAATTAGTCTCCTTATTGAACAGAAAATTTACCTCTTGTTCCTCGATCTAATGTTGAATTGTGTCAAAAATCCATCTTACAATAGTTTCAGGCACTCTTCAGCATAAAATTGAGAGATGACCCATTTCATTCCACGTCAGAACAAAGACAGAACGAATACTTGTGCCATTTCGTTCAATGAACCACAAGTTTCACAGAAGTATTTCACATCCCAGCAAAAATTAATCACTTGATTAAAATCAAAACAAAATAATAATTCCAAGAATTTACAACAATTAAGGTGGAATTTCTAAAAGGCAAGGTTTGATTTCTATTCGCTCCCTGCTCATAAAAGGAAATTGCAATATTATCCGATCCACACAAACAGATTCCATTGCACTTGATAGATGGAAGACAACTTGAGCGAATTTTGGATATAAGGGTTTGAAAGCACTCCTCTCTCTTTAACGGTTCTCTCATGTTGAACATAATTTACATAATTCATCAAATGTTTGGTTTCACATTCGGTCATCAACATAGGAAGAGGGACAAATCAAAATGACTATTCACTGAAATTCTCTTTAATGGATTATTTATTCGCAAGTGAACGATTGCATGCATTTCATGTAAAACCTCCCAATTGATACCAAAGCAACAGGAAGCAATTTTTGTTAATGAGCCGCTGAATTGAAATCAACTTTTCTAATATAAATTAAATATTATTTTAATCCAATAACTTTCATGTTTATGGTTTAAATTGTTTTCGTCTAATGTCTTGTAAATTCCAATAACCAATTTTGATTAGCTGACCAAAAATTAGTTTCTAATAGTTTTGAATGATGACATCTTTGCGTATTCGTATCGAGCTCTTCAACCTGCGTTTTGCTATTTACAATTTCCTCTCCACAAGTAATCTGCTAGGCTCTATTACTCAATGCCTAAAATCCTCTCAATATATTTGATCTGCTCGTAGGTTTCTAATTATTTAGTTTGATTCGTCTGTTGGTGTTTGTGAAAAAAACAACAAAGTACGAAGGTAGTGCAAATATCAACAACCTTCATATCTAAGAAGTTACTGTTTCTTCCTTTCTCTGTTAACATTTTATCACGGTCGTTGGCGATTTACAAAGATCTTCAACATATTAATTTACTTTCGTTTTCTTTCGAAAACATGACAATTTTAAACAAATTGATTCCCTACCATCAGTTTCTTCACCAAAATCTAAACATGATTATTCCAAATGGGCAACAAACACATCAGCAACATGAGCAACAATCAAGCAACATGTTGTTTCCAAATAATTCTTATTCGAATCCTGTTCAAACTTCTTCAATATCTTTCCAATCCTCACCTCCTTTTGTCTTCCTCTCTAATAATCAACAACAACCTTCATGTCTACCTCCATCGAATGCTTCTGTTTCCAATAATCGTTTTGTGCCTCCTTCGAATAATGAACGACAACTTTCGTCTAATGGTTTAGTTTCCTCTTTTGGTAACAACAATACAGAGTTTTTACGAGATGATATCCTTTTTAGAAGTTTATTTTCAGATACTGGCAGTAACAATAATTGTATGCAATACTAACAATGTTAGTTTCGACCAAAGCATATTCGATAGTTTTCAAGATTCCTTGGGATTGAATGCAACAAACAATAATTCGAATAACTCTTTACTGAAACTGGATATTGATTCCTTATTTCTTGATCCATGCAACTGGATCGAACACACTGAAAAATCAGAACAAGTTTCGAATAGCAAGACATTTCAACAAGAAAGCAAAACACAATCCACCAACCAAGTTCTAAATCCACTCCAAACCACTCATTCCACCTCCATAGTTTCACCAGCAGTCTCCCAACCAACAATTACAAATTCCAACAACGATGATCACTCATCATCAGCTTCCTCCACATGGATTACCAACAATTCACATGGAAAACGTTCAAGATTTTCGAGTGGTTCCAATAGTCAAGGATCAACAAATAATCCAGAACCTACTTTACAAAAAATCACAACCCATGTCGTGCAAGAAGATCAAGATGATGATGAAGAAGAATGCAGGTCAATTCTGCAAGATGAAGAGTTTGGAGGATGGTTTTTCACACAAGCTCCAACAAGTATAATTTTGACATGTAATCCAAAATTTACAATTAATATTTATCACAAGCCACTGGGAGCTACTCATAGTGTTTTTGTGAATGATGATATTTTGGTGCATATTCCAAGATTTGATTCGAATAGAATTGAGGATTTGTTCTGTGATAGAGTGCAGCTCCAAATGAGAAGCTATTTAGTTTCTTCCGTTGTCGAGAATCCAAATGAAGTGATTAATAACATTTCACAAATTGATCACCTCACTGCTTTGGAATTTTATGAGAATTTATCAGATAGTCGTTTCGTTTCCAATCTTCAAGATCCTAATCTCCCTTCTGGTTTTTCAATTAAGGTACCAATTAAGAGGGATAATACTTCCAAAAGAGGTAAAAGAAAGGAGAAACTAAACTCTGTCATTGCAAGCTCTTCCTCGCCAAACAACAATAACAAATTGCCTCACTCTGACGACTCTGACAATAGCTCCTCCTTCATTGAATACACCTCCTCTCCAAAAAAGAAAAAGAAAGGAGAATCGGCTCCCAAGAAAATAATCTTTCTCCTCCTCATTGATCGAGATTCGGGCGATATACTTTACAGATCCGAGTTATTATGGCAGAGAAGTAAGACAAAGAGGGAAATGGAACAGAAAAAACCAATTGGTGAAGAAAGTTCCATAGGAAATAGTTCTGAAACCAATCAGAAAAAGAGAAGAAACTCCACATCAAATGCTTCTGCGAACAAACAGAAACCCAACAAGAAGACGAATAAAAAGAAATGAAAAATTTATTTGGCGCCAAAATCAAGTTCTCGTTTACGTTTTTCCAAGTTCTAATTTTTAAAAAATTGCATGAACTCGCATTGAGGGGCTAACGCAAAATAAGGTTCATCACTATCAATTATTAATATTGGTTTTTTTATTAAGAGAGGGAAAGAACCTATCTTTCTATTTGTAAAGATATAAGAGAAAAATCAAGTACTACTTGTAAATAATGTCCTCAGATAACAACAATTTGCTGATCAAGAAGAGATCGCCGAATAGTATCAACAATAATAACAACAATAATGGCTATTTGGGAGGAGAGGGAGCTTCTAATTCTCGTCCCTCTTCTTCGGGAGGTCCTCCAAATAATGCAATAAGCAGCAACAGTAGTAATAGTAACAATGGTGATAAGGTCACTAATGGATTGTACAGCAAACATAATATTCAAGTATTGAATAATAAGAAGAGTCTCAATTCTAAATTATTTATGAAGCCATCAGTGATACACCACCCAAGTTCAAACCTAAGGCCAATAGCTCCGAGTAGACCGAGTTTGTTATCTCATGATTCTTCTTCATCCATTCAAAGACCTCCAATATTTGTAAATAGTGAAGATGACGGTATGTTTTTAATGACCTAATTTATTTTGACATTATTACAGAGGTGATACCTGAGAGCACAGCAGCTACAGATGATCTTACCTCAACTTTAATAGTTCGTTTGAAGAAGATGGAGCAATTGTGTGCCGAACAAAAAACTGAGCTATCCACCAAAGATCAACAAATTAAGGATCTTCAACTCACTGTTGGGAGACAAAAAACAAAGATGGAATTGCTTTCAGCGGAGAAGGACAAGCAACAATCGACCATTGATACTCTCGTGAGGTTTATGGATAATGCTGGGTTGAAACATTCCTTCAAATCGCTTTCATCCGAGCAAAGTAATGTTGGAAGTTCTAGTAGCTCATCATCTCAACCACGACCAGAAAATACCAGATTTACTCCTCAGCCTCCAGAGGAACGAAGAAGCAAATCTCCTAAACCACTTAGTGATGATGACCTAGGATCTAGAATCAATATGAAAGTTTTGGAACAGCGAGTGGAAGCACTTAACAAGATGATTGACGAGGAAGAATTAGTAGAAGTTTCAAAGAATGGAAATATCAAACAATTGAAACCTAAACCAGTTTGTAGAGTTACCTTTTGGAAGAATGGAATTGTTGTTGAGGGTGGACCATTCAAGCCTTACAAGTGGGATATTACAAAGGCCTTCTTGACTGACATTTGTAAGTTTTTTTCATTCAGAATGATAATTGCAATGATAATTTTCCCAAACAACAGTGGATGGATATTTCCCGTATGAATTTAAGGAAAGACACCCAGATGGAGTAAAATTAAAAATCATAGACAAGACGAGTGAGGACTTTTCAAGACAAGTCGAGAGAAGTGTTGGAATGGGCAGTTATTTGAAGGAACATGAGGGAAACAACATTCGAGGAATGGACTATTTAAAACATGTGGAAGAGAATGGAAAGGAACAACCCCCACTTGATAAGAAGGCTCTTTTAGATAAACTTCCAAAGCAAGTGATAAAGAATGGAAAAGTCATTCCAATCAGAGAGGAAATTGAAAAGGTTATTACTAAGGAAACTCAAAGTGCCTCTCAGGACAATCCCTCTGTCATTGAGATACAAGATGTTGGCATTGCATTACTGAATCCAAAGGAATTGTGCACTATCAAGTTAAAGTCTTCAACAATGCAGTATATTGTCACCATACACAAGTCTAAAACCATTGAAGACCTCAGGAGATTGCTCATGGTTGAAATGGAGAATAATTCATCATTTAGGTTGAAAGCCATTCCAAACACCTTCTTTGATGATAATAGTATTACTCTTGAGCAAGGCAAGCTGTTTCCAAAGGCAATTCTCATGATCCTTGATAATTAAATGGTAGTGTTATTTATTTGGTCATCTTATGCTGTGATAAGTTTCCTAGGAATTACTTGAAAGAAAAGTATGCTTGTTGACCTAAATGATCAGATCCATATTTTGAATTGGGTAATCCCACTTGGTGTATCCTTTCTCTATCTTGTTCATTCTCATAAAGTGACATGATTCCACCAATTTCTAAAGGATCACAACTGTAGAAAATATAATCACACGTTAGTGCAATTTCAATTGGTCTGAAGGTAAACTCAGGTTCATTTCCAATAATTTCCTTGTAGGCACTTTTGAATTTAAACTGATGTTGAATATCTGTCTCTGTGGCAATGACATTATTCTCCTCTGATTTTGATTTCAATTGTGAGTTGACCACAAAATTATAGGTAGCAGAATTGGGTTCTGCATTGAAATCTCCACAAATAATGGTGGAACAATGGTTTCCTTTCTGATATTTTTTCAAATTCTTGAATATTGACTTCAATTGATTGATTCTTGTGTAAGGTTGATTAGGATCTCCAAATAAATGACATGATGTAACATAAATCAATGAATTGTTGGCTTTGAATTTCAAAACTAGAATTATGGAACAACTTGTTTCAAAAAATCGAACTAGTTCAAATACGTTTTCCTTAAAAATACATCCAACTCCTACAGGAAAATCTCCAAGTGTTTTCTTTAAAACTCCTCGATAGCTTTCATCAATTTGTTGCAATGGTTTCAAAATGTCCTTTTCAAAACATAGAGTTTCAACTTCTTGTAAACAAATTATATCAGGCTGATGAATTGTAAAATCCCTCACCAATTTCTTCACCCTTCCACTCCATTCCAAGTGTTCTTCTTTTGGCTCTTCAACATACGAATATTCGTTTAAATCAGTGGACCAACATCCAGCTAGCAAATTTTGGGAGTAGAGTGAAAATTCCAAATGTTCAGAATGATTCATTATTCTTCTATTGAATCTGTCATTCATTCTTAGTATTTATTGGAGGGAACAATTCTCTTAGAAGATGTTTGGCTTTTTTTTTTAATAAAGTAAAAATAGAGTTGGTAATTCAATAACTTTCAAATTCGAAAGTGAAAGTGTTTATGGATCTACTACAAAATATAAGTATCCATATCAGCATTATTTTTCATACCATTAGTGAAAAGGGAGAATGGATTTTTGAGAATGGTTGGAGAAAGCTTGCTTGTAAATGCCCTGACAGAATAGTACATTAATCCAATTAGAAAAATTAAGAATCCAGGAGTAAATATTAAGGTATACTGCCATTTCACAATTTCATCAATTCTTAAAATAAGAAGTACCATTGTGAGGACAATTACTGACATGAAACCAAAGAATGTCATTGACCATATAAGACCCACACAGGTCTTGGATGAGGCTGCGCTCAAATCGATGGAAAGTTTGATTTGATAAACTATACATGTTAGCTTCAAGTTATGAATAAAACTTACTGATAATCAAAATTACTACAATGTACAGTGGAGAGCAAATTAAATACCATTTTACATTAGCTGTAAAGAATGGAATGGCAAATTTCAAAATAATCGCTCCACAAAACATTCCCATTCCAAGCCAAACAAGGAAAAGTAAATAAGGATAGACTCTCTTTCCGGTTTTGTAAATAATCTGTGTGCAAGTGTACATCCAAATGAGACAAGCAGCTGCCACAATAATGCAAGGTAAATACTGGGGAACATCGGGGAATAGTGAAATGAAAAAGGTACAACAAGGTGTTAGGGCCAGCAGGATTGCAACTATAAGCTGAACAATTCTACCTCTGGGTGTTAAACAGTAGGCATAGGCTGTCCAGAATCCAACAGCATCTCCTGAAACCCATCGATAGAGCACAATTGGCCAACCAATGGTTGGAGTCCAAACTAATAAAGAAATCAGGATGGATAAACAACTGGAACCAAGCACTGGAGCAAAAACAACAAACCATGGCCAATTAATGTATTCATCCAATTTCAAGAATAAGAGAACTGCAAAGATGGTTAGTAAGAGCCAAGAACTCATTTTCACATGGTTGATCCATCTGGTAATTGGTCTGTAACGTCTCTTGATTTGATTAATATAGAGCTTCATCAGTCTACTTCTAATGAATGGGTTTCTTATTTTCTCTTGTCTGAAAATACAGTAAGATGAATAATATCTATCGACAGCACTTCTAGCATGTCTTACGTGAGATGATGCTGCTTTTCTCTTGGTGGTTGCCTCTGCTGAAAAGTTCTTATAGTATTGTGAGATGGTTTCCTTACACCTGACAAACCAGGAGACTTGAGGTTGTTCTTCTTCTGGTGGGCAAATTTTAACATTCTCCAACTGTTCAGATGTGATACTGAAATGCTTATTTGGAATGACCAGATCTGTTTTAAAGGCAGTGGCATTGCTGCCTATCTGAACTGGTGTTGATGGCATGTCAGTAGAGGCTCTATTAATAATTATTGGAACAGGAATATTGGAGCTTTCATCCACCATGAAACTATTCCTTCTATTACTACTGTTATTACTTTTTGAGGAATCCTCTCGAGAAATTGTTGTTCTAATACTTTGCAAGTTTTGGCTGTGCTCGTCTCTTCTAAAAACACTATTTAAAGTTTCAAAAAAGTGATTGATATCTTCATCATAGTCTGTCTCAATATTGATGGATTCATCAGCACTTTGGTTGGCTTCTGCTTCTTCTTCGTCCATTTCTTCTTCAACCTCTCTGATGGTTATTTCGTGGTCACTATTTTCAATGGCTACAATTTCTCTCGAGTGAGGAATGACTAGTTTTTGTTGATATTCATTTTTCAGTTCAGAATACTTGTTATAGAGTGATTCTTCTTTTGAGGGCTGATAGAATGTCAAGAATTTGTCGATGGCATTCAAAAGCCTTTTTTGACGAAAATCTAAATCAGCATTTTCATCAGTATCAATGTTTTGGAGTAGCTCTCGTCTTCTCTCTGGTTTGGTATTGTACAGGTTTGCAAATCTTTCAGGTAGAGTAATTTTTGAAAATTTGATATAACACTCGAGATAAATATACTCATCCCACAGTGCATTAGCATGTGAAATGTGATAGTAATAGGTAGTACACCTAGAAAATCGTAATATTGAAGCACAATCCAAAAAACCTAATATTATATGGAGCATGTCAGCAAGTAACAGATGAAAATTGGTAGAACTCCTTGGATATTGTTTCGGAATTGTATCGTGATGAGGATATTCGGAAAGATAGGGTATAGATCTGATAAAGTGTTCATTATTCGAGTGAGGGTTATCTCTGTGACCAACAGCTATTGCCTTTCCCCAATAGATTAATTCCGAATAAATTGTAAGGAGAAAATTTTCATTGGTTTGCCTATAAATTGAAGGGTGAGTTGGGTGAGCTCTTTTTGGAGGATTTGGTAATCTGTCCAGCTCAATAATATGATTAGTAGTTTCATTTGGTTGATGATTTGGTGAAGAATTGTTTACAATTATGGTAGTTGCAAAATCGGTCGAGTTAGTTGTTGGTGGAATAGTATACATGTTTTGATTTTGAAGATTTGAAATTTGATGAGATGAAGGAATCCTTAGAGAGGTAGGTAATTCATGAATTGTAGTGGCCAATAAATTATCATCATCTACTGGCTGTCTTGGGTCCAGAGTATCCACAATAATATTATCCACATCTACAACAATATTGTCACTACTCTCACTTCGGGTATAGCTGCTATCATCCTCATTAAAATTTGTGGCAATAATAATAGCCTGTTGTCGTGTTGGTGTTGTTATTATATTAGTTGCAAATACTTGTTCTGTTGAAGTTGATCCGATAGACTTTTTTCTATTGGTTGTCGTCGATGAGCATGAATTGGGTGATGAAGACAAAGCTTCCGAATGAATGTTATTACAATTACTTTGATAATGAACAGGTGTGGTGGCACTATTTTGTTGTTCGAATGAAGAGGTATTATTGTGATGATGACTTTGGGAGGCTATTGGTGATGAATGATTATTTATCATTGTTGTTGTTACTATAGGATGTACATGTTGCTGATAATGCTCCGAGGAAAGAACAAGATTTGTATCATATTGATGATGCTGATGATGATTGTAGTGTTCCTGATGATTTTCATCAACCACTATCTGATCATTACTACAGCAAGCTATTGACGACTCATGCTGTTGCATCCCTCCTACCACCAACGAAGACGTTGTTACTACCTTCGTCGTCGTGTGCATCTATTAGATGAAATATTTGCCCAAAAAGTGTGGCCCTTTCTCTGATTGTAGAATTTTTGAGCGGGAACAATAGAATTGCTGTGATGTTATTTTGTTATTATTTTGTGCTATTTTATTCCAGCGCTGTTGTTGTATTGTGCTTACCGGTAGTATTGGATATTGTGCTGTGTGGGAAGGAACACACACATAAAAGAATTGAAGTAGAGAGCCGAATGTCGGCAATTGGATCTAATTGCAAAGGAATTGCAATGTTGTGATTATTATTTAAATATTTAATTTTTTATAACAATATATTGAGAAGGAACTTAAATTCCTTTCCAATAATTTGACAACATTCTCGAAAGTATAATTACAACCTCAGCAAAGGTAGGTCTTTCGGAGGGATTTTGTGTCCAACACTTCTTCATCAAATCAATATAATCCTGCACTGCTTTGAAAAGTGAAACATTACCATTCAAATCCTTCTCATCCTTTATAAATTCCTCAATCCACATTGATAGTTCCTCCTCTGTGGTGAATGGAATTTTGGGTCTTTCACCCTTAGCTACAAGCCATGGAATACTCAATAGGTTTTTCACTTCCTTTTCATCTTTGGAAAATCTATTTAGTTTGGAGCTACCTGAACTGAATGGAGCTTCCTCAAAGAATAATTCATACATGATTATGGCAAAGCTGTAGACGTCCAATTTGTGTGAAATGTCATATTCACCCTCCATGATTACTTCTGGTGCCATATATAGAACAGTGCCCAAGTTTGAAGTCATGGTTGAGGAACCATTATTTGAAGTGAGCTTGGATAATCCAAAGTCGCTCACTTTTGCCTGATATGAATGATCTAGTAAAATATTTCCAGGTTTGATGTCTCTGTGAATGATTGAGAGAGGTTTCAGATTGTGTAAATAGAGTAATCCATTGGCAATACCAAGAATTATATTAATCTTTTGTCGCAGAGTTATATGTACCTTTCCACTTTTACATTCTCTAATTAAATGATCCAAACTTCCATTCGGCATAAATTCAACAATCATGTACTTGACATTGACCCCAACTGAAATTCCATAAAATGAAACAATAGAAGGATGTTTCAAACTTGATAATAATGCAGCTTCATGTTCAAATTCTTCATTTTCTTCCTCTGAGAGTGAGTTAATTTTGAGTGTTTTCAATGCAACAAAAGTTCCATGCCAACGAGCCTTATACACAACACCATTACTACCTTCTCCAATCTTGCTGATAATTTCAATATCTGTAAGAGGAATAATCATATTATCACATTGACTCTTTAACTGCTTTGCCTTTCCATTGGAGTGCAATAAACTTTCAGTCAACTCTGACTGTTCCCCAAATATAAATTGCTTATCTATGAGTTTCTTGGCTAAACTTTTTTCAGCTTGTTCTCTCTTGTAGAGATTATGCATACGAGTTCCAATAAAATAGGCAGCAATTGAGCATCCAGTCAATACTATTACAATAAGCACCGTTCCCATAACAGATGATGCAATTATGGCCTCATAATTTTCTTTCACACAAGCATATTGACTAAACTCTGATTCAAATTGTCGTTTGAATGAATATCCAAATGGACAGTGAGTTGGTCGAATATTCAATATATAATCTTTGAAATTTTCGTCAAATGAAACGAGGACTTGGAAATCATCACTTGGTATTTTCTCATTGACCTCATAGGAAAATGAATTCAATGAAATATTGGTTGTTGAATTGACCACTGTTTTTACGACAATACCATGGTTGCTGGATACAAATCTTGGACTAGATTGTATTTTTCTAATCTGATTTCCATACATGTCAAATAGTTCAAATCTGAAAGAAATAGATTGTCCAGGATACAATTTCAAATAGCTATCCTCTACAGAAATATTCTTGCTTGATTCATAGTTTGACTTCAATTTCAAACTTCCAATATTTGATTGGGCAAACTTGGCTGATGGCATAACTTGAGTAAAGGTATCATGAAGGAAAATATCATCACCTCCAAAAGAGGCAACATTATTGTGAAACAATTGATTCCCAAAACTGTCTAATCTAGTGACATGATTGAAAAAACAGGCACCTCCCTTAATAGCTCTATTGTCTGAAAACTCGACATCTTCCAATGTGATAAAGGACTTGCCGTAAAAACTGCCTCCATTTCCACAAGTAATTTCAGAGCAATCTCCGTACAATACAGCACTGTTATTTCGGAATGTAGAAGCCTCAATGGAGGTCTCTGAAGTTGAATAGATGGCACCACCATTTCTTGCATAATTATTCTCAAATTTACAAGCAAAAAAACGCAAAGAATCTTGACTAATCATTTGAACAGCACCTCCATTACCATCTGGATAATAATTATCAATGAAAGTGCAGAAATAAAACGAAGATGTTGCATGACTATTATTTTCAAAGTTTTGTAAATTAACTCCTTGATAATTTTGTGAAAATTCACATCTTTTCAATGACATGGTTCTAACATTATCAGCAAACATTCCTCTTCTATTTCTAATAAATTTTAACTTTTGAAAATTCATTGAAAGAATAGTTCTGAATGCAAGGGCACCATCAGAAGTCACATCACAATCTCTAATTGTTCCATTATTCATTATAAGTATGTTTATACCAGAGAATAGCACTGGTATCACATTATTGAATATTTCAAATTCGCTCATTTCCATTCTATTGACAACTTCAAATTTCAAAAGTGAATTACTAGCCGTGAAATTAGTAATTCCAATATATGGAGCTGAGTTAATTTCAAGTGAAGAATCCGAAATGGTAAACTGGCTTATAGTTATTCTAAATGATATGAGACTAAGTGTTGATTTTTCCAACAATTTTGTATCTTGCATTATGATTGGGTGTACTACTGCTGATCCAATGTTATTAAATCCATGAATTTGAGTACTCCTAAATACAGAATTAGAGGTTTCTAAATATCCTTCTATACAATTAATACCTGATTTGAGAACTAATGAGTCGGTAATAGTCACCTTTGAAGATTTTCCAACAATAATAGAAACTGTATCCAAAACACATCCAGAGAACCCAATCATATCCAATGCATGTTTAAATGATGTATTTTCAAACCTCATTTCAAAAATGTTAATACCCAACTTAGAATTCGAGTTTACAAAATCCGTAATAAAATATTTAAGTCCTTTACAATCAAATGTTCTAGATTCTCTAGTTGGATAGTTTAAAAAAAACACTTCCATAGTAGGATTCAATTCATTTCTCCACCTATTCTCACAAGTCGTCACATCACTCATAAAATACACTTGTAATATGATTATTCCCAATCTCGATTCCTCATCCAATGATGCCAAATAATCCAAAGCTTGTCCAAGATTTGAACATGGAAAAGTAATGTTACATGTTGATGTATTGTCATAACTAACTTTTTCATTAATATAAATCATTGCTACTGGTTGAATACCACCACTCATAGGTGACCTGCTTCTAGTTGACCTCTGAATTGATGATGATGACTCTAAAACTTCATCAATATTCATACTTGTTCTATACGGATAATAATTTCCAATATTTCTACTCGTTTTATATTCCTCCGATGAAGCCAAAGATGATGCTTCATACATTCTCAATATTCCTCCTCCATCATGATGATGATGATTAATTAGGATGATGAATACTCTGTGCAAAATTATTCATCATCAATAACATTATCAAAATTTCTATCAAATTCCTCATGTATTCTTGTCGGACTCTGTTATGGGCAGCAGTTTATTGTGAGGACAATTTTTATGGTTGTTGAGTTTTGATGCAAAACAACAATGCAAAATGAATGGTTTCAAAATTATAGGGTCTGCCAGCCAATCAGGAGATTTGTTGCTTTAAAGAGTTAAAGGACACCTGATTGTTATTGTAATCTTTTCAAGGTACCTGTTCTGTTACTTTGAAAAGTTTGTCTAGATGGTTGCACAAAACACACAACCTCAAACTAAATAAATTTACTGTGTAACACTTAGAAAAAATGCCTGCAACAGTTGCACCTCAAGGTTTGTTTCATTCTTAAGTTGAATTTCCATTGTTGAGAGTTTTGGATTTAAGTTCAAACAATATCGAGAATTTAAACATTTATTAGAACTAATCCTATTCAAGCCCACAATCCATCAAAATGTAAACATGATCGGTAATCCAATTATTGGAGGAAAGTTAAGCGTTTCTGGTGAATATTATGGAGTAATTGAAGGTAATTCCATTATCGAATAGTTAATTTCTTTCAATGGTGCAAGTGGACCTTCTTTCGTTTCCTTTTCCCAATTTGACAGCTCTGTAGTTATTGAAAATGGCAATAAGGGAAGCTCTACGACTCTTTCACATAAGTGTTTGATGGGATTTGTAAAGGCCCAATACACACCTGTTAGAAGTGATAACGTGAAAGGAATAATGGTTGAAATCAACGTTTTAGAGATTGGATTGGAAAAATCAATTAAGGAAAAACTCATATACTTAAAATATATCATTAGCAGAAGTGGGAAATAGATTCATATAGTGATATTTGTTATCTAAAAGTAAATAATATTGCTTGAATGGTTCAGAATTAAAAAATTCCTTAAGATCTGAAGGTTTTGGTCTTTCATTGAATTCCTTTTTTAAAATCAAAGTCAAAACATTCAAAAGACTAACATCTCGACATGTATTTTTGAGTGAGTTCAGATACTTTTCAACTTCCTTACAAAATTCCAAATTAGGTAAATTTTTTTTGTAAAGTACTTCCAATACTACCAATCCTAAAGAATATACATCACTCTGGGGTGAAACTCTTCCCTTATAGGATATACCATTGAATTTGAAATATTCGAGTCTTTCAGGACATCGATAGCCTAGCACATTGAATTTTCTATTGAAATATGTTGCACTTACCTTTTGAAAACCACCTACTAACCAATAAATCTTTTCCGTTCAAGTAACACTTATTTTGCTCATCAAAATCGGTAAAAGGTGTACGGGTTTCGTAATCTATTAAAAACCAATGTCCATCATATAAAACAATATTCTCTGGTTTGATATCGTTATGTGTGTACTTTCTTCTTTCTAATCTTAAAAGAATTGCCATGATATTATTGAGTAATGCTCTTACCTCAATCTCTTCTTCATCTAGCAACATTTTTGCAAGGCACTTTCCTTTTAAAGAGATTGAAAAATCCAAACAGTACAAGTCAACTGGTAAATTTAAAGTCAAAAAGCCCATTTCCTCTTTTTGTAAATAAGATCGTTTTACAACACATTCAATAGCATTAACTTTGCAGCATCTAACCTTAGCTTCTTCTTCACCATCCTCGTATTGAATTTTGAAAGTATCTTCCTTATAACCCAAAACAGTTGGAAACAATTGTCTTTCCTTATTCTTTGAAGGAGTATTGATTGTAGGCGTTGAAGTGGTAATGGTTTGTTTCACCATTTCCCTATTAGGCAATAAATTTGAAATTAAAATGGAAACAAGTTCGATTCGTTTGTTAATGTCATAGTGAGGGTATGATCCAACATGTGTTAATCTATATTCAAGTTCAATACTATCTTCTTTAAATTCTGGGACACACGAAAGTGCATATAAATTGCATTGATTCAATTCTCCTGCCACGCCCAATACCATTAATTGGTTGTGCCAATCTTCCTCTGAATCCCTCACTAATTCTCTCACAAGAAGAGCTAAACATAGTTTCATTTCTGTTAGTAATGGAATAAAATCCTTGTGCATAGTGTGGTGGTTATATTCTTCAGGAGAGTCTTCTCTAATAATCTTAATGAGTTTTTTAGAGTTATATTGAACACATGTAAAGTCGTCTGGTTGGAGATTGGGGATAATTTTACTCAAGTTACTCCCTTCATTTCCAGAACATACAAAAGGAGTAATACTGGAATTTCTTAAGAAAACATGAATAACCATTCAATATTTCATCTACTTACGAGCTTCCAGAGCAACCTTCAAACAGAGCTGTAAATTCAAATAATGGTCCAAATACCTGTCTGGTAAGTTCTTGTTCCGTTTTGGTTGTTGAATCTCTATGTGGAGGTGCAAGAGCAGACAAAATACGCGATTCTATCATGAGATTTGTTAAATGGTCAACTGATTCCAAATCCAGTTTGGGTTTGTAAACTTCCATAAAACAATCCCTTTTCTTTTCAATACATAAACCCAATTCTTTAAAGTTCAAAAGTAGTGACTTTATGTCCTGTTTACAATTAACAAAATTAGTCAACAACTCATGAATGTTAGAAATCATTTCTTTTTGAACATTTGAAAAACAATCAGGGGAAGTATTAAGTTTAATTCCAAAGGCCGATAGAAAATAGATGAATAAAGTTCTTTCTTTTTGTTTTGGAGGATCCCAATTTCCCTCCAATTTGGTAAGGGAAACCACCTTCTCTATTACAGCTAATTCACATTCCAAGTCTTTTTCAGATGGTTCTTTATCGATATAAATACTAGTGAGAATGTCTAATTGTGCTGATACTACAACCCGATCACTGTAGCTTTTTTTTCGGTTCTTTCTCTTTGATTCGTGGGTTCCTCCCTTCCTTTTCTTTGCTTCAGACATTTTTTTGTTTGAAATGATACAATTCGACCTTGCCCTCATTGCAAACTCTGCGGAGACCTCAATCACTACATCTACTTCTAAGAAGATTAAAAAGCTCAAAGAGCTTTACCAATGTCTTGAATAATGTTGAATAAGCACTTGGTGTTGGACGTCCAGAATATATTCTAGCCATGGAGATGAAAGAGATGCATTGCTGGTAATTCAATTACTAAGGGATAATTTAACCTCATTGAAATTGAACCAGATTTATTGGAAGCATCGATTTGAAAAGCTTGAGGACTGAAAGTTTAGTTAAGATAAATGGTTTATTTGGAAATAAAAATTTACAAGACTCGTTTTGTAAAATCAATAAATATTAAATTTTGGTAGTTAATTACTGTACAATGAAAGGAGGGAGAATTTGACAAATTCAATGAATTTTTAGAAATGATAAACGATTGTTCCAATTGAACAACATCTTTTAGTTACCATATATCTATAATTCCTTTTCTTCTTTCAAAAAATTATACTATTTACATAATTAGAAATTTTTCAATTTTGGAAATTGTACTACTTACAACTGATTCCTTTGAAGGATGTGATGTATCAATAACACCTCCAATACTGTCAAACATTACTTTTCCTCTATAGACTTCACCTGTTTCTTCAGAGTAGCATGCACATGAATCATATGGAGGAGCATAACAGTGGAGAGTGACACTAATTTCATCTCGTGTATTCACAATGCAGTGAACACCATTGTTATCATCAATATAACCAATAGAATTAACATTGGCAATAAATTCCTTTGTTGGTTCTGAAGGACAGAGTGATTGGTCATGAGTTGGGTCAATCATCCATCTGCATTCCTTGACTTGTCCTCTCATACATCTGAACCAACATTGCGATCCAGCATGACTGTGAATAGAGCTGTGTTGTTGTGGATTCCATGCGAGAACAATCAATGAAAAGTATGGATTTTTAAATATTAAATTTCTAGTATAGGTAGCTCTTGTATCAGCCAAACAATAGGCTTCCAAATCACTCAAGTCAATCTTATCAAGATATTTTCTGAAGATTTGTTTGACATGTTCCGGGTTGACTTTTCCTTCTCCTTCTTTAAAACAATCTTCCAATTCTTGAGTAAATTCCTTCAATTCTTTACACATTGGAGCTGTAGAAGCTTCATCCTTTTCTTCATCAATGATCTGCTTGTTTTTGAGATCGATTGAATTGTCATTATCCAATGGAACAATTGGTTGAGAATGTTCTGTTGTAGTATCAAATTGATGATGCATTCTATAGAATTTCTTTTGTTGTTGAGAGTTTGATTATCAGTGATGTTTTTCTTCGCGGTAGTAGGTGTAGGGGTAAATAAGTGCGCTTCTGATGATGATGCAGCAAAAGATGAAATGTTGTTGATTTTTTTGATTTTGTTTTTTGGTGGTTATTAAAATCATGCAGTGATTCGAACTCACAAAAATTGTATTAATAAGGTAGCGAGTCCAATTTGGTTATAGCAGAAAATAGCCTGATGATGACTAGGATGATGAATTGTATTGTTTTTTCAATAATGATGTAAATAAGGAGGGAAGACTGGTAAGTCTCTATCATTAATAATAAATTAATTAATTAAATGATAAAGAAGAGAATAATTTTGTAAAAAACAGCAAGGCATTTTTTGAAGCACGAGAAAAAAAATATTTTGCTGTTGTTTGCCTTCATCCTCGAACAAACTCACACAACAATATAACAACAACAGTGAATTATTCGTAAAACAACATCAACAACACCACTCCCTTCTTCCGTAACGTGTAGTTAATAATATAAAAAAAATGTTCTCTGTCTGGAAACACGGTCTTTCAAAGACTACAACATTATTAGGAAATTCACTTCCTTCAAATTCTGTTGCTATTACCTCTCACTTGACTTCCAATCACATCCTCTTCAATGCTGCTGCTTCATCAACAATTAGCAGATCCAAAAAGGATGTTGCCGGTGGTAGAAAGAAGGATTTAGTAAAGAGAAATCAACAAAAGGAACACCAAAAGAGAATGGACCAAAAGAAGGCTGCTCTCGAACAAAGAAATAAGGAAAAGTTAGCCATGAAGAGAGCTTCTAAAGATTCAGAACTCGATAAACCAAAACCACCATCTATTGAAAAACTCTACCCAAAGAAGAAAGTTACAGGAAAATATATCGCTGAATTGGCTAAAACACCATCTTTGGCTGAATTTGTGAACACTAGCAAGAATATTGATGTTTCCAAGCTCTCTGAACAAACCGGATATTTTGGATTGAAACATTTCAAGGATGCTTCATCAATGAGAGATTCATTGGTTCTTGCTAAAGGAAGAGTTGATGATTTGGTTAGTAGTATAGAAAAGGGAGAAGATGTCTCTAGAAATACTCTCGAATTAACTAATTTGCGATTCTCTTACTTGTCGTCATTGAAGGCTTTTATTCAATTGCATCCATTTGAAGACCTTGCTGTTGCCGCTCAAGAAATCCATGATAACTTTTCACAATTCTTTGCTCAACGTGCTCTCACAAATGAAAAGTTCGGAAAGGCCACACAATCACTCGTTTTGGATACTCCACTCGCTAATGAAGTTAGAAATATTTATGGTGTGGAATCTAGCCGTGAAAAATTCACTGAAGCTAAGGAAGATTTTGAAAAGAGAGTTAAAGAATTGAACGATTATATTCAAACTCATGTTAATACTAAGGTTAGAGGATCTATGAGAATTTATGAACTTCCAGAAGCTCACAGCAAGTCTTTAAAGATGGAAGTTCAAAAGAAGAAGAAGTTTATTCTTCTCAACTTGGAAAAGGATTTGGAAGCTATTCTTACAAATGTTTCTGAAGAAAGTCTCAGAACCGATTTGTTTGATGAAGCTACCAAGAAATTCTTTACTGGTTCAGCTGATAATGAATTCAACTCAAAGGTTGCTTCCGCTATTGATGCTTCCAATGCTTTTGCCAAGACTCTTGGATATCAATCATTTGTTGAAATGAAGATTGCTACTGTCAACATGTCCAATAATAACGTACCAAAGGTTGATGACTTTGTTAAAGTTATTGGTCAATTGAAGGAACAAATCGATATCAAGAAGGAAGTTGAAAAATTGTCTGAATTGAAGATTACCAGAATGACTGATCCAGTTCTTAAGAGATGTTTCTACAACAAGTCAAAGCAAACTGCTGAAGATTTGAAGCTTTTCACTCCAGGTTTTGATATTATGCAATTGTCAAATCTCCACTATAACCGTGTTAGAGTTAATTACTTGCCATCTGATATTCAAAACTACATGTCATTGAGCTCTGTTTTGGACGGTTTAACAAAGACTGTTGCTTCTCAAGCTTTCGGTGTTGAGGTAGTTCCAGAAAAGTTGGCTCCATCTGAAACCTGGTCACCACTCAATATCAAGAAACTCAACGTTGTTTCAAATGGTAAGGTTGTTGGTCACATTTATCTCGATCTCTTTGAAAGAGAAAAGACTCAACATTTTGATGCTTATGCCTCTGATAAGGCTAAGCTCCATCCAATTTCTGGAGAAAACGGCTTGAAGAGTGCTGTTATTCAAATGAACTTGGGAGATCACATCTACAGTGTTTCAAACACACTCAATCTCAAACAATTCAAGAGTTTGTCTGGTGCTTTTGGTCAAGCTCTCTTCCACATTCTCAGCCAAAGTTCATCTGCTGTCTCTGAAACTAATCTCTTGTCCAAGGTTGTTCGTAAAGTTTTTGAAAGATTACCACAAAATACCGAATTCCTCTTGGCAAATCTTTCACACAGAGGTTCAAAACAACCAATACCTGAAGAATATGCCAGACAACTTTCTACAACTCCAACACAATATCCATTAGAATTAGTTCAACAAATGGTTTACTCTCTGTTCGAATTGGAAGTTTTCAAACCAATCGATGCTTCTCAAAGTACACCAATCGAAATTCTCTCCTCCATTGAGTCACGTTTTTGCAAGCCATACACACAATTGATTCCAAACATTTCCTTCTTCTCTAAGAGATTGTTCAACCTTGAAAGCCAACCATACTATTCTGAACTCTATACTGAAATTGTTGCTGCCCACATCTTTGCCTCAGGATTGTCAGGAAGTGACATGTCTAAATTCTCATCATCTTTGAAGTCTGTCTTGTCAACTGAAGCAGCTACTAAGCCACTCGAATCTATCACCAAATTACTTGGAGCTGATAGACCAGATGCTACTTTCTTTGCTAAGGAAATTCAATAAATATTTAAAATAAAGGTTATTTTTGTAAAGATTGAGATTTGAAATAATCGCACGTTTTTGAAATAGATGAAAAAAATGACAGAAATTATCAAGGGAATACCCGATCACATTCTTCTCTTTAATATTATTGGTGATTTTTTAATGATTTCATATTCGGGAAGGAATTTGTTGTGTGTCTGTAAAAGATTGAATAGATTAATAATGGACAATGATGATACCAATTTTTGGGAGGTTTCCTTTAGGAATTTGATAAAGTTTCATCAATACATAGATCATCCACAAGTGGAATGTGAAATGGCAGCCAACATGGCGAGCAGTTATTTACGAAAAAAAACAATTTCACGATATAGAAGTTTGGAGAATATTTACTTATATTCAAATGTTTGGATACTTAATTCGATGACTAAAACTGAAAGATATTTAAAATCAATGTTGAACAATTTGAATGCCACTCGAAAGGATATGGTCAATCAAGTTGCAAAGAAATTATTGCCAATCATTACTTTGAATATGAAACGAAGAAAAGTGATATATCATATAATGACCACATTCATGAATATACAGATATTTCAATTTAGTACCTTTACTAGTATACCAGATTTGAGAACATTGGATAGTTTCTTTTCACTCTGGGAACAAGTCTTACAGTATATTGAAACGAAACCATTTGGATTTTCGTATTTCATATTGGAAAGAAGAATTTGACACTTGCACATCACTTTTTCAAACAATTATCAGTTTATTATTTCACTGGGAAGCCCTTTTTTGAATTAGCTGAGAAATTTCACAACAATAGAGTCTATCAACTTTTCCATTCAATGCGAACGGATATCAACCCCACTGTTCCTCACAAAATGAGTGGTTATTCAACAATATGGACTACAAGTTTGGCTCTGTTATTCTTGTGTCCAGTAGGACGTAAGTGTAGTTACTATGGAATGGTACAGGAATAATTTAAAGGAATATACATCAAGCTATTGGTCCTGAATTCCAGCCACACAATGAAAGTGCTTATTGATTATTTCCGGATGATAATATTTCTCTACCTTTCATCTTCATGTAGCGACAAACTTGTTTTGGAATGTGTTGCAAAGCTGCTTCCACTGCCTCATTTACAGTTTCATGATCGTTCAATCTTACAAATGTTACACAACCACGAGCAGCTCTCAATCCTCTATATTGTAAATCAGTTGTTGTTGGAATGATGGTTTGAATTCTGTATTGGAGAGTTCTTCCTCCAGATCCAGAGGTAGAATTATTACTAACATAATCAGTGTTCGTATTGATAGATCTGTGAGTTTTGAATCCACATCCACTTCCAACTCCAATGACAATAATTGAGAGAGCAGCCTTATGTGAAGCCTCCACAAATTTGTAAATTGTCTCCTCAACATGAATAAAGTCATTCGGTATCAAGATTACCAAAATATTGTACAGAACTGGTGTAATATTCATCATGGTAGAACTATCAGAGGAGAGTGTGGAAGAGGTTGAATTTCTATGACCCATCTTTGACATTTGCTGTTCTCTGTAGAGATAGAGAAGAGTTTGGGCAATACTTTCCTCATTCTTCAAATTACAACTCAAATCAATAACATCAGAAATTACTGGATAATAATCATTTGGAGCATATTTGGAGGTTACTTTTTGTGATTCGAAAATGTTATTTTTGAAAAGACTCGATTTGCTTGCTGATTTCTTTTCACTTTCCATAGAGGAAGAGCCAACTATTGGTGATTTGCTTGAGAAACTGTTGCCTTGGTGGGTAAGTGAAGAGGTTGTTACCTTTGGAGAATCAATATAATTGAGGTGAATAAATTCTGGAGAGGACATTCGTTTCAATTTCTCATGTTTCAAACCATCATCATAGCTAAATCTATTGGCATTTGTCAAATCTCTGGTGCCCTTGTGAACGTTTGTCTCTGTGAAGGCATAATGACGAGTTTTGACACAATCTTGCATGGTGAGCTTGAAATTTCCACCCGTGCTCGAAATATATTGTCGATAAATCTATTAAATTCCAAATTATTACAAGAATTTTACAAGTGTTAATTGTAAAATTTTAAAATTTGTGAAAAACTTACTGGTGAAAGTTGATGAATTTTCAAAGGAGGATAATATCTTGGATATAATACAGAGTAAATGTAATTTTGTGACTTATCCTCAGAGCTTGCAGAGGCATTGTCATCTCTAAAATACATGGAAGAAGATGAAGTTTCCTCCTCGAGAAGGTCGTCTCCCTTACTGTACAAATTGAAAACTGGTTCCTGTGTATCATTTCCAAATCCAACCAAGTGGAAATCGGTCATATTTGGATCATATTGGAATATTCTCTTACTGATGCTGTCAATACATTGTTCATAGATGGATTTTTGTCCTTTTGGAGCAATGTGTAAATTTCCTTCATTTCTCGGCTCACTAAATTGTAAAGATTTAAAAAGTTAAATGAAACTTACGTATTATCTTTGGTAAAATCGAGAGCAAAGTAACATTTAAATCTCAATCCAGTTTTCATATAATCAAGGAATGTATAGGTCACATCCAAATCCGATTGTTCTTCAATAAAGACCTTTCTCTCCTTGACACTCTTGAATGTGAGAGATCCACTCTGAACATTTACTACAGTGAGAACCTTTCTTCTTCTGTGAACAACTGATGGATTATTTTCATCTTCTACTGGATCCATTCCTTGTGGAGCAAGTGTTTCCTCTTTGATAATGTGAATTCTACGATCGACTAGTAATTTCATTGTAAGAGGAGAAACTCTATTCGTTGGGGGTCCACTATTCGAATTGTTGGACTTTTCCTCTGATTCAAATGTAACATTTTTCAGGGATTTTCTTGTTTTCCTTGGTGTGGTTGTGCTATTGGTAGCTTCGGTGAGTCCAGAGCTAGAAATGTGGAAGAATGGTCCCAACAATAGATCATTATCCCCTTTGAGAGGTTTACTAGTGGAGGAAGAACTTGTCGATTCAGGTGTTGGAACAGAGGGTAAATCAAAGAATTTGATAAAATCAGTATAGGTAACTTCTGTTGCTCCAATTAATCTTCTGTAGTGACCTATGGTGGTTGTTCTGGTGTTTGATGATTTTTTTGCGTCAATTGGTGATTGTTTGTATTGTCGTGGTGACATTACATCCAAATCGTCATATTGTTGCTTGTCGATTGATACCCAATAAAACAGTTCGAATCTGAAGGTGATATTGGTGAATTCTAAAGTAGGTTTGATAGAAAATGGTTCAAAGGAGGGTGTTTTTGTGAGTTTGGTATTAGTTTCACTAGTGTAGAGCGGAATGAAAGATCCCAATTGATTCTTATCAGTGTAGAATTGTTGACTCACTACAAGGAAAGAATCCTTGTACTTCTTTTCCAATTTGGCTTGTATTTCATCAAAATCCAAATAAATTTCCTCAATTTTTGTTGATTTCTTTCTCTTTCTTTCGACTCTTAATTTCTTTCTCAGGAGTGAACCATCATTATTCATATCAGGAGTTACTGAAGAGCTCGAATCTGAAATGAGAGGAGACTCTGTTGTGGGAATATCATTGAATAAATCGAGAGGTGGAGCCAGCGAGAGTTGCTCCCTTACGGTATTTCCAAGATTTTCCAAAACTGAGAGTCGTTTCTCATTTCCTGGTGGTATGGATGCCTTGACTACCAAATCACAAAAGTGTTTCTTTTGCTTGATGAGTTTTCTTCGTATCATTAGCTGCTGACTTCCACAAATCTCTGCCAAACAACCCTCATAGGAACCTAGCACTTGATTTGTTCGTGTACTGATGAGTGCAAAGAGGAGTGGTGTAATCTTTTCAAAATTGAATGGTAAGGTAGCACTAGTTTCGAAATGGACAACATCAGATGTGATTTTACTCTTGTCTGATGAGTTGAATGATTCCAAATCGAGGAGGTTTACATTTTGAGTGTGAATGAGTGAAATCCATGCATAGGTATTGTTAGATTTCTTGACTCTGTGCAAGACATGTAACTGGACACAGAATGATTGATCATCAGTGGTTGAATTATTTTCATTTCTAAGATTGACCTTCTCTTGTTCTTCCTTGATAAATTCATCAATTCCCTTAAAACTATATTATAAAAAACACGAAAGTATTATAATAATTAGAAATGTTAAAAAATGAAAGTATAACAAATTACTTACTTGTCAATTGCAAAATGCAAGCAAACACTTGCATTAACCATCATATGGCTTAAACTTCTCTTTCTTCCCTTTGGTCTAAATTGAGGAGAATTTCCCTCAGTAAATGATGTCGATTTTTCAGAATCGATATCTTCAATAAGTGATTTTTGATTATTGTTAACAGAATTCAAATTAACTGCAGAGCGTGAAGTGAATGAAAATCTAGTTTTTGAAATGTGTTGTCGTGAGGGGTCTCCCTTTCTAGTCTCTTGTGGAGATCTTCCCTCCCTAAGAGATGGCAAATTTTGTGGAAGAGTCTCCTTTTCCTTCTCCTTTTCTTTGACCCAATCGGCCATCTTTCCACGACTTCCAATCAATGCAAATTGTAAATCCACAGGATTATTTGAAGAGGATTTATCTCCTTGTTCAGTGCTACTGTCAGTGGCTCGATTGAAATTACTAATGGCTCCATCTATGAGATCGTCCATTTCATCCTCTTCCTCATCTCCAATAATATCCTCACTCGTTCGTGTTTCATCATGTTGTTGTGACTGCTGCTGTTGTTGTTGCTCTTCATCATTGAGTGTCTCGGAGGTATCCCTCCTTGTATTCGATGATTTAGAATAGGTTCTATACCTAGGGCTGATTGGCAGCTGATAGGAAAGAATATCCTCCAACTGATCGAAAATTTCCGTACTATCATGTGAAAGAATATCATTTGCATTTCCATTACTCTGTGAATCTTCATCATTCTGTCCCAGAGCAGGTGAAGAGGGCGAAATGTTATTAATTCTCGCAAATGCACCATTGTTTTGAATGAGTTCCGACCACTTTGTGAATGACATTCCTTGTTGTAATCTTGAATTTGAATTTGAATCTGAATTATTCAATCGGTGATGTCTCTGACTTGGACTATCTGGATGTTGTTTACTGCCTCCTAATGAAAATGATGATGCAGACCTTTCTCTTCGTTTAAAAATCTTCTTCTTATCCGAAACTTCAGGTGTTTGACAACTAGCTGCCTGACTAGCTGCTGATTTTGCTTTTAATTTTGATAAATCCAATGAAAGTGGTTTAGTGCTGAGCGCAGTACTTGTTGGAAATGAAGGTGATAGTGGAGTTGTGGATGCTGTATTTGGAAATAGCATTAGATTCAACGACTTGTCAACTTGTGAAAATCCACCACCAAAATCTCCATTACCTTTTCCAATCACATTTGGTGAAGAGAGAGAAGGAGAACCACCAAGCATTGGAGAAGAAGATAATGCATGATGATGATGATCGTAATAACCCAGCAAATTACTTCCAATGTTATTTCTCATTCCCATCGGCAATGAAGGAGATTGAGTCGTGCTAACACTTCCAGAAGTTGTTGTTGTTGTTGCTGTTGTGGCACTTGTCAATAATCCATGCGGATGTTGTTGAGTGGCAGCTCCAATTAACATTAAATCACAGAAGGACAATGTTGGAAAGTCAGGATCTGTTGGCTGCACTGTTTCATTATAGTGATGATGATGGAGTTGTTGTTCTGTTTCTTCATCACTTGGTAAATTTTGTTGATTTCTATTCTTCCTCCTCAGTGATGCAAACTTTCTCTTCTTCTTCTTATCATTCTCCTTATTATTATTATTATTGTTGTTATTTGGTGATGAAGAGAGGATGGTTGATGTTGGAAAGACGAGCATTGATTTTCTCCTATCAGCATATGAAGGTAAATTATATTGATCATCATAACTTCCATAATTTGGTGTGGCCGAATTTCCTTCAATAATATTGAATAAATCATGATTAGCCTCATGTTCATTATTTTGCTTATTCCTGATGAGGGAGTGATATTGTTCAATGATGTGATTCCACTCATCGTCCATATCAGAGAGTGTTTTCTCATCATTATTATCAACGTTATTATTACTATTCAAATTATTCAAATTATTAATATTAATATTTCTTCCATCATGATTCTCATCAGCATCATCATTCCGATTATTCTTCTTCTTATTCTTAGAGTTTGATTTTCCTACAACACCTTGAGACGTTGTTGGCGCGTAAATCGTAGTCGGTGATGATGAATTTGTCGTTGGTGATGACGGAGAATGCAACAATGAAGGAGGTAACCAAGAAGAAACATAGGGAAGCGGTGAAGTGTTGTTGTTGTTGTGTTGGAGATGATCTTCATCTTCTGAAGAGGAGGAAGAAGGCGTTTTTGGCTGCTTCTTCTTCTTGGATGGCATTTTGGGGTTTTTTATTTTATTATTGAAGTTTGACAGGTTGAAAATGTATTAATAGGGTTTCAGTGTGAATAATGGCAACAGCTAGAGATGAAGGATTAAAACTTTAATGTTATGACTGAATCAGTATTAGAGTTATTAATCCATCCAAACAAAAAAACGTTAATTTTACAAATATTCTCAATCATATTCGAATAACTTGCTATCTAGTTTAAGCAACATCTTGATATTTCATTTTTCCAGTAAGTCCCTTAATGAGATCAACAGGTAACATGACACCATCTTTGAAAAGGAATGGCAAATCCTTCCAGAAAGCAACATGTGGAATAGTTTCCAATCCAGTCTTTTGCAATTTGAATTTCATCACTAGGAATCCAATGATAAAGTAAAGCGCAAGAGCAATAAGAGCCAATGTCATAATCAATCCTCCAAATCCGAATTGACGTAATGGCAAATCATCTCCTCCCGGAACTGGCATTGGAACAGCACCAGGACAAGCAATCTTTGAGGAACCACTGAATTGATAAGTGATAATATCACTACAATCTATTCGCACCCAAAGCAAGGATTAGGAAACGATTCTTTTTGGCTTGCTTTTCTCGTCGCACATGTTTTTTGTTTCACGCTAATTTTTTGTTTTAGCTCATTTCTTGCTTTAGTATCTTTCTGAGGTGTGTAGTTTGTAGTGCCTCCCTCTCTTGGTTCACCAGAAGTTGTGAGTGTTGGACGTTCAGGACCATTCACATCACAAGTCAAGGAGATTGAAAATTGTCTTGTTACACCATCTCCAGAAGAAATTCCAGAATGAAGAACTTTAACTCTCCCATTATCATCAGAAGGATTAAGGAGTGCATCATTGCAACAACAGCAAACAGACTGGAAGAATTTATTGATTTCATTTTTTTTTAAATTAGAAGTAAGGTCATGTTGTGAATCTTAGTACATTGTTACTGGTTAGTAGTAGAGAAATAGAGCTTGAAATTTTCTTCTTCGGAGATGACTTATTGAGTTTTTTTTTGAAAAATGTAGCTTGGAGTATTAAGAAATAACAATTTCAGCATGACGGAGTTTTAACTCCTTTTTGATTTATCAATTAGAAAGTTGGTTGTGCCAATAATAATTGTGAGTATACAATACAAACACATATCAATGTAATTGCATTTTCAATAATCAAAAATGTAACTGAATGCTGTATAGTTTGATTACAATATCAAAAAACTGTTTACTTCCAAACACAAACACAAATTACACAAATGGTATTAATCAATTGGTGATGGTGATTCGTTACGGATTCGTTGATGACTTATGGATTCGTGTTTGTGTCATTCAAACTTTACAATCATAAAGAGATTCGGCAAACTATTCATCTTCACATCAGCCGAATCCTAACTCCAACTGTCGGATGTCAACCATTTGACACGCAAAAAAACAATCGCTTTTCTCATTCTAAATTCACCCTTTCTAATGCATAAGCACGAATCTCACCAACAAAAAAAAGTGAAACAAGTGAAATTACTTTCGTCTACACAATAATAATACGAAATGAAGAGAAACAAAAAGTTATTTCAACTCTACGCTTCAACATTGTCAACAGAGAATGGTCAATTGACAACTGGCAGTCCTGCATCACCTACAAGATCAGAAGTTTCGTCTTCTAATGATTCGAATACTGTTTCAGCTCAAAGACAAACAGCTTGCGTTTCACCTCCAACCATTTCCACAACCTCAACATCCACCTCCATCACTCACAATCAACCCCAAACCAATTCTCCAAGATCTCCTCACATTAATCCAACAAATAGTCCACTTTCGAATAATCTTTCACATACCAATATTGCTAACTTACTCATGCCTTACGCACCAACCACAATCAAAACTACTAACACAGCCTCATTCTATCCAAGACCAGCTCATCTTTCTAAACTTTCACCTCCATCACCACTTGTTGGTAATAAGTGTACGAAACTTGTCTATTCGAATATTGTTGCTAACTTTCCAAATTGTCCTTCTTCACCAACAACAACTGTTACAACGACCACTACAGTAGAACATTCACCTAGTAGAACCTATTCGAATGTTCACTTTCCAGAAAAGGAAGACTTGTACAGTAAATTGTGGGATCAAATTGATTCATTCACTCTTCAGACAAATAACAGCAAGATACATAAACAACACAAGATGTCGAAACCTCACAAGCAATTGATCTCGACAAGGTCCTCCTCCACTACAAGACGAATGAAAATTTCCATTTCAGAGTTGTTGTGTTAATAAACAAAAGAAACTCCAAAATTTCTTAGCTCAAAATTGATTTTGCAAAAGAACCACTCCCTTATTGAAGAATATTCAGCTTAATTCTTCATAGTTTAGAACATTCTTCTTTGAAAAATATTTGGTTCAAAATGTCAGAAACAAAAATTACAACTCCCCCTGGTGGGCTCGAACCACCGACCTGCAGATTAACAGTCTGACGCTCTACCGACTGAGCTAAGGGGGATTACAACACGATTGCAGAACAATTAATCACTCACTTGAACAACTGATTCCATAAGCTTTCCAGTTGACTATTTCTTATTTGATAAATATTCAAAAAAAATGAGCAAACGAAATAGAAAAGTCTTTCAAGATGATCACAATGATCAATCGCATGTAGCCGACGATCAATTAATAATTAGCAATTTCCAATCAGAAAGAAAATTTAAAAAATTAAATTCTGATAAAGAAATATTGCCCGATGATGTATTGTATGAAATTTTATCTTTTCTTCGGGATGATTTTAGATTTATAGTGATGAGTTGTGCATTGGTTTCGAAACAGTGGTTGAATGTCGTGTTGGAAAGATGTAAATTTCTTTCATTGAAATGTGAAAATGAATTGACATTGGGAGGACGATTTTTACAAAATATTCAAAGTCTTAACGTGAACCAATATTTCAATACATTTGATTGCCATGTATTGGAGTTTATGGGATCGTTGAATAATCTTACTATACGTAGTAAGATTCGTAATGAAGGTGCCAAGTGCATTCCTCAATTGAAACAATTAACTAATCTTAATGTTGAGGACAATAAGATTGGTAATGAAGGAGTTAAATGTTTTAGTGAATTGAAACATTTGACCAATTTTAATATTCGTAACAATAAGATTATGGACGAAGGAGCCAAATATATTAGTCAAATGAGCCAATTAACTTGCATGAATATTGGCAATAATAATATTGGAGAACCTGGAGCTGAATATATTAGTCAAATGAAACAATTGACTAATCTTAACATCCATGGCAATCGTATTGGTGATAAAGGAGCTCGTCACATTAGTGAGATGGAAGGATTGACTCATCTGGATATTGGTTACAATAATCTAGGAAACCTAGGATCCCAATATTTAAGCCAAATGAAAAAACTGACCTATCTCTTTATTGAAGGCAACAGGCTTGATGAAAATGGTGCCAAATTTGTAAGCGAGTTGAAACAATTAACTATTCTATGTATTGGAGCAAATGGAATAGGTCCTAATGGAGCCAGATACATTACTGAAATGAAACAATTAACCGATCTTAGTATAGGTGGTGCTAAAATTGGTGAAGAAGGAGCTCGACATTTAAAAACAATGAACCAACTGACCAATCTGAACATTGGTTACAATCGTCTTGGATCAATAGGAGCCAAATTTATTAGTGAAATGAAACAATTAACTAGTTTGGATATTTTTTACAACAACATTGAAGATGAAGGTGCCAAACATATAAGTGAATTGAAGAATTTAAGAAAACTTGATATTGGTCGCAATAACATTACCGACGAAGGTGCCAAATATGTTAGTCAACTGAATCAACTCACTCATCTCTCAATTACTTACAATAATCTTAGTGATGAAGGAGCTAAATACATTAACACAATGACTCAATTAACTAAGCTAGATATTGGTGGTAATGCTATTAGTGATGATATCGAAATGATAGCTAATTTCTGAGTTGAAACTTTCAATTGTTGTTAACAATTTAATTTACTAAATTAGAACACTGTGGATTTACAATAATTCCCAATTTGCAAGTTTCCTCCAAAAATATTACAATTTTCTAAAAGCCCAATTCCCACCATGAACTCGACCACACATGCTGTCAAAATGTCAGAAGTAAGATCTCACAAATAAAAAAATGGTGACAGAGGCCTCGATGATGAATGCAAAGAATCAGAATAATCAGAGTAGTGGTGATTTATCGAATTTTTTAGTTTCACCTTCGACATCATCTGCACCTGTTGCAAATCGGCAACATTCGAATAATGAAATTGGAAAGACAGTTGCAATTTGGATTATTGGAGTGAGTTTGGGAATTTTATGTTTTCCAATAGTGATTGTGTTTGCTCCTTTCGTTCTAATTTATGTGATTATCAGAAAGTAGAGGAAGTTTCGAATAGAACAGTCATCCAACAACCCAAATTCTATTATGGAATTATACTTGCCTTTGTTATAGAATGGACACAGATAGTCGACTCTCTTTCCATTTTCTAATTCTTTTGTAAATTTTACCAATTTCCATTTTTAGAAATTCTCTAAAAACGTTTCATTCAAAAACTGAAAGTACATTTTTGTATTTTAGCCTTAGAAAATAAAATGAAAGATAAAATCATTGTTTCAGATTACTTTCATGAAGAGCAAGCTAAACAAAGTTTGAATTCTTCTACTTTCGAACAACCATCATCAAATTCGAATAAGAATTTCCAACGAATTGCCTCTCCAATTCAAATTAGTAACACCACCACTATTGAAGAAACCTTCTCCACAAGTCAAAGATTGAGTAATTCTCTTCGTGATTCGAATACTTGTTTCGGATTAGGTTACATGCCACTCAACAGCACAAGTGATGTTGGTTTCAACCAGTATCCAGTTTATTGTAATAATTTACTATTCAATCTAGATTCTGATTCATACTCCTCAGAAGATCCTTTATTGTTTAATTCACAACAATTAATTATTCCTGAGGAAGATTTGAAAGATTCGTCATCTTTCCAAACTAATCTCAAATTGGAAAGGTTAGATTCATGTGTTTCTGAGATTTCAACTTCCTCATCTGAATGTACTCAAGAAATTGAGAGATCTCCTTTAGAAGTCCAAATTCCAAAACAATCTCTATTCGAAATGGCTTATTCCTCATTTAGTTCAGATTGTGAAATGACTCCTCGTTCAGAAAGATCATCTCCTAGATTGTTGAATCCTAAAATGAAGAATAATGTAAGAATGAATCATTTGCCATCATTGGAAACTTTACGAAAGCAAGTCAATTGTGAATTGAACATCCATAATAGGAAAATGGAACAATTGATGAGTGAAGAACTTCCTTCTTTGAATGTTATCATGGCTGGTTGCTCATCAAGTGGAAAATCACAACTCAAGTCCTTGCTTTCCTCAGTTATGGAATTCGAAAGTGAACGAATTCTTCCAAACTCTGAATCATATCCTAAACTTGTTTTCAGACCAATTTATAGAAATTTAGATCATGGTACCAGAACCCACCAAGTCACACAAGACGAATCCCAACTTTCCTATTACAAATGGGATGAAAACATCTCCAGATGTTCTGTCATGTTTCAACCAATAGATTCTGACATTTCAGATCAAATCACTACTCAAAGAATTATCTTTACAGACATGCCAGGAATTGATTCTCAAGACCAATGTCCAAATTATTGTAAATTACTTTCACAATTATATGTTGGAATGTTTGCAAGTGAAATGAGCGACAAGATGGTTGAGTATGGATTCGAGAATATTAAGGCAGGTGGCAGGATTCAACAAGTGATGTGCCATGATTTGGTAATGCTAACCATTCCAATTGAATTTAATGAAAAAGAATTGCAAATTACCAAATCAATTCAACACTATTTAGATTCGAAAGGAATTCCATATTTGGTAGTGGCCACAAAAACTGATTTAGTTGGCAATGACAGAAATATTCTTGATAAAAAGAGAGAATTGGCCAAGCATCTCAAGATGAGATCATTCGATATTCTCACCATTGGAATGTCAGGAAAATCCAAAGAAGGAATTGAAGACTTTGAATTAATTAGAAATGATCTTCATAAGGAAAGTATGCTCGTACTTCGTCAATTACTTCTTCAATTCAATAAGAAGAGAGATTTTATTGATAAGTACAAGATGAATCACTGTGGTTTGTCTCCAATTGAAAATTTCATCAAGTCAACTGCAATGAATTTGCTTTACTATTGGTTGATTCTTCATAAGGTGATTCATTGGATAGTTATTGGTCCTGATGGAAGTGCAGATGAGCAACAACAAGTTGCAACTGAGGATGAACCAATGATTCATCTAGAAGATAAGAAAGAAAGTGACAAGATTATATTCGAAAAGAAACCTGAAACAGAAACCAAGATGATGATTCCAAAGCATCGTGATGAAATAATCTGCAATTCTGTTTTCATTCCACCTCTCCAATTTCCACCAGAACAACCAAAAGAAATAGTCAATCCTCCTTTCAGAGCTAGTGGACCATCCAAACTTTCCATTGTGAAATTCCCGCCAAAACAAGAATTGATTTCAGATAAAGTTTCAAATCCGAAAGAAGTTATTCAACATTTGAAAGAAGAAGAGAAGAGTCCATGTGAAGTAATTAATTACGAATTCACTTCAGAATCTGAAGAATCTGACGCAGACGACGAAGAAATTTTAAACGAAGACGAATGCATTTACTATACGAAACCAAAAAAGAATCAACAACATGAACACCACCATAACCTCCACGATGATCATTCTCAACCAATTATCATTCCATCCAACCATGATACTGACCTAGCCGCATCCAATTCCAAGCACGATGAAAGACACGATCAAGATTACCACGATGAAGATTGTTCTGAAGAATCCTCAACTTATTATTTGTGTTCTATGAGAATTTTCCAATGTTTGGTTGTTTCTTTATTGTTTGTTCTGGTTTTCCAATCATTTGCCTTATTTGCTTTCCAACATTTATCTTCAGTTTAATTATTAAGAAAGAATGAAATTATAGAGTTTTTGTGAGAAAATAAAGTGAGTTATTATTTCAAAGTGAGAGTGTGCAATAATGAATTTTATTGAAAGGCAGCTTGTGAACTGTTATTCACAATTTTCAAAGCACATTTCTCACTATGAATTAAGAGCATTCTGCCAATTGACAACATGCATATTTGGAACAGAAGATGGCTTCTTAAGAATTAACTAAAATCCTTCATTGACAGATTATCTCTCTAATTTAAATTCCTTTTCTCCAATACTATTGTAATTATTTTACAAGAAACCAAATTGCAATTCTCTTGCATCTTTGAAATTCTTGTGAGATTTCTTTAAAAATTATCAAATTTTTTATTATTTAAAAAAAAAATGGAATTGGAGAATATTAGTATTGCTGCAGAGTTAAGTTCCTCCGATCCAACAAAACAGACCAATGCCCTGCTGATTCTTCATCGTCTCTATACAGCCGGAAAGGATATACAAAATTATGTATCTACTGTGATTAATGCTGTTTTGGTCAAGACATCCGATCCATTGGTGAAGAAACTTTGTTATCAGTTAATTAAAGGATGTGCCATAACGAGTAGACACGATTGGAATTTTGTTATGAAAGTTGTAGTTGATGATATGACCAATTCATCAGCAAATCCTGATTTGTGTGTCTGGGCTTTTAGAACAGTGGTTGGTTTGTGTGGTATTAGCACTCAACTTCAAGAGTTTTTCGTAAAGAATCGTAGACAAATAGAAGTATGTAGTTAATTTATATGTGCAGATTGATTGGAGAGCGTACTTTGATCATCTTTTAAATTTGATAATTAATTCATCATCTATCACTCTAACAACTCATCAAATTATTCATCATCATCAAATAACACATCTTTTGGATCATACGGATGATGTGAATATAATAACAATGTTAAACAAACAATACTTGGAATATTCGTGTTTTGATAATATATTAATTATTATAATAATAATACAAAATAATCTTCATCATCATATAATGATAAATAGGAATGTCTTTTCAAGTATGGATATGATCATGTTAGAATTGCTGCTCTTCACTTTTTAAAGTGTTTGGCAATTTCGTTGAGACAATCCGAGACTTTACGATCAACAGCTTTCCAACAAAATACAAGTGAATCATCAACAGCAAAGTATTTCTCTGATTGGGTGATTAAATCTATTAAAGATGATAATCAAGAAATTGCATTTGTTGGATTTGAAGTGGTAGGTTTATTATATTGTTGTGATGATGATGATAATAATATTGGGTGTGTGTGGAATTTAGTTGAGAGAATTTATTTGTGGAGATTGTGCTCGTCATCTTCATGCGGAATCTTTGCCAATTTCTGTCACCAAGGAAAGTATGCAATGGATTGCTGCAATGAAGCCACATTTTACCATCCTCTTGTCAAGACTCAAGTGTATGGATGTGAGAAGAAGATACCCTGCCTTGAGACCAATTACTTTCATTTCATTATATTTACAAGACGAATATTCACATCAACAATTATTGGATCGTTCCAATTCATCCTTTGATAATGGTAGGTTTTGACAATAGTGTAATTATAATTATTATTGTGAAAATAGTCATGATTAGTGTAACAAATGTTTTGAGACCAATGCTTCAAAGTGTTGAATGTGCCACAGTTTTGGAAACAGCACACTGTATCTTATTAACTGCTATGGATAGTTCAATGACAAGCGATTTGACAGCTTGTACTAATAATTTAATTGATGATGCAACAAATGCCTATCTTGGACTTTTATACAGAGAAGAATCATCCTTCTTCTATGATGATCTTATGAAAGATATTTGTTCAGTTTTAAATACTGTTCGTGATAAGTATACTGTTTGTGTGAAACTTGTGGAACATATTTTGAAAGTTAGTGACAACGTAAATAGAATGTACATATTATCAAGTGTAGTCAGAACTCTTATTCAATGCAGTATTAACACAAGAACAAAACAACACTTCCTCAAACTTTTAGATCAATTGAATGAACCTGTTGAAATTGACCTCTTCTTGAGAGAAGGGTTCATTTCCAAGATTGTAACTGTTCCAGAATCACAATTTGAAGAACAAATCAGAAATGAACTTCTCTTCTGTTTGTGTCGTGAATACTTGACTCAAAAGCCATTTACACCAAAGAATGACAATAATGTTGAAAAGAATACAGACTCTGCCATTGATTATTCACTCATTCATGCTTGGTTGGATGTTGGAATTGGCATTTGTGAATTTGCAATGAATTCTCTCACGTGGAAAGACTCTAATGGGTTAATTGCAAGTATTTCAGAGTTCGCCCTCGTTTTGACAGATTTGTGTGGAGAATCCTACACATCATTCAATACAAATGAAGATCAAAGAAAGAAGATTCAAAAGATTTTGAACAAGTGTTTGGATATCATTCTCAAGATGAAGACTGAATTTGCTGAAGTCATGTCCATGTGTATTCTTAGTAATTATGTTGAATTACAAAAACAAGCTGCTGGAAGAGAAAGTGGTGATTTGGTATTTGACCATACCAGATTTATGATTTCTTCAACTCTTAAAAACTCTGGTGGAATGTCCAGTAAGGAAAAGATTGAAACTCTCCTCTATTGTTTACTCAGTGTTTGTTTGAGATTTACTCCAAAACTTAGAGATACTTTTGAATATTTGAAAATGTTGATGGAGAAACAACTCGATACTAGGGATGATATTGCCGATTTGATCAGAAAAACTTTATTGAAAGTTGATTATGCTATGAAGTACAATATAACAAGAGATAATGCTTCCAAGTCAGATATTGAACTTATTTATGGTAAGGTATTTAACAAGGATCACCCAATCTTCAAGTCATACTACTCGGAAGAAGATGAAAGAATTCTCACCTCCTACATTGAAGGCATTCAACAACTCAACTCTATTATTTCAAATTTGCACGAACAAGATCTCTACCAACTCAAGAAGGGTAAACAACTCTTGACAGCCACCTCAGCCAATACAAAGATTAGACAAACTAACATTGAATCCAAGTTCCACTCTGTAATTATCTCCCAACCAAGTGATCCTATCTGTGTAACAGCTTCCTACTCTGTTATGCCTGACTCATATACTGTATTCCTCCACGTTAAGGTACATAATAATTCACCATGTGATATTTTCAAAACAACAGCCGAAGTTGGCCTCGAAGGTCCACTTACTCTCTTTGAAAAGACTCAACAAGCATCAAGTAATATTGGTGACTTGTCTGTAAATCAATCCTATGAATTTGATTTGGAATTTACAATGTCAGAACTTGGACACTATTGTTTTAATATTATTATACAATGTACACATCTCAAGTCCTCAGGAACCATTGATCTTTTGGATGAAGGCAACAAGCAAGAAGGACTTGTAACAATTAGATGCCAACCATTCAAGATCAAAATGGCTCACGTTCTCACAAAGCCAATTAATTTACTTCATGAAAACTTTTTGACATTGTGGGAAAATTTCGAGTCTTCTTTCCACCTTAAAATGGCTATTCCAAAGATTGAAGGAACTGGTAAGAACAAATCAACAATTGTCAAAGCTAAGGAATTCATTTCACAATTAATGTCAGGTTTACATTTTTGTGAAATTCAACAATTGGATGAAGCCACCAAGGTGAAACAAGATGACTCAATGTTCCAATTTTGCTTTGCTGCCAGATCTATTTTCAAAGACTATGTATTATTGGTGGTGTTCGGTTATGCTCACCACAATGGAGAACATATCTTGTGTGACTTCCAATTCAAGACTAGTTCAGAGCCAGTTTACAGTTGTTTACATGCTGATAAATCTCCTTGGTTCCAAGATTTGGTAGATGCCAATTCACACTTTTATGGAGACCGTAGAGTATTTGTCATTGATCCAGAATCATATGATAGATCCTTCTTTGATATTACAAATCAATTTGTATTTGATAAGGTTAGAGTCAATGTCATGAAGAAGTACAATCTCAATGCATCAAAGCTTAACGTCCTATTCTTGAAGAGATGGGATTCGACCCGAATTCAAGAATAATATTCCAATGAAGAATAAATAACTTAATTTATTGAGAGGATTGTTGGATGGTGGTTTGGGGGAAGAGACGTTCGAAAAGAAGAGGTGAAGAGGAGGAAATCTTTGCTGATGGAAGGGCCAACTCAGTAAGGTAATTCAAATTTCTAGCCAAAGGTACAATTGACTTGTTAATAGACCAATACTTGTCACACCCTGTGAGGGAAAGTCTGGCAAGATTTAACATTTTTGTTAAAGAGGTCAAGGAAGCATCGAGACTGCAACATAAATTATCCTTGCCATTCATAATCTCGAGATCTAGCTCCAAGTCTTGCAATTGTTGGGAACTGATGGCAAGACTATCAATGATTGATAAAAGGCCTTTTCCAGATTTGACTACTAATTTTTCTAGCTTTCCATTGGTACTTTTGATAAGAGAATCGAATGTTGACTGAGAGATTGCTTTGGAAGGCGTAACTTGTTGAATTTGAAGTGATTTAAGATTGTTGAAACGAGTCTCTGCAGAAACTCTAATATTATCGCCTATTGGAGCATCCAATGCTTCGAGATTTGAACATTTGGAGAGGAATCTGAAACCAGACTCGCCAAGAGTATATCCAGGAACTTGAACTGAGAAGTGTTTAAGGGCGTGGCCCATTTTTGAGAGAGATAGCTTGCCTAAAATTTCATCTAACAAGTTAATGGCCTTTGCCCTTCTGTGGCACTGTACTGAAACAGCTTCTAATTCAGGAATACGAGAAATGATATCCAAAATTCCTTCTTCAATAGGATCCACTTGTTCGCATAAAATATCAAGTTTTTTGAGGTTTGTCAATTTGGAAAGGAGGTCTGGAAGTTGCTTGCTCTTGAGTTCAATTCTCTTACATCTCAAACTGAGTGTATCAAGTTGTGACAGTTTTGAAATAGCTTCCAATAGTGGAGAGTTTAGTAAATTTACCTCAACTAGAACTAATTCTTTCAGGGAAGTTTGTTTTTCAATAAAGTCAATATCATCATTGATTGATCTTTGGTCCTTTTGAGAAAAGGAAACCATAAGTGCTCGTAATTTACAATAATTTTTTAAAAAGTTCAAGGAGGTAATGTTGGTGCAATTGAGGAGATTCAATTTCTCAATTGTTGGGCCACCCTCGGAGGTTAAAAGTTGGGAAAGACATTTCGGAGAAATGGAGGACTGCATCAAGTGCAATTGTTTAAGGTTGGTCAAAGATCTAAGGCAGAGAAGAGAATTGTCAGAGACTGAAGTAAAACTCAAATCCAAAGCTTCAATCTTACTTCCAATAAGACTATCAGAAGCTTGGAAAAGATACTTGATTCCCAAGTCTGACACATATCGATTTATGCTCAAGTTTAGTTCCCTGATATTTCTCAGACCAGTCAGACTCTTCAAATGATCATCAGTGAGGTTACATCCACTCAAATCCAATTTCTCAAGTTTGTTCAACTTGGTCAGTCCTCTCAATGGATTGATATCAGATTCTGTAAGATTGTGACACATTGGAATATGAAGCTCCTCAAGATCTGGGCAATATTTAGACAGCTGCACAAGTATTTGGGGTGTTATCAATTTTGTATTCTTTTGTTCCCAGTAAGAAGCTGTGACTTTGAACGATTTCAGGTTTGAGCCATGTCTTGCTAAGAGTTTTGGAAATAATTCCGAATCGAATTTTTCAATATTCTTCTTATTATTTTCCAATACAAACCCCTCAACATTGACACACTTCCTCCATTGTTTGTTGACAAGTTCCATTGATGATTGTTCTTGGAAACTACAAAAACTGAGAATTCTTCTCAAGATTACATCCTCCGATGAGATTTGTTTCCACCCTACAACTTCCTCAACTGAATTAACCTTTTTTAAAACAGCGACATCCAACTCCTCCATCTTTAAATTGTCACAATGTTCTTCTTCAATCCTTGTTGATGAAGATTCTGATTGAGGATGAGAAGACATTTTTTTTTTAATTGTTGTATTTTAGAAAACTACAATTTTGGCGGGCAAAACTTGACTTGTTCTTTAGAGGGTATTAAGATAATGCTGAACAAGTATTAAAAAGAAAGATGTGGTTGGGTAATAAATGAGTCAGAATAGAATTGTGTATTCTTTGAGTATATAATTAAATATCAAACTACAATAAACAACTTTGTAGATAATTCATTACAGTTCACTTAAATTATCCTATACTTACAGTTCATATTAATTCATTTTCACTATTTGACGTAAAATTAATTCAACCTCAGTTCATTCTTCTTCATCATCCAAGTCAAAGTTAAACCTCATCAACAACTAATTCTACTACTCGTTGCAACTGATAGTTTACTGAAGCCACTCTTCAGTCAACCAATATTTTTGGAAGACTTGTTGGCTTTCAGGTACGCTCTTCTCCTTCAGTTTCTTTCATTAACATGTTTGTGTTTCAGTTCCGAAGCAATAATTTAATCCATCACAACATTATAAAAAAAAGACAAGATTTGAAGTCTGTGTCCAACCAACAACACCACACTCCAACAACAAAGAATTTGAAGAGATCACCTCTATCCACAACCTAGGTATAATATACTTATATTGAGTGATCCTTTTTAAATTATATAACCTGCCTTGCCTCGGTACCAATTCATCATCCTCTCTCTCCTATATCCTTATCTTTATTATTTTCTTCCTATTACCATCATCATCATCATGAAGTGCTTTATGAAAGTATCAAATTGTGACCACAGAAAGGCAGATTGTGTGGGTTTTGTCGATGCTCATCCACCATCACCTTCTGTTGATTCTGAAGAAATCACCTGGTATGAAAATCAAAAAGTTCTCATCAATGCCATTGTCGAAAATCCAAATCCTAACATGCGATACATGATTCTCTACAAGAATGCCGAACAAAGTCAAAAGGAAGTTGTTGTAGCCACCTTCTCACCACAATCATGTGAATGTGTGGCAGAATTTGTATTAGATAGACAAATCAAGGTTGCTAATAAGAAGCTGAAAATTGTCTTTGAATTAGTACAGGAATCACTCACCAACAGTCCTAATAGTTTAAATTCATCATCAACAACAACCTCATCAACATCAACACAACAAATGATGAGATCAATTCTATTGAGAACAACAGGTATTTACGTCCTGACCGAGAGATCCTATTTTGCCAATAAGAAGACACAAAAGAAGGTACAATCAGCAGCAACTATGCAAGATGTGCCTACCACTACAACTAATATTGTTCATAATCAAAGTACTGCAAATTCACCATCATCTTTTAAGAAATCAAATTTGGCAACTCCTTACGTCATTCCACAACATTGTTATCAATCAAGTCCATCTAATTCAATGTCACCAACAAATTCTGCTAGCAGTAATGAATACATGCAAGATAATATTTCTCCTTCCTACAATAATAATCAGTACTACCAACAACAACCTCAATATCACCAACAACCACAACAACAAATGCAACAATCACATTATGGTTATCCTTCTTCTCCATCCTCTGGTGGTAGTATCTCTAATGCCATCCCTCAAAACAAACTCGCTTCCATGTTTAATTTATCACCAGAAAAAGCTGAAGAACTATTCAAAATATGTTCATTGATTTTCTATCACGATATTGCAAATACAATGCCAGAAACTGTTTGGATTAGACCAAGTATGGGTATTGAAAATACTCTTGTTCAAGTTGGATTTAATTATAATAATTTACCAAAACCTGAGGATTGTGTTGGCAATATTCAAGTATTTTTCGATAGTGGCTGTGAAAAACCACTCGATATTTTGGAACCTTTCAATATTGAATTGAGAAATGATTTTGGATTTATTTCATTCCTCATTCCAAAATATAATGGTGGTGATCTTTCTCGTAGAGTCAAACTGTATCACAAGAGAAGAATGCAACACTTCTCTGGTGAAGTTGGTTTTACCTATGTACCTCCATCTGTAGTTCAACAAATTGTACTAGATACTCAGGGATCCGGTGGTGGACATGGCTATGGAAATGACTTTTTCAATAATTTCGATGGATCCTATGGAGGAGATGGTAATAATGGCGGAGGAAGTAGTAGTGGTGGAAGTTCTAATGGAGATGGTAATCAAGGTCATTACAATTCAATTTCTGATACTGATTTTGAATTCTTTGCCAATTTCCCACTTCATCTCGCATTTGCCAGAGGTGACTTTGAATCAGCATGCAATGTTATTAATGAGAGAGGTTTACCATGTATTTTGGAATCAGTTGAAGGTAAACTCTGTTTGGACCTCTCTGTCAAGTACAATAGACGAGGATTCAATGAAAGAATTGTTTCATACTTGAAGAGATTGATCAAGAAGGAACTCGAAGGTATGGGATTCCCATTCGATGATGAAACTGACTTGGCTCAAGCTTTCAGTTCATTGAATATCAAGAAGCCTCAACCTTCAAAGGTTCAAGAAACTTCCATTCCAGAATGTGCCTTCCTCAACTATGACAATAAGGAGCTGACCAGATGGATGAGAGACGTTTTCATTTCTGATAGAATCATCTCACTTCTCTCCAAGAAAAAGTTGACTGGTAGAAAATTATTCGAGTATGGCAAGAACAAGCTTATTCAAATGGGTTTATCTTCTGGATCTGCTTTGAGAATTATTAATGCTGCCAAACAAGAATGTGAAAGACAACACGTACAAGAAACACACTTTATCAATAAGGAATCAACCATGAAACTTGTAGAAGAGTCTGAACTTGAAAAGTTGACCGAAGGAGCCAAATCCAACCTCTCCAACGTTATTGAAAAGTTAAAGAGATTGAAGGCACCAATTGCATCTCAATATTTTGAAACTATTGGTCTCGATTTGATCATGAAGGATAGATTCATTGCCAAGTTCTTCAAGAAGACTCTCTCAAAGAAGACAACCATGAAGACTCAACAACAAATGGTCTCTCAAGATTCAACATTTGTCAAAGTCAAGGTTGCCATCTATGATTCTAGTCTCACACAAAAGGATTCCTCCCTTGAAATGCCAACTGATATTTCTGTTGCTGTTATTGTTGGTCCATACTTTATTGAATGGAGAAATGACTTTGCAATGGTGAGAAGTGAAGATCTTTTAGATTCTGCTGTAACATTTGATATTGCAACTGTCTATGGTATTGACACTGTTTACTCAACAGTTGAAAAACTTGCCAAGATGTGTTGTGAATGGAATTCGACAAGACTCTTCGATGCCAAGACATGTAACTCACAACATTTCGTTTCCTCCCTCATTGATGTATTAGAATTGAAGAAGGAGTATACCGAATTTTTTGGAGAATCATTAACCAAGTCATGCCTCAAGAGTTTATCAAAGGGTGAGAATGGTTTCAAGGTCAGCCTCAAATCCTCACTGCAATCTCTCTTCACAACTAATACTTCAAGTTCCAAGAAGGATGTCATCTTTAAGAGTTTGAAAGATCTCCATCAATTCTATGAAACTGTAAAGAATGGAAATCCAGAATATTTTGAAACACAAGAAGGCAAGTGTGATTTGAAACTTTTCAACCTTTTCGAAAATTCCTTGATAAGGTCGAAGAAGTCTCTCCCTCCACAACAAGTTGGAACAAGTGCCTCTGCAATTAAGAAACTTTTTGAACTCAATCCACCAAAGTTGCAACAAGGCATTGACTATAACATTAACAAACTTACCCTGTAAATAAAGTATTTTTGAGATTTTTTGTCAATTTCAAGTTTAATATTTTATCAAGTTCATACAATTAGGATAAGGATTATTTGGCTTGTTGATGTGGGAGAACTAATTGAACTCAAGAGCAGCAATAATATCAGTCTAAAGGTTTGCTATGGAGTCAAAACTGCGTTGATTATCTCACTGAATATAAGTCAACTGGTAATTTTTCAGAATACTGTAGAGAACTATGTCTACTTATTGTGATATAAAATAATAAACAAAAAAGGGAGAACTTAAAAACTTTCTTGCGTCGACCGGGAATTGAAATTTCCTTTTTTTGGAATCATTTAACTTTTAATTTTATGATGGAAATATGAATGTTGTATTTTATTATTATTCATGATGTGAAACATCACGTTGAATTCTGTTCATTATTTTTAATTCATGATGTGAAACATCATGTTGAATTGTTCTTCAATTTTTCATTGAATGTTGTTCTTTCATTGAATGTTGGAAATATTGGAAAGTTGGAAATAAAAGTTGGAAGTTAGGTAACGGGTTATGGAATTACCTAATGTGGAAATTGAATTCAATTTTGAAATTGAATTAATACAATGTTTTTTAAATTATTATTATTTAAATGTATTTCACACATTAATTTTGATAATGTAATATTAAAGATATTGATGATTGGGTATAGGGAAACGGAATTTCCTAATTGGGAGTCATCACAATAAAATTTATTATTTATTCATTGATGATGTTCACAAACTTTGAATTAACACATTACATGATGAAACAGTTCAAAACATTATATTACAAAATTAACATAGAACATTAACCATCGGGTAACGGAAATTGACACATAATAAACAAATTGAATATTAACCATCGGGTAACGGATTTTAATACATGTACTAGTATGTTGACAATTTGATAATTGGTCGACGCACACAAATTTGAACAAAAAGAATTAATATTAATAAAAGTAAAATCCTACATAGAGTTGGAGAACGGGAAATGAAATTCCCAAATTGAAACACAATCACAATAATTCATACTATCAAAATGAATTGAACCCGGGTCACGGCGATGGCAACGCCGTATTCTACCACTAAACCATCGACGCTTCACATTCATAATAAATGTATACTCCCAAAGTAACAAAAAGCTTTGGTACCACGTAAGCTGGGTTGGAAAAGATTTTGTGTCATGTCTTACCAGCATCCATTTCTCATTAAAAATTCAATTTCAGAATCTGACTTCACCCCCTGAATGGAAATTTCGCTACGACCATATCAATCTCCTCCTTAAACACATCCACCACCACTTGAAAGTAGTTTAGTAATAATTTTCTTGCTACGCTTGCGAGTTTAACTATAATCGGTAGGCATAATAGAGAGTGAATATTGAATAAGTTAAATAATTTATTTGTTTTAATTATTTGAACAAGTTGATATTTAAAACCTAATTTAAATATTAAATTTCTTGTCCAACATTTGTGTTAGAAAAACATTTAGTTCAAAGTTTCACCTTCATCCAACATGGAATCTTCTTCAGCAACTGAATTGGAAGCAAGTTCAGTATAATCCTTTTCCAAGGCAGCCAAATCTTCACGAGCTTCAGCAAATTCACCTTCTTCCATACCTTCAGAAACAAAGTGATGGACATAGGCACGTTTAGCATAAAGTAAATCAAACTTGTCGTTCATTCTTTCGAATACTTGTGAAATGGCAGTGTTATTCGAAATCATGGCACATGATCTGTCAACTTGAGCAAATTCAGAATCTGGCAAAACAGTTGGCTTTTGAGAATTGACACCAATCTTGAAAGCACATGGAGACCAATCAACAAATTGAATATTTGCCTTTGATTTGACATTTTTGACAGCATCAGTAACTTCCTTATTAACAATATCACCTCTATACATCAAACAAGAAGCAATATACTTTCCATCTCTTGGATTACACTTAGCCATCATATTATCAGCTTCAAAAACAGATGAAGTCAACTCTGCAACATTATTATCATGATAATAATTTTCTTGACGTGAAATCATTGGAGCCAATGAAGATAACATGAAATGAATTCTTGGATATGGAACTAAATTAGTTTGATATTCATTCATATCTACATTCAATGATCCAGAGAATCTCAATGAGCAGGTAATGGCAGAAACTGTTTGAGAAATGACGTGATTTAAATTACGATAATTTGCTCTTTCAATCTTTAAACGTTGTTTACAAATATCGTAAATGGCTTGGTTGTCCAAAACAACTGAGATATCATTGTGTTCTAATAAGGAATGAGTTGACAAGACTGAATTGTATGGTTCAACAACTGAAGTGGCCAATTGAGGAGATGGATAAACTGTATACGAAAGTTTACATTTCTTTGGGAATTCAACTGAAAGTCTTTCAACTAAAAGTGAAGCAAATCCAGAACCAGTACCACCACCAACTGAATGGAAAATTTGGAATCCTTGCAATGAAGTACAATTATCAGCAATCTTTCTCAATCTGTCAACAGTCACATCCAACATGTCTTTACCAACAGTATAATGACCACGTGCAAAATTATTAGCAGCATCTTCACGACCAGTAATCATTTGAGCTGGATGATACAATTCCTTGAAAGAACTATTTCTGACACTGTCAACAACTGATGGTTCCAAGTCAACCATCAAATTACGTGGAACGTAACGACCACGAGCAGATTCACTGAATAAAACTGAACAATCAGAGTTGCCATTGGTAGAGTCAATGTTACGAGTACCATCTTGGTTGATTGCATGTTCGGCACACATCAAGGACCAGACTTGTTCACCAGCTTGGATACCGGCTTGACCAATGTGAATATTGATAATTTCTCTCATCTTTAGTTTGGATTAGTTTAGTTTAGTTTATACTAGCTTCTTATAATGAGAAGTGTAATGTTATTTTTTTTTTGTTGGTGTGAAAGGTGGCAGGTTGTGGAGGATTTATGTGATTTTTTGTGTGTAACGGTTCGAGAAAAGGCGCCAAGATGTGAAATGTGATTGGTGTTGGCGGGAAGTTAAGTTTGGTTACAATGAGAAGTGAATGCGCCTTTCTAAACTACAGAAATTAACATGAATCCAAAATTTTCGGATTTTCACTACCAGATAAGATTCAATCACCCAAGCAAAAACTGGTGTACCGCCACTGGTTTCAGTCTGTGTTAACTTTTCCGCCACTTACTTCGGATACATCCCAACATCAGTCCGCCACAGGCAATAAGCAAGAATCGCTACACTAGTTTTTAATAGCTTACCTGGTAGTGATATTAGTAGTAAAATTGAATTTCACATTAAAAGTTCCATTTTTGACATCGTTCACACAGATGAAGATTTCCATTTTCAATCTTTTTGTTTATTATTGATTGTAATTCTCTACATAGTATTGTAAAACTCGAGATGGAGTATCATTCATTTCAATTTCTCCCAATTTCATCAAGATAATTCTATCATAATCTTTAACAGTTTCAATTCTGTGAGCAATGGTAATGATGGTGCAATTGTTGAATAGTGGCCCACGAAGAGTCTTTTGAATTTGAGAATCGGTGAATGAGTCAACATTGGCTGTGGCTTCATCCATTAAAAGTAATTTGGATTTTTTCAAAATACTTCTAGCCAAGCAGATTAATTGTTTTTCTCCACATGAAAAGTTGCTTCCATTTTCAGAAATTGAATAGTCTAAAATTTCCTTAATGTTTGGATTATCTTTGCAGACCTTTCTTTCGAGTAATTTATCAATTCCAACCTGTTCAATAGCACGCCAAATTTCCTCATCAGTATTATAATTATTAAAGTCGAGGTTTTCTCTCAAAGTTCCCAAAAATAGCACTGGGGATTGAGGAATGAAGGAAATAGATGTTCTCAAAGTGCGTAATGAAATATCTCTCACATCAGTTCCATTCAAATAAATTCCACTGTTATTAGCATTCTCAATTTCTTGGAACCTTAACAAGCAATTGAATAATGAGGATTTCCCACTTGCTGTTCTACCAACAATTGCACATTTGCTGCCGGGAGCAACACTAAATGTTACATTCTTGATAACTAAATCTTGTTCTTCACGATATTTCATAGAAATATTATCAAAACTAACACTCAATCCTTCGTCAGAAGTGCTTTCTTGAATGAGAGATTTTTTGTCATCTCCATAATTTTCCTCTTGGATAGAATTTGAAAATTTCTGGACTCTTTGAACACAATTAAATGAGGTTCTTGCCTTGGTGAGTGTATGCATGATCCTCTCTGTACTTCTGACCAATTGTGAAGTTCTCACATAGAATAAGCTTATTGTGATCTGAATTATTTTGATATTGGCGTTTGGATCATAGTTCCAAAAATAATAGAAGAATATTCCAAGAACACTAAGGGAGGAAATTAATATTCTGAAAAAGTCATTCCTAGCATAAAACCAAAAAAATGCAAGTTCCTTACAGTATGCTAGGCTATTAACTGGCTTTTTTTGAGTTCTAATGTCGTTGATGAGATGTTCAAATTTCTCAACACCATAGCTTCTAATTGTCTCCAAACCATCTAACATTTCCGCACTAATTGTTGGAGTTGGATCATGAAAATCAGTTTGGATTTGTTCAATTTTGTTAGAAACATCCGTATAGACACCTCTGAAATAATTTGTGATTGGAACAGACACGAAAAGCATTAGTATTGAAAGAGGCAATGAATAAATAACAACAAAAGTTGAACAAATAGCTTGCCAACTATTTCTCAGCAAATCTCGCAACCTAAAACTAATATTATCTCTAATTTCATTGATATATCTAATATTGTCCAAAATTTTTCCACTTGGAATATCTTCAAAGTGTCTGAGCTTTGTTCTTGATATTTGTAAGATTAACTTTTCTTGGAACACATCAGCAAGTTCATATAAGAAATTATTAGAAATATGAGTGATCAAGGTAATTGCAAACATTTGGATAAAGCCTTGTGAAATGTACATTATCAAGTAAAATGTGAGTGAGTGATAAATAAACTCCTCATCAGTTGACCATTCAGATAATATATAGTCTTTAAGAATTCCTGAAACAGGCTCAAGAAGAGAAAAGGCAACCAGTGCAGAGAGATAAATTGCACTCTTGGGAATTGAGAATAAAAATTGTCTAATGAGAGAGAATGAAGGACCGTCGGCTTGGGATGTATCAGCTTGTGATACTTCAGCTTGTTCAGGTTCTCTTTCCTCTTCTTCTTCATCAAGTGCTTTGTCTTGGGAGGTTTTTTCTTGATTTTCTTCTATATTGCTGTTAACAGAATGGGTAGCCGATTCAAAGAGCTCACGTAAAGCCACAGTTTCTTCCAATTTTCCAATCAAAAAGTCATAATTACCTTGTAAAACTATTCTCCCCTTATCCATAACTATTGTTCTATCCATGTGAGGAATTAATTTAAGTAAGTGAGTAGAAAGAATAACGGTCTTATCTTTAAGGAAGGCGTTTTCCCCAACAAATACTCTCTTAATGATGTTGTCAGCTGTATGAATGTCAACTGCTGAAAAAATATCATCAAAAATGTATAAATCAGAATTGTGATAAAGTGCTCTGGCAAGTGCTAATCTTGTCTTTTGACCTCCACTCAAATTAATTCCACGCTCTCCAATTACTTGATCATGACCATTTGGCATTTCCTCAACATCAGATTTAAAGTCAGCAGCAAATAATGCACGTTCATATCTGCTCTTGTCAAAGTTTGCACATCCAAAAATAATGTTTTCCTTGATTGTAGAATTTCTAATCCAAGGTGATTGAGAAACATATGAAATTTTCAAATTTTCCTTAATCCTTACAATACCCTCTGCGATATGCGTTTCATTCAATATAGAGCAAATCAATGAACTCTTACCACTAGCAACTTTGCCAATAATACCAATATGTTCGCCCTTTTTGATTGTTGTGCTAACATCTTGGATGCAATAATTTGTATCATCCTCTTCAGATATAGACCAACTAGCACAAACATTTTCCATCTCAACAATTGAAGAATCAGTATGATTCTTGTGCTGTGAATGTTCTGGACTATTCAATAAATGACCAAGTCTTCGAATGGCAAGCCTCTTATTCATAATTGATTGAAAATTTCTGGAAATTGCATATAAAGGATACTTTAGGGAGTCTGCTAATGTAACAACTGTAAGGGCTGTGCTCAACTTGAGAGGATTTTCATCAATGTAGCAGTAAATAAAAAAGCACAATGATGATACAACAAAACTCTGTACAAAGTAAATTGCATCAATAATAAAATTAAGAAATTCTGTCGATTTCATATGAATCTTGAAGGATTCTTGAATTTTAGAAATCTTCTCAACAAATCTATTTTCCAATGTGTAAATTTTGATCAATCGAATAGATTGAATAAACTGGGATAATGTACTAGATTTCTGATCACACAATTTTGTAATTCTATCAGAATTGGCCTCTCGTTTCTTCAAACAATGATAGTAAAATGGAGAGGAGACAAAAAGAAATAGCATGCCTATCAAAGTAGCTTTAAATCCAACCAAATCATATATAGCAAGTACACATAGCAAAACATAGAAAATATGTGAATAGAAACGTGGGAGATCATACATGTTAGAGCACACCGACTGAACATCTTGCTCTAATATTGTATCCACTATTCCAAAATTGAACTTGGTCAACTTTTGGATGTAGCTCAGTTTTGATAATTTTCTCAGTACCATACTTTGCATACTATTTGAGATTACAGTTTTTCTGTAATTTTGCTTCATGTAAACATAATTATCAGAGAATCTGTTCAAGTTCTTGAAAATGAATTCCATCTTCAAATAAAAGGTGGCAGACCACAGCAAGTCAGAGCTTTCAATATTTTCCTTCTCAAACAACTCAAACACCCTTCTCTTCATATACAAGGCAACACTATCACACAATTTAATGAACAGAGTCACCCCAATCATTTGAATCAAAACCCAACCCACCAATCTATGCAACAAGACAATTGTTTTACCAATGCTCATCGTTGAATCTGTCATCTCCCTATTGTTGCTTAAATTATCATCAACATTAAACTCCATACCAACAGTTGCTTCTTTAATGAGTTTGAATTGATGTTCATAATATGATTGCTCCTCTGTGGTTGCCTCTCTAACATTCAAATTTTCCTTCTCATAGACTTTGAACCCTTTAGACGAATTCTTGATCGGATCAAGTAAATCAGGCCAAATCCAAGAGCAAAATACATTTTCTTTAAATTCGTGTATGTAGTTCCTAATCATTCCCAACATTATTTTCTTCTATTATTATTATTAATTGATCAGAAGATTAATTTAGGCTCTTTTTTTAATATAAAGCTGCTCCGAAAACAACATTCCTCTTTAAATAGTTAATTAATTAGAATACTAGAGCGATTATTTACTAGGTTACCTCCATTTCAATGAAATTGATGAAATTTTTAAAAGTTACATAACAATCACACGATGAAATTGATGAAATTTTTTTAAATTTAAATTGTAAATACCAACATCTATAATATTATTACAATCCTAAATTGGAAAAATTAATTTTTAATATTTTCAAACAATTTCATTATCTAAAACATATTTATTATACAATTAAATTTCACTTCACATTTTAATTATCCAAATTGGCAGCCGATGAATGCACAACACTTGATGAATTATTCGACAATCCCGAAGAACTCACACTCTTCAACTCTACATTATTCCCGCCATTTACCGTAGTTGCAGAAACATTTGCATTACCGGTACTGCCACCTGCAACAACCGAATTATTGGCCACTTGAGCGGCATCTTGATTCTCCTCTTCATCTTCCTCCTCCTCGACAACAAACTTATTTCTCAAATACAACAAGACACGAGGGAGAGCCAACAAAAAGGCCAAAGTCATTCCCGCCAAAACAATGCCACCTGCAATACATGCTGCAACAATGCTTGCTGCTGGGAAAGGTCTCTTGTGAGGTGGCAAAACTTCGGCATTGATGAGGAGTGGAAGGAAGAGGCATAGAATGGCCACTATGAAGATGGATTGTGAGGAAGTGAATATTTTGAATGACATGATGATGAATTGGTGGTTAGGTCTGGACGGTTAGGTTGTTTGTCTTTTTTATGATGATGGAAAGTGAACGAAAAGTTTCGCTTGGATAATTTTGGCCGTTATGGAATATTTGTTTGAGAAGGTGAACGAAATGTTACAGACACCAATCATAATGCATTTCTTTTCTTTACAATATTGAAAGTAGTGTATTGATATTATGTTATATTTCAATTCTTTTGAGATCTTGAATCAATCATTTAAATTCACTGACAAAAACAAGTTCAAAGAAGGAAACATTCTTCATCAACATTCGAAACTCACCAGCTTCCATCTCAAAAAAAATGTTCTCATCACGATCAAATCTCTCCTCCCTCTCCAAACAAAACATGGAATTGGAAAAGAGAAGGAAGGAAGCTGTATTTTTAGGTGCTTTGGAAAATAGAAAACAAGTTAAACAAATTTCAATAGTAAAAAGTGTTGGATCGGAAATTGATGGTAGGTTTAATAATATTGATTATCAGGAAGTAAAATTATGATCATAATTGGATGATATTATTTTTTGTAATATTATAATATATTTAAATATTATTAAATATTTTGTAGTGTATTATTCATCAAATAAATATACAAAGGGAGATTTGTACAAGATTAGAGAGCCAAAACCACCTGCTCAACTCGAGGATTCTTCATCAAGTTTTAAGAGCCATACAATTTCAGACTTTTTAAATCCGAACTTTGATGAATCACAGGAATATTCGGCAAGTTGTGTGATTGTTAGTTCGGAAGTTTTATCAAAGGTGAGGATTTATTAATAATTATTTAATTATTTATTTTAAAATAATACAATTTACTAATTTAGGAAGCTGATTCGACAATGGATATTTTACAAGGAGATGATGTGGAATTTTTCTATTTTGTAAAATTAAAAGCCACCAAACCAGGCAAAATGGTAATTAGATTTGGAGACATGTTCAATGTCGAATTAAACATTTATGAAGAACAATTGTAAATTATTTTACAATAATTATATTAAAAAATCAATGAAAATTTAAATACATCAATCAGCCATTTTCTTTCAAAGTTCCATTTTGATTGGGAAGAAGATCAAAAAAAATGTCAATACTACTTCTAAAGAATTTTCTGAACCAATCAACAAGGGGATTGAGATGCTTCTCTACAAGCCAATCAAAATTCAATTTTGCAGAAGCTAAATATTGGACATCAAAGGTGGAACCTATCGAGGAGGAAGCCAAGAAGCAATTAATTGGAGTGAGAAATTCGGGTACGTGTTCTTACCAATTTTACGTTTTGCAAATCTAATTCTTAAAAAGGAATCATTCATGGACACATTGCTGTCATGCCCGATGTTCACATGGGCAAAGGTTGTACAGTGGGCACAGTTATTCCCACAAAAACAGCCCTTATTCCTGCAGCAGTTGGAGTGGACATTGGATGTGGAATGTGTGCAGTCAAGACAAGTTTAAAGGCCACTGATTTGAAATCGCTCGCAAGTATCAGAAATAGCATTGAGAAGGTCATCCCAGTCGGATTTGGAAAACATGAAAAGGGAAATATGCCAAATTCTGTTGTTGACCTTTGGGATACTCAACTACACAATGGTTTTGAAAGAATATTAAACTTTAAAGATATCAAGCAATCCTATAGAGATAGCATTGAAGAATCAAATCATATTAACCACTTGGGAACCTTGGGAGGAGGAAATCATTTTATAGAAATTTGCCTCGATGAAACAGACCAGGTTTGGATTATGTTACATTCTGGATCAAGAGGCGTTGGAAATATGATTGGACGTGTGTTTATTGATCTGGCAAAGGAAGATATGTTAAAAACATATGGTTACCTGCCAAATGGAAATCAAGATTTGGCCTATCTCACTAAGGGAACTAACTATTTTGATGAATATTGGTTTGCATTAAATTGGGCGTCTGACTTTGCAAAATTCAATAGAAAAATAATGATGGAGGAAGTGATTAAATCTTTGAGAAGAGGAGGACAAGTGGCAGATCCAAATTTCAAAGCAGATCTCGTAGCAGTCAATTGTCACCATAACTATGCTCAATTAGAAAATCACTTTGGAGAAGATTTGTACATTACACGTAAGGGAGCTGTATCTGCAAAAAAGGGCGAGTTGGGAATTATTCCAGGTTCAATGGGAAAGAAATCTTATATAGTTATTGGAAAGGGCAATGCAGACAGCTATTGTTCATGTTCACATGGAGCTGGAAGAAAACTATCACGAGGACAAGCCAAAAAGACCTTCACCGTTCAAGATTTAAGGGCACAAACCAAAGATGTCGAATGTAGAAAGGACGAAGGAGTTCTAGACGAAATACCAGAAGCTTACAAGGATATTGATGCAGTGATGGAAAGTCAAAAGGATCTTGTAGATATTTTGTATACCCTTAAACAAATTGTTTGTGTGAAGGGTTAACATATCTGAATATTGCTGCCAACACATTAAATTTTGTAATAAAAAGCCAGCAAACCAATTATTTTGTAACTCAAATACTTTACAATGAACTATGTTGGAACTTGAAATAATCAACAGAAAAAAAAATGGATCAAAACAACACACCACCTCCACACTCATTCTCATCACCAGCATCAGCAACTATGAAAACCCCGAAAAGTGCAACAGAAATTTTGCAGAGAAGACAGAAATTCCTTGCCAAAAGATGGAAACGACACGAATATGCACTCTATGATATATTTACAATTACCTTTTCGTTTATTGATGTGAGGAAACATTTCATGTCGTTGGCACTTGTCAATAAGTGGTTTTATCATCAGGTTCATGAATGTCTTGCCAATATTGAGGAGATTGTTTGTGTAGATGAGAAGGAATTTCTTCCGATCAATTATAGAGAGAGCAGATTGGAACTGTTTTTGGATAAATTATATAGAACTAAAATATCAAGAAATTATCTGCAGTTTGAGGAGGAAATGGAAGAGGAGCATGATGAGGAATTTAATGCTGATCATCATGATGAAAATGTTAATATAGAGAATGATGCACAAGTGCAGAAGAGTGAATCAACTGATGAATCAAGTGATGGAGTATTTAAAGATCTTTTAGCGGCATATAATTCAGTGAAGGGAATGTTTGGAATACCTCCACCACCTACTTCAACTGTTGCATTATCAAGTAACAAGTCCACTAAGGAACAAACTCTGCTGAAGAGGGCTATCATCGCTATTAGTACCTATGAATATTGGAGTCCATTTCGTAAATACAGGATTGAGAAAATTTACTTGATTGGGACCTTTTCGAAATATTCCTCTTCCCTGCATGCCATTGAAAAACAAGGTGTCGAATATGATAGTTTGATTTTCTTTAGATGTGGAGTTTTAGTACAGAGTTTTTATATTTTATCAATGGATTTTAGTGCATATCATAGAGCAGTTTATATTAATTCGTCATTTTCTGGTTCTGACGCTATTCCAATATATACATCAACGATGGACATTGATCAAGTGATGGACGTGATGAAAGAATATGAAATATTCTCAATTTCACCAAGTTTAGTGCAGTTCAAGACGAACGAGATAATGGAATATGTCAAATTTGAAAAGTCTGGAAGTGCTTCCTCTGGAAATATACTATGGAAAGCTCTGAAAAAGTATGAAAATCTCTATCCCTATCTTCAGCAAGTATTTGGTGATTTGGGTGTATATTACTTGAAATCTATGGTATCTGAAATGATATCTATTACAGAAAGAAATTTTAGAACCTTTTTAGAAAAGTGGAATTTATCAGTTCAAGTCAAAAAGATTAGATTAGAATTTTTGATAACCAATACAATTTATTGTGACAAAATTATTGAGAATTTCGTAAGGGAAGCAAATGAAATTGACAAGGCATTGGAAAAGAAAAAATCATTGGCTGTCGAGAAGTGTAAACTCGAAAGTTGGGCCAAGTGGGTTTCTGATACTTACAAGAAGAGAGCTAGCAAGAAGAAAATAGATATTATGTTACAATAAACAAGCTGTAACTGGAACATGTTTATGCAACTCAATATCATCCTGATTAGAAATTTGTTTATTTCAACAACCCATTGCAGATTACCATACGGATAACCACATTAAGTCTACTTGTTTCTATTAAGGCAATCAAGAACAAATGTGGATCAACACAAACAAAAACCTCAAGACCTTCTCCAAGATGAGCACAAAAGAAAACACTTAAAGCAACTTCTAACACTGATGATGATAGAATCACCCTCTCGGATTTCAAGCAGCATCGTCACTTTAGTAATGTTCTTCATGATGATGATGCTGATGAATTTAATGCTCACAAGAATTTACGGACAAACGCTTAATGCCTTCCAAGCATCAGAAAAACAATCACTTGTTGATAAACATAATAATGTTCGATTGAATGTTAATCCATCATCCTCCAATATGGAAACATTGGTGTGGGATGAAGCCTTGGCTCAAGTTGCTGCCAATTATGTTGATAAATGTATTTGGGCCCATAATGCTGAAAGAACCAATGATTATGGACAAGGATATGTAGGAGAGAATATGTACGTTGGATTTTCAGATATGGTTTCAGGAAGTGTGAAGGGTTGGGCTGATGAATCTCAATTCTTTGACTATACAACCAATACTTGCCAAAGTGGTAAGGTTTGTGGACATTATACTCAATTAGTTTGGGCAACCACAAAGAAAGTTGGTTGTGCCAAAAAGACCTGTTCAACATTTACTAATCTTGAATCTAATTTCAATGGAGGAACTATTGGTAAGTTTTAACACTTCTTGCCGATTAAGAGCACTATTTTCGTAAACTATAGTCGTTTGTGATTATTTTCCAGGAGGAAATTATAATGGTCAAAAACCTTACATTCAAGGTACTCCAAGTCAACAATTCCACTAACACCAATAATAGTACCAATGTCAATAATGGAACTGTTAGCAATAATTCAACAAGCACAAATTCTCTCAATGCATTCACATCAGCTGAGAAGATTGCCTTGCTTGATGCTCAAAATACAATTCGTTTGAGTAAGACATTAAATCCTCCAGCAGCAAGCATGGGAGGTTTAGTTTGGGATGATGAATTGGAAAAGGTTGCTGCCAGTTATGTTGACAAGTGTCTTTTTGAACATTCTGATAATTATAGGAAAGGTTCTGTAGGAGAGAATTTATACATTGGATTTTCAGATATAGTTCCAGGAAGTGTCAAGAGTTGGGCTGATGAATCTCAATATTTCACTTATCCTACAAGTTGCCAATCAGGACACGTTTGTGGACAGTACACTCAATTGATCTGGGAAAATACCAAGAAGGTAGGTTGTGCAAGAAAGAAATGTGCCACAGTCCCAGGATTTTCCCAATTCAGCAATGGAACCATCGTTGTGTGTAATTATTTCCCAGTTGGAAATTTCAACAATGAAAATCCATATGTTAAATCACTAGTAATTGCAGGAAGAAACTCCACAAAAACAGTCAACTCTGCACCTTCTTCATTCTCTGATCAAGTGTTGAACATAATCCTCATTTCTATTTCCACAATTATCATGCTTACTCTCTAACTCAGTCATAAAAAAAGGAATATGAAATTAGGAGGAATATTTAACCAGCATGTTGTTAAATAATTGTATAAACACATTAATTTCCTTCAATATTAAGGTTGTAACATTTTCCGAACATTTTCGCATAATATATTATTAATGAGAACTATTTCCTCTAGAGCCATTGATTGACCTTAATAATCCAAGAAGATTTTTATTATTGTGTTTCCGCAAACAAAAGGAATCAAGTTACAGGCCCACAAATATCAAAGAAAAAACAAAATGCTCCCTCACCGCCAGCAACAACAAGTACAATATGATGAGAATGATCGTAGTCAGCAAGAGAGTGCAATTGTTCATCCAATAAGAAGAGGCAGTAATAGAAATTTAGCTCTCTCTACAGTATCAACAATATCATCATCAACTGTTGCTAATAATTACTATTATAAGAATAATCGTCATCATCATCATCCCTCGATAAGATCCTCACAATATATGAAATTTGAATCTAATCATCAAAATCCATCGACCTTCGTAAGGAGCTGGGCAAATATTAAGAGAGTGCTTAATAAGATTTATAAGTGGACATTGGGAAATGTTCGTCTCCGAATGTACATTTATTCAATGTTAAAGGTTAGTACTATTACTTCTCTTAATTTGGAATATTTAATAACAATTTAAAGATCTTTTCCATTACCTATGTTCAAGCAAACTCAATCATTTTGGGAAGAAAGGAAGATCTCACCTACTATGACACTACACTTAGTCAATCCTTACTTGTTATTTCCTATACATATATGGCACTTCTCATGATCATGTTCACTGAAAGATATCTCAGAGAATTATACTGTGTTTACAAGAGAAAGGAACTCTTAATTTGGATCAACTGGATCGAAGCTTTTATCTTCTTTACCTATGTCGTTTATTCAGTATTCACAACCTGTAATCACATCTATTATTTGGTTGAAGAATTGAAAGAAGAAAGTGGACATGAAAATGCAAAAGAAGTTGGCGCCAAATCTCTCGAGCAAAAATTTGCAGTCGAAATGATTGAAATTTTCATTCACTTGTATATTATATTTGATAAGGCAAGCCATTTTCTTCATTCTGGACATAGTATTTCACTATATTTGTCTAAGGCAGCTCATATTCCTAAAATGCAAGATGTCAGTCATGGGCATGAACATTTGGCCAGTGATTTACAGGGAGAATCATATGTTTCAGATGAAGAAGAAAAGAAAGATGTGATGAAAGAAAGTGAAATGCGTAAAGAATTGGAACAGGAATTGTTGGATACAAGTGTTAATCCTGCCGATAGAATAATCGAATAAAAAAACAAATCAAGTTTAATGTTCTTGGTTTATTCTAGACGAAATAAGAAGGATGTTCATCTATAATATCGAAATCCTCAGAAGCACCCAATGGAGAAGCACTTGCGAATAAATCTTGAATTGTCTGGTTTCGTTCCAAGTTTCTACTGGAATGGTAGACGTAATTGTATGTTTTCATTCGTTTCTTTCGAATAATGCAACAAATAATCAAGGAAACTGTCAATGAAAGTAATAAGAAACCTCCCACGCCACCAATCAAACCTCCTAAAAAGGAATCGATTGACATTTCCTTTTCTGCAGACAGGAAATTCAATATTTTACAAGAAACACAAACTTCCTTCATTCCACTCAAAGCTAATGTTGGAATAATCGCAGTATCTGAAACTAATTGACTACATTCGAAACTTTGACCAATAGCAACTTGATATCCTTTCACATTTCCATTATTCGAAAGTAATTTGGAATTATCTTTTGAATATTGAGCTGAACATTCAACAGCATTCAGTTCTACATCTTTCAATTCCCATGAAATTTTAAATTCTTGCACAAGAACCGTCAAGTGATACAATCTATTCGATTTAAACTGACAATTGACTGATTTCTTGACAAGTTCAGAATCTCGAGTGATATTGAGCTGACCAATTGTTAATTCTTGAATGCTATTCGAAAGTGATAAGGAAGCAAAGAATGTTGCGTTTTGACTTTTTGAAATCCAAACTTCAAATAAATTTCCATTTTCGATATTTGAAAAAGTTAACAATTTCACATCAAACGAAATTGAATTTGAAATGTTGAACAAATCGGAGGATCCAACTATTTGTCGAGTTAGTTCAGTTCCACAAGTTGCTGAATTATTAGACGAAACTTCATTTTTGTTCATTTCGAATAATAACAAAGTTCCTTCATTAGATGGAATAAATGAAATTAATGGCTTGATTGAAGAATTTACATATGGAATATCTGGGAAAGTAATAGAAATGTCAAAATGTGTCAAATCTTTGACATTTACCATGGATGGATCAAAATATCTGAAAGAATGGAAAGAATCGTATACAGTTTCTAATCCAAGATTAGTGATTGATAACTTGACTTGCACCATTGTATCCACAGATTCTATTAATGGAATATCAAATTTGCAATGTGTAAGATTTAACACTTTACACTGAATAGTCATTACACTATTCGAAAGTTCAGTAATCTTTAAATTCACATAGATTAAACTTTGAATTGGAATAAATGAAGATTCAACAATTAATTCATTTCCATAAAAACCAAATTTTGGCGAAATATTTTCCAATTTAAATCTAAACATGGTAATTTCCATATTTGTAGGAAAATAAATTGGATTTCCAATTAAATCATTCGTCAACAATTTGATATAAACTTTCACCTTGAATGTTTTTGAATTAAAAAGTTGTTTAGGTAAACTATTCGAAACATCCCTCGTAGTGAAATAGTATAAAGACGAATCTAATGAACGACTATTCAATGTCTGAATTGGTAATTCTTCAATAATCGAATCAGATTCTTCATGTTTAAAAACAATAAACGAAATGACATCTGTCAAAGTCAACCTTCCTTCAATTTGTATTTGAACTGAGCTAGCAATTGGAACATTAAAAGTTGACATGGAAGAAATGGAAAGTGAAATTGAGTCCAAATTTGAACTTGACATAATTGACAAAATATTTGGATTTTCAAAAATTACCTTTTGTGAACTTTTTGAAAAGATTTCTCTATTAGAAACTAATCGATTCGTTGAAACAATGAGTGAAATACCAGTATCAACATTAAGAATCACAACCTTGCTTTCACTTTCGTCTTGTTTCTCCTCAACAATTACAGTATCCGATTTGGAAATTGTAAAATCAGAATCAGATGCCAAAATTGTAAAAGTGACATTTTCAGATTCTATATTTGGTTGAATGGAACTTATTGTGGTTTCTGTTTGTCCACTTGATAGTAAATATTGTTCACCACTTGTTGGATTTGTAAGAAGAAGCGAAAGTGAACTGTCAATGGTCAACTGAGGAATTTTCAATTCTGACACTTTTTTCTGATCACTTGATAGGTCTATTTCAATAAGGTAAGAGTTGGATTGATTTGAGTTTACAATAACTGAGAAAATAGTCTTGTTTGTAATTGGATTGTAAACTTGATTTCCATTTACAATATTCGAAAAGGTAAGAAGTTCATTTTCAAAATCAAATAATAAATTTGCTTGCTTTCTTTCCAAATCTACTTTTAAAACAGCAATTATAGAACTGTCATCTTTCATAGTTATGGCAAATAGCTCATTATTTTGATTAACAAATTTGATTAAACCAAATGTTGAACCAGTCGACTCACTGTGAATACCATAATTGATAGGAATGGTCAATTTGGAAGTGGAAGACCCTTGTGAATCAACTCTCCAAACTGTCAGCATATCTTTCTTTTCGAGTAATAAACGAGAATCGAATGAAATAAGCTTATTTCCATTCGAATCTACAAAAACTGAATACAACTTGACAATATCACTCAAATTCATTCCACTATAGGTAACATTCTCCAACAGCACTTCTCTATATGTCATGAGAGGAATTGTTTTCTGACACTTTTTGTCCATCATTAATCTTTCCAGATAAATTGATTGATCTTTGTTAATGATTTTTTCAACTTGGATAAAGTTTCCAGAGCAAATTGGAGAAGGAATGATGAATTGACATTGCTGGCCACTAAAACCATCATTGCATGAGCAGTTTCTGGATGAGGTGCATTGGCCATTTCCAGAACATTGGTTGGATATGTTGGTGGTCATGTTACATGACCATTCAGAAACTGGAATTGAGAAATTGAAATGGTTTTCTGATGAATTGTTGGCTACTGTTGAAGCATTGAGTGTTAAATTGGTTGGGTTTAGGGTGGTATTGAGACTAGTATTGTTATGGTAATTTCCTAAATTGGAAGTATAGTTGCTTTGTTGATTGGTTAAGGTTTCATTTGTTATAACAGATTCATTTGAAAGAATACTTGTTGAATTGACATAAATTGTCTCATTTAAGGTCTCATTCCTTCCCAAAATTGTGGAAGTATTGTTTTCCATATTAGAACTATTCAAGCTAGTTCCGTTCTGCATATCGACAAGAGTTTCGTTTGAAAGAGTCAAATTATTGCTTCCAATAGAAGTTGAATTCATGCTCGATGTACTGTTATTGGTCATGAGAGTTTCATTTCCAATAACTGTTAAATTAGTCATTGTTTCGTTTACCAAGCCATTCGAACAATAAGATAAACTGTCATTTGCAGAAATACCTTCATTAGAAGCTGTATTATTTGGATATGTATAATTGGAAGTGTTTCTAACAATCTCACTCACATTGCCAATTAATGTTTCATTTGCAAATTCACAACCTGAACAATTAGACGAAATATTATTTGAAGAAATAGTTTTGTTCAACATTGTAAGTAATGTACTATTGCATTCGGTTGTGGAATTATCAATAACCATGTTTGTTAAATTAGAATCCATTGAAAAGTTTTGTGAAATGGTTGAATTTGAGTTTTCAGGAATGGAAATGCTCGAATTATTGATTGTTGAATTTCTAATACTTTCGGTGAAGTTCAAAGTATTATTCTGATCACTAACGATTGATCTATTGGAAGTAAAAGTTGAATTTTCGTAAAGTGTTTCGTTATTTGAGGTGGAAATATTGAAAGAAAGTGAACTATTCGAAACATTGGAAAATATATTGGAAAGCTCACAATTCAAACCAAAATATGATTCGTGACATGAACAATTATTCACGCCAAAACAATCTCCATGACCAGAACATACAACACTCTCATTAGCAGCAATATTGAAACATTTTGGAATTTCACATTCCAATCCAGTGTGTCCATCTTCACAACCACAAACATTGGCTTGGACACAAGAGCCTTTCGAAGAGCATACCTCAGAGTTATCTCCCCTCACTCCAAAACACAAAGGAATTGAACAGTTTCCTTCAGTATAGTTTGCATGACATACACAGCTATTTGGAGAAATGCAATTTCCATTTCCTGAACATGCATTTGGATTGGTTGAGTTTAAACCATAGCAAATTGGAATATCACATTGTATTCCAGTGTATCCAATAGGACATTCGTATAAAACTTGGAAGGAAAATGGAAATAAACCTCCCTTTCCTTCAGTTGACCAACAAGAATGAGTTTCTAATAGAGTGAGATTCATATTGAATGTATAGAAGGTATTTTGTGATCTTTCAGATAAAATTCTTGATATGTTACTGCTCTTAATTGTAAAATTCAAAGTGACAAATTCTTGTTGCATTATTTGAGTAAAGTCTCCAATTGAGTGAAATGGATTATCTATATTTGGAATAAGTGAGGCTCTAATTGTTGGATTGAATGCTGATTGTGAACTGTTGGTTTTCAAGGTGACTAAAATATTGTTAGTGAATTCGCCTCTTTCTTGATTAAGAGTAAAATAAGCAGATTCTAATAACATTGTTTCAATCCAAACGAAAGGCTCATTGACTTGAATTTGACATCTTGGAATGAAATAACCATAATCAATAGTGACACTTCTTGTGGTACTGAGTTCCTTTTGTAAATTGGTCCATAATGCCTGTCTGGTTACTGAAATTCTGATATTACAAGAAGAAACTATCGATAAAGTGTTACAATATTCGAAATCGCTGGTAATATCAAATCTAGATGTGAAATTCTGACCGCTACCAACATTACTAAACAGTTGCACAGTTGAATTAAATATCATTATCTGATTCGAACAAGTTAATTCGACACTAAACTCGCCAACAGCTTCTCCACTATTATACGAATCTGTTTGAATCGTAGCATTTCTTCCGTTAGAAGACAAGTCAGGAATTACCGTAAAATTCAACCAATCAACCTTTGGCTCCTTATATCTCAACAAAGATTGGTCAACTTCAATTGTGAAATCTTGCAAAAATTCATGATTTGAAAACTTCATCTCAATTGACCCAGAATTTACAACTTGCACACCACCTTCATAACTCAATCTCGTTCCATATTCTGGCAATTGTTCAATAGTATAATCAGTCGAAGAAAAAAAGTTTGACAATTGATTTCCCATTCGAGAACCAACTTTCTCATCACAAAAACCAAAATTCCAATCAAGTTCCTGACGAAAGTCTTCCTGGGTGATGAGAGGACCGGAGATTGAGTTGCCCAGATCGTCTATGTGGAGGAGAGCTAGGTCAGTTATGGAAGAGATTGGAGTTCGGTGATCTGGTTTTCCAATGATGACGTGTTCATTGAAGAAAGTTTCGTAATCTTGAAGGACATTATCTGATAAAGTAACCGAAACTAAATGATCAGAACTTTCTGTAGAGAGAGTATTATCAAAATTTGTTAGATTGGCAACCAAGTTTCCATCAGCAGAGCTCACATCAATTTGGGTATTCAACTTCCAATTTCTAGTGGAATAATCAAAAGTATACATTGGATGAATAGTCGAATAGGCAATATAATGAAAAGTAGAGCCACGATAAAAGTGTTGATTTTCATTCCTGACAGATCCCATTGGACATTCCATCGAAGTTGTTCCTAGAACTTTCTTGGACATGGTCAAAACTCCATCCTTAATAATGATGGTCATGAGTGGATTTCCAGAAGTCAACTCGTGGAATTCTGCTCGATAGTATGGATAGGTCATGAGAGTTGGGATGTCTGTTTCTAATGCGTAGTTATCTGAAAGATTTTGTGTCCATTCTGGAGAATTGTTGGGATCGGTGCTAACTTTGTAGGTAAAGGAATTCATGGAATATCCAACGAATAGATATTCTAATTCGGATGGATCTGCTGTTCTTGCTGTTTCGTCTGGATGATCAAGAGCATTGACTTGTTCGAAGGCAGCACTTAAATATCTCTGTAAAGTTATTGGAATGTTGAGTTGAGTATTGGAAAGTGAATGGAAATTTACAGTAATTTCATTCGATAATTCATAGGTATAACCTCCATCTTCAAATTCAGTGATTGGATAATTGAATATTTGTCCATTCCACTTTCCGTTCATTTTCAACTTGTTCGATTGCAAACTAATCGAATCAATTTGACTACTTTTCACATTATCAGCTTGTGAAACATAATTCAAAGGAAGAGAACTACCTGCCAGAGACATACAAAACATTCCCATCGAACTTTCATAACTATTCTGTGGACTAAACGAATCAAATGCTGCACTCCCAGTCGAGTATTCATGAATTGACAAGATTGAAAGTGGAACCAATCGAAGTGCACTACCAGTTTCCACCTCCAAATAGGACATCCCATCAAATAAGAATAATCCATAATGTTCATTAGCTGCAAGATTGGTAAACTGAACTGTGAATGAAGTGGAAGATATTATTGAGGCGGAGGTAATGTATTTGGCTTGTCCTTGTGGATTTGAGAGGAAAACGTAGGCTCTCAGAAGTATTGTTGCATCCACATTGGTGTTTTGAAGAGGTTTATATTGATTCGATACGATTAACCTTATTAGAAATTTAACATTTCACATAGGAAAGTTTGTTAACTTACCAAATATCGTTAGGTGCTGTAACGGTTATTGTGAGTGAATTGGAAGATAATCTCTGGCTAGGTGGAGAAACTACCACAGAGGAACAATAAGGAAGCAAAATTATTTCCTTATTAGTTAAAGTTGTGGTTATTGAAAGATGAGCAAGAAATATAAACAAGAGCAGTAGAAAGGAGGTAAATCTTGTAGAGTTGATGGAAACCTTATTGAAAGAGAACATTTTTTATGACTTTGGATTTATAACTGTTATTTTTGAGATTGGTTACCAATGTGGCGCCAATTTTACTTTTTAAGAAATTCCTTAATTTGTAAAATGAAAGTTTGAGAAGGAAGAACAGCACCCTTAATCATACAATGAGATGATGAAAACGGTTAATACTAAAGTAACTTAAATTTGCTCATCTCAAAAATTAAATTCACTATTTCGTTAAGTTTCGTATTTTCACAATTCTTCATACAAAGTTTCATCTCTTCATTATAACCACCTTTAACAAAAACCTTCATTGTAACAAAAACAAATTTCCTTAATCAATTCATAATTTTCTCTCAAATTTAAAAAAAATGGAAAGTCAACGATTTGGTAAACTCTACCTTCAAGCCTTATTTTGCGAATACAACACTGAAAAGCAAGATTTTCAAAAGCTGTTCGATTATTTTGATTGCTCCATCGAATCCATTGCAGAAATGTGGGAAAGTATTAGGGATGGTGAAAACTCAACAAGCCTCTTTGAAAATTTACTCTTGGTGATGAAGGGTTTTTTGATGGTGAATAGGAATCATCATGTCGGGAAGGAGAAGATTGAAGAGATTGTTAGGCTGATTCTGGAGAGGTTCTTGGATTTGAATTCCCTCCTCTCCAATTATTATCAATTCAATTTGAATTTGAAAATTAATTGTAATACTAGCCTTGCTGCTCGGGAGAGGAAGATCTTGTCCTTGTGCTTGGAAATATTATTCATCAATTGTTGTAATAGAGATGTGGAGAATATGCTTGAGGGATTGAATTTGATATTGTGTCATTGTTTTGCTAGGTTTAAATCAGTGATGAATAAGAGTTTGGCAATATTGATTGTTGTGAGGGAGATGGTTCAGATTCTCATTCAGGATGTGTTTACTTTGGGGAGAACATCATCAGAGGATGCTCTGGAGGTTCAAACTTTGAATAAGAATATCATCGATAGGAATATCAATAGGATTGTTAACTTTGAGTTTGAATTTAATCTGTCCGAATATGATGAGCTAATTGATGATGAAGAGGCAAACAACCAAAAGGAAAGAATTAGACTCATTGAATGTATCATTACAGTATTGGAAGAATCTAAAGAGGTTTCTCACAAATTGCAATGCATTCATGTCTTGACAATGATTGGCATGTTGAGCGAGAGTTATTCCTTCAAAATGATTCCACTCTTGGAAAAGACAGTCATGTACGAGGCTGATGAAAATTTGAGATTTGCATCTATTACTGCATTGTGGGAACTCATGACAATTCATCCATCTCTGCAGAATTACAACATGATGCTCTCCACAGATTTTGGAAACAACTTTGAAGACCTTGAGCCAGTCGCTGATGACATTAGCTTGCTTGATTTTGTTCTCTCCATCTCAACCCTCACTGAGCATACTAGGAGAAGTGCCATTCTTTCATCCATTAGAATGATGAGAAAGCAAAAGTGTTTGGATATCTCAATAGAGCACAAGCTTTACTCCTTTGTTGAAATGCAAAAGAAAAGAAATAATGATGAAATATCAGATTCATCCCTTGCTAAATATCTTGCAAACTTTACATTTGAATCGGAAGTAAAACAAGTCATTCTCACTCCAAAGAACAAGAAGAAATCAAATAACAAATTAATTAAATAATTTTCAAATTTTAATAAATTTACAAATTGAAGTTTTCACTTCAGCCTAGGGTTTGTGTTTTGTTGTTCATGTGATTAAATCGGAGGATCAATTTAAGTTCTTTCACCTCTAATTCTCTTGGCCAATTGCATATCCTTTTGCATGATAGTAACTCTCTTGGCGTGGATAGCACACAAGTTAGTATCTTCAAAGAGGGAAACAAGATAAGCTTCGGAAGCTTCTTGGAGAGCCAAGACAGCATTAGATTGGAAACGCAAGTCAGACTTGTAGTCTTGAGCAATTTCTCTGACCAATCTTTGGAATGGCAACTTTCTGATCAACAATTCAGTAGACTTTTGATACTTTCTGATTTCTCTCAAAGCAACGGTACCTGGCTTATATCTGTGTGGCTTCTTCAAACCACCAGTTGATGGTTGTTTGGCAGACTTTCTGGCAGCCTTTGAAGCCAATTGTTTTCTTGGAGCTTTACCACCGGTAGACTTTCTAGCAGTTTGCTTAGTTCTAGCCATTGTATTAGATGTTTTGAATTTTTTTTTGATTTGTTGTTTCACTTGAAGCGCAATTTTTGATGTTTTTATTTTAAAAACGCATAACGGTAACAGAGCGAGATTAAAATTTTTGTAAACTCAAAAGAAGCGTAACGGTAATAATTGGATCCACTTTCACACGCTTGCAACAGTTTCGAGCCACAATTCCATTCTGGCAAAGCAAACAATTCGAACCAAAACGAAAAAATTGGAGCACAATAAACAACTCTAGCTTTCCTTTCAACATGCAATATTTATTTCAACTTGGACTTTTTAATTCTATTCTTGATATCATCAAGCTTATTGACTACGGAGGAGGATGTCTTTTTCGATCCTGATGGAGAGGAAGATGCGAGCTTTCTCTTCTTTGGTTGTTCTCTAACTGGTGATTCGTCCTCATCTTCATCAATAATATCTTCCTCGTAGGAAACTTGTTTCATATTCATACCAAACATTCCGTCATCGTCTTCACTATTCTCCTCATCTTCGTCATCCTTGTTAACATACCTGTCCTTGGTCAGTAAGAGACAATTCAATCTTTGGAGTAAGTAGGAGGAGTGCAACATTTGTCTCGACTCTTGATCGTACACTCTCAAATATCTATCGGCAGAAACACAACAAACAACCTTCTTGTTTGGATGGAATTTAATGTCTCTGACACTTCCGGCAATTCTTCTATAGACATTAATCTTCTTATTCTTCTTCTCTTGGAAGTTGTACTTGAACATTTTACCAATGGCAGTACCTACAACCACTTCATGAACATTAACAGTGGATGGACACATGGCTGTGAAATTGTGTTCTTCAAAGTAATATTGATGGACTGGTCGTTCTTGAGCTCTTCTATCGAAATATCTAACTTGATGGTAGGCTGTTCTATTGCAAATCAAGTTACCAAAGGCATCTCCCATAGCTTCCATTCTTTCACTATCTGGATGAGAACTACCCAAATAACAAATACCATTATCCCATATTGGTTGTTTAAGATTCAAGTGATCGTGAGGAACATTCTTTGCTTTAAAGACACACTTTTGTGTTTCAACATCCCAAATCTTCATTAAATTATCCTTTCCTGCAATTGCAATTTCCAGTCTCTTGGAATCCAATCGTTGAGCTACCATTGTACTGACATCTCCTCCTGTTAATTTCAATTCTGTGACTTTTGGTTCGATGGTAATTTTGTGTGTTTGGGCATCTTCTGTAACTTTGTATCCGAGTGTTGGATTGAGTCTCTTCTTTGGTTTTTCATCATCTCCGTCATCATCTTCATCACTACCTAATTGTTGATTCACTAAACCATCATCTTCATTCTTTTCGAGATTGGCCAAGAAATCATCAGATGGTTGAACTAGATTATATTTCGAAATTGGGAAATTATAAATATGAAGCATTCCTTGATTATTACACACATAAACATTTCTTGTATCTTCCGATGTAGTTTCACAATACATGCCTTGAATGTTATTGAGTGATGAAACCATGGAGAATCTACGTTGTCCAGTACTAATCCAATAAAAATCAATTTGACTATCATCGTAGAGTGAAACAACTTCAGTATCATTGGTTTCTGAAGCCCATTGTATCTTTTTCAATCCTTTTCCTTTCTTTTGTTCTCCAATGGTTATTAAAACTTCTCCTTTCACCACATCAACAACCTTCATAAGGCCAGTGTCTGTTCCTGTTACTACTCTCATTCCGTTGTCTATTTACTACTACTATTAATTGTTGTTGTTGGTAGGTTATCAACGATGATGATGTTATTGTTCAATAAATTATTTGATGATAATAAAAACAATATATTTTCAAGCCTTGTGCTGATGATGTTTTTATTTTCAATATTTATTTGATATGAGGAGCTTCAAATATTTTTCGAAGGAAGCAAATTTCTCTGCCCAAGCTTATTGAGGCAAAGCCAAGAGGCTTGTTTAAATTTTATGGTTAATTTCACAATACATGTTCTGATCTGTCGTAGATGAGCTGTGTGAGCGTCTTCCAAATATCAAATTCTCAAAACAAAGAAAAAACAAACTTCCTCTTGATCGTTTTAACTCACTCTCTCTTGTTAATGATCATTGATGTTTAACAATGCCACTTGCTCCATTAAGGTCGAATGCATCATCGAGAAGGTCTTCTTTCAATTCGACGGAACCCATTCGATTGTACAATAACAATTCAAGGGTAGGTTATTAAGCATATTGGGAAATGTTTGGAGATAGAGTACTCTTCATATGTCCTTTCTTTCATCGAATTTTACTGTAATTTTCGAATTATAATTTATCAAACAAATGTCTACCACTATCACAAACACTCCTGCTGATGATGATGACAATAATGTTCCTGTTGATGGATCGAATAATAATGTTACTAATGATAACAACACTTCGGATGAAAAACAACAGCTCTCTGATCACAGTGCTCCTCTCATCATTGCAACAAACCCGAATAGGGCTGTCTCTGTTCTGAGTCAAGCAGATACTATTGAATCAATTGTTGACAAACGATCAAAAACTCCCGACTATACAGAACCCATTACTCTTGTGGATGAGAAACAAGTGAAGGAACAGGAGGAAAGAGAATGGGCCCACATGGAACCATCAGAAGCTGATCTTAAAAAGATTAGGAAAAAGTATAATGCTCATCTATTTTCGAGTTTTCAATTCAGAAATGGAAGAGATTATTGGAATTGTAGATATGAAGAAAGAATTGCAGAATTGTACTATGATTGGCATTTGACTTTTACCCAGCTCAAAGAATCTCTTTTACCACATTTAAAGAATTATAATATGAAAATAATGATACCAGGGTGTGGAAATTCGAGTATGTTTGTTTTCTTAATTTGATTTTAATCATCTTATTCATATAATTTAAAAATATTATTTAAATTTAACAAATATATATTTTAAATATTGAAATATCAATTATAAAGAATTGGGGAAACAGCTAGTATTGAGTGGATTTAAAAATATAATTTGTACAGACTATTCAGAGGTAATTATTAAGAGAATGAGAAAGGTACATGAAAAATATGGAACTTGCATCAAATGTAAGTAGTAATTTGTAATTCTAGTTTTGAAATTCAATTTTAAAATTCCACAGACCACTGCATGGATGCTTGTACTATGAGAGCTATCGATTCTGAATCATTTGACCTCATAATTGACAAGGCATTGAGTGATTCAATGTCATGCTCCATGCAAGACATCAGATTCAGTATTTGTGACAATGTATCGAGATTCTACTCACAGGCAGCAAGAATATTAAAACCTGGTGGTAAACTCCTGGTTTATTCTGCACGTGACAGATCAGACCTGATTCAACAGTCAGACACATCTGTTTGGAGCTCCATCGATTCACAACAAATCTTACGATTTCCTAATGAAAATATCAGAAAGAGGCTACCTCCAGAAATTGCAGAAAGTTATATCAATATGTTTATCCTAACAAAGAAGGATGACTTGTTTGATGAAAATTCGGAAAATTCTCTCGATGCCATGAGAAGAAACAAGAGTAGAAGAAATAGCATCCTTCCAAAATTAAATGAATATGAACAATCCATAGAGAAGGCTGAAAAATCAGTGACCATTAATTTTGTGTAAATATTTCCATCATCACCATCAAATAATTTAATTAAAATATTAAATCCATAAATTGTGCCATCAGAAAATATTACAATCATAATTCCAAAGTATAGTGTTTAAATTTAAAATCCTAATGACTATTTGTTTTTAATAGGACCGAAAATTACAGTCCAACATTATCATCATCAATTTAAATTATTTTTAAAGTGTGACGAATTGATTATTCTTTCCGTGAAGGAGCAATGGTGAAATGACAACTTCAAAGATCATTGCAAATTGTCATCCTACCACTGCAATGATGATAATAAAGAGCTAGACAACATGTTGTTGAGGTTCCTTCTGGAGAATATTTTTATAACATGTCTAAATTTGGTCTTTTTTTAACGCTAGCAAGAAGCCAGTTGTAAGAGTCAACTTATGCGCTTAAAGCCTACGCTTTTCTTTTTTGGGTCAAAGAAAGAAAAAAAATACAAAAAATGTTCGCTAGACTCTACAACCTTTTCAACAGATACGAAGAGGAAAGAAGAATCAAGGGTGAAGACGCCATCAGAAATACTGAAGATGATTATGCTTGTGCTGAATCATACGCCAAGCACGAAGCTTCTTTGAAGCCAGTCGACAAGGTTATTGCCGAACAACTCGCTGCCTTCAACGTTGATGGTAACGCTCTCACCACCATTGATAACACTGTTAGTTTTGCTAACGCTGCTGCTTTGGAAGCTACTCCATACTCTGTTCACAATGAACAAGCTATCCAAGATAAAATTCACAAGATCATTGATGTTCTTCAAGAAAAGACTGATATTGACTTCTCCAACCCACGTGATGCTTTGAACAAATTGAGAGCTGATTTATGGGATCCATCTAAGACTGTTGAAAATAGTTATTGGGGTGTTGTTAGCAAGGAACTTAATATTAACCCAAGAGGTGTTGTTTTGGCTATTCCACCAGAACTCTTCAACAATACTATTGGTAGAGGTGACTCTGTCATTGGTGGTTGGCAAGACGCTGCTGCCTATGATCCAAAGGTCCGTGATTTGTGGTTGAAGCAAGGTTTGACCATTCAATTCGAAAAGCCTTTGGCTGCTAAATTGCAAGGCAACCAAGCTGTTTTGTTCGGTGAAGAAGCCGCCAAGAAGCTCATTGAACAAAAGAGAAAGGGTACTGCTTATCACTATGGTTTCTTGAAGAATAAGATGGGTTCAAAGGTCTTCGTCGGATTGATGGTTGGTTTCACTCTCTGGGGTTTGACTTTGCGTTTCCAAGTTCAAAACTGGAGAGATTGGATGTATCAAAGAAGCAAGTTCATTGAAAGATTGTACGAATTGGAAGAAATTGGTGTTTCCACCCCACAATCTGAAAAATTGGAAGCTGCTCACCGTGAATGGTTGACTCACTACTATGAAGAAGAATCTGACGAATAAGCCTTCGGCCAGATAAAATCACTAATTTTTAGGTAAACTGTAAATCATAAAAACCATAGGGTTGTTTTGTTTAATGAAAATCAAAATGTAAACTTATTTCATCTTATTGATGGTTATCTTTACACAACAATAAAAATTAAAAATTAAAAATTAATTAAATTTATTTTCCTTATTTTCATCATCCATCTTGAGCTTTTTAAAGTCAGAATTTGGAGTTTTAGGATAGTACGGATGGTCTACGAGGTTTGGATTTTCCTTTCTCTTTCTTTCCTCGATAAGTTGTTGGGATTTAGCCTTTCCATATTCTATTTTAGATCGTAGCTCTTTAATTTCCTTGGTGAGACGTTCATTATCCACTGTAACCTTATTGATTTGTTCCAATTGAGAGGTGGTTCCAACAATGATTGCATTCTTTTCTTGCTCAAGTTCTCGTATTCTGGCAATGGCTTCATCCATTTCCTCTTTAAATGTTCGTTCTTTCATTTCTACTTCTTGTTCCAGTTTTGAAATGTGAGCATTCTTTTCGTTAACTATTTCTTCTAAGTTATTTGTATTTTGATTGGAAACAGCTGACTTGTACATTTCACAATCAAATTGTAACTTTTCAATATCCTTATCTTTCTCTTCCAAAGTTTCAGTCAATGATTGCACAGTATCTTTGAGGTGATCAATTTCTAGTTGATCAATTTGTTGCTCTTTGAGAAGTGTCAATTCCTCATCGACACGTTCCAAAGTACGTTTGTATTCCTCAATTTGCTCTTGGTGATTTGAAATGATAGAGTCTTTTTCTTCGACTTGTTCTTTAAGGGATTCTATCATATGGGAGAGTGTTTCATATTCTTTGGATAATAGTGAATTTTGATTTCTGGAATGATCCAAATTGAGTTCTAATTCATCCTTTGTTGAAATCAACTCATTGATATTATCTTGAAGGGATTGAATGGTTGTTTGGAATTCTAAAGCTTCACTTTCACTGATAGAAGATTGAACTTGTTGTAAGGCATGGCTATGAACAGAGATGAGAGATTCCTTCTCTCTTTCATGTTCTGATTTCAAATCTTCTACAATAGAGTCCAGCTTCTCTTGGTAGTCTACTTCGAGTTGTTGAGTTAACATTCGATTGTGCTCCTGTATTTCAAGCTCATGTTGATAAACCAATTCTTGCATACTGGTCTTGTGTTGGAGAGTGAGATTTTCAATTTCCTTGGTATGATCTTCCTTGACTTTGGAGAGATTATTGCAGTGCTCTTCAGAAAGTCTTTTAACTTCTTGTTGGAGACTATTTCTTTCGAGTGTTAATTGACTCGAGAGTTGTTTTTCATTGTTTGACACTGTTTCAATCCATTCTAAATCTTTTTCCTTATCTAGGAGAGCTTTTCTGAGAGAGGAGATGGTGTCGTCCAATTGATTCTTTTCTTCCAATTGTTTTTGAAGGAGGGCAATCTTTTCTTCATAAGATTTTACAATTTCATCTCGTTCCCTCTCTGATCTATGTAACTCATCCTCAATACCATTAACTCGTTCTTGGAATTTGTTTTTCCAATCGAGATTTTCCTGTTTCAGCTTCTTGAGGAGGGCCTTTTCATTGATAATTTGATTGATTGTAACTTGATTATTGATGCTCTTTGCTCTGTTGGCAAATTTGAGAGTGGAGTGAGTTTCTTCAAAGTGTTGTGAGGCAGGTGTTATTGTACAAATGATGGCAGTCTTTGAGTTTCCTCCAAGAGAGTTAGAGAGAATTCTTGTGAGTTTTGAATCTCTGTATGGAATGTGGCTCGAATTTCCTTCACTGAGTTTGGCAATAACATTACCGAGAGTGAGTAAACTCTTATTAATATGGCCACCCTCTCTCAATCTATCTCCTTGTGCCTGTGTGTAGAGAACTCGTTCAGAACCAGCCAAATCCACAAGATTCAATGTTGAGAAGAGAACTTCTGAATTTGTTGTATAGATATCAAAATCCTCTTCCTCGACCATTTGTTTTGCTATACTACCATCAATTGACTCAATCATAATCCTAAATATGGTGTGGGATCGACTGCTCTGATCATTCATGGCTGTATTTCCAAAATGTCTATAATGCTCACCCTTTTCCATGAGTTTTAGCATGTCTTCCATACATGCTACTTCTTCCTCTTTAGCTCCAGAAACATAGACTCCCTTTCCATTGACAAAATCTTCTCTGATTTTTAAATTTTGATTTTCTGGATCCAATAAATCCTTAATGACTTCATTGTAAATTTCCAAATACGAAACTCTAATTTGAAATCTACGACTCTGTGTTTGACTGATAGTAGTAAATACATCCTTGATTGAGAGTGGAATAATACCATGTATTTCTCTTGTTCCCTTCATACTGAATTTAACAATCACAAAATATTCACAAACATTCAAATTTTTGAACAATTTAGTAGCATTATTAATCTATCAGAAACTTATTATGAATCGAAAGTACTTACGTAAATGTTTTACCAGATGAAGTCTGTCCATAGGCAAATATTGTTCCATTATATCCTCTCACAGAAGAGGTCACAATATGCTTACACATATCATTATAGATACAATCTGTAGTACTATTCTGATCATAGACATGATCGAACGTATAACTAACATCACTACTCGATGGAACCATCGGAATCATCATATTTGAATTAATCCCTAAATTACCACCACTACTACTACCAATATTATTATTATTGTTCGATGAATTACCATTGCTATTATTATTATTATTGCTATTTACTTGTGATGAAACACTATAGATGGTTGTATTATTGGTGGTTCGCCAGACGGATTGTGAGTTTTTCAGTCTTTCCTTTTCGTTGAGTGGACGTACTCTGACACAGACTTTGATGGAATCCGAGCTGGAGGAGGAGAAGAATGATGATGAAGAGGAGCTGGAGGAAGAAGGTAAAGGTGAGGGAATGGCTGATGAAGAGGAAAGCGTTGAAGAATTTGGTGAGTGCATTTTTTTTTCTAATTTTTTGTCACGGATAGTTTTGGCGCCAAAGTGTTAAAAAACTAGGTTATTTGTTTCAAGTAACGATTATGAGAGGAAAGGTCAATGAATTGGAGTAGATATGATGAAGAAGTGAGAATGAAATAAATTATCGTTGTTCATGTTCTGGTTTATGAAGAATGATCTTGTTCATACCCATGACTGGTAAATAATCGAGTTGGAGAAGGGATGGTTCTTTTTCTAAAAGGTAAGAAATGAATGAGGCATAATTGACAACTTTTTCACCACTTGAAAGCTTTCTATCAGGGAAGAGAGAAGGGAATACACAGCATGGAACGATGGCAAATGATTTCTGATATTTAAGTGAAACATCTAGGATTGGTTCTGTTGCTTGGTCTGGGTGAAGCCCAATGATACAGGAGCAGTTCTGAACTAGTGTTTTGAAATCTTCTTTCCACTCTTCTTCTTGACTTGTAAAATATTCATTCATGTATTTCACTTCTAATTGGAGGGAATTCAATTTTGATAATTGTTTCTCAGAGAGGGAGGCTTGTCTGGGATCAACCACTGTTGATTGAATTCCAAAATCAGCTAGTAAATAGTATGAAACTTCTCCTTTTCCACCTGAAATAATTAAGAACAGAAGAACGAACAGTTTTGATGAAAAAACATACCAGCAACATCCAAAACTCCACATCCCTTCTTTAAATTATCCAAACCAAATTTATCGACAAGATATTTGGCAAATATTTGAGCCCTTCTTGTTCTATCCATTTTCTGAACTGGGTTGAATGGGGTAGAGTCCACAAGGTCTGCATTTGCAAATGGTGATTCTTTAAGGTCTGCAAGTGGATTTTGTTTCTTCTCCTTCTTATGAATTACATACTTGAGAGGATTAATATTCACTCCACAATATGGGTCATTTTCATCTCTGTAATTTTGTTCTCGTTCCTGCTCATTAATAAAGAAATGTCTCTTATCGCAATTCTTGTCAGTACATTCGGTTCCCAATTTAAAACTTTTACAGAGCTTCTTTTTGGATTGCTGATGATTTTCAGAGATGGCCTCCTCTTCCGTAAATGAATCTCTCAAATTATTTAATAATGACATTGTGAATGAATCATTGGTCCAATTATTGAAATTTTCCAAGTGTGAGAATGATTGCAAAATTGGAGGAGATTTATCATTTAACAAATCCTTAGTGAGAGTTCCTTCAATCCAATCTCCAACACGAATATTCTTCACCCAATCCTCTTGTCCTTTTATCATTAATTGTCTCGTCACTCTTGTCACGGAACCCACCAAATTCGAATAATAATTCAAACATTGCTGATTTTCTTGCAAAAGAGTAACATTTGTAGAGTTTTGAATAATACTCTCATCATCACATTGACCAAGAGTGAGCACCTTTAGAAAGGCTAATTTTTTACCCATCTTTCTCACGAACAAAACCAATCCCGAAAAGGCTTGATTTTCCTCCACCATTTGATTGTTTATCATTTTTTTATTTAAATTTAATAAATAGTTCCTCACATAATAGCAATTAATAATAATTAACAATAATAACAACTCTAAGTTTGTATTTATTAAAAAGAGAATTCTATTATCCAATAAAATTCAATATTCCGAAGAGGATGATGAACACGTGTTTGATAAATGAAAAATCAACAAGAAAAAAAATGCAAAACAAACAATTACTTGTACTTTTTGGCTTGTTATTGATAGTCGCCAGTTTGTGTCTCGTTATCGATCGGGTGAAAGCATCCAACGATGATGATGATATCACACTTCAAGAAGAAACACCGGAACCAAAAAATATTAAAGTTACATGTGGAAGTATTATTAAATTACGACACAAAGGAATGGCTTGTAGATTACATAGTCATGCCGTAAAATATGGTAGTGGAAGTGGACAACAATCAATTACTTGCTATCCAGGAGAAGGTGATGAAAATAGTTATTGGGTAATTAAATCGGCATACAATCCATCAGGAAAGAGTGATCTTAAGGAATGTCCACAAGGTACAGTCCTTAAACAAGGTACTGTTATCAGATTGGAACATGCTCAAACATCAGCTAGATTACACTCTCATCTTCACATTTCACCTCTCTCCAGACAACAAGAAGTCAGTTGTTATGAAGGACAAGATACTGGTGATAACTGGATTGTTGAATTGGTTAGTGGAAATAGTTCTTCTGAATTGGAAAAGGGCGAAGGAATTAGATTTAAACACGTCGATACTGGAAAGTATCTCCACTCCCATAACATGCAATATGGTCATCCAATTCCTGGTCAATTTGAAGTTACAAGTGTTGCCTCATCAAACTCTAACACTGTTTGGGTTCCAGAAGAAGGTGTCTACTATCCAACACTTAAAGAATTGGAACATTAAAATGTAAAAGCAATAAAAACAAGTAATATTAATGAACCAGTTGCTTATTATTAATGAACTGTAATGAACATGGCAAACAACACCTTCAAGAATTCCAATAATATTTTAAATATTTAAAATTTGTTTGTTTTTTGATCAATTACAAAAAAATGCTTTCAAAGAGAACAAGAAGAGAAGACTCGTGCGATCATTCCGAATCAGATGATCGTTATTTGCCACCAGTTGGTAAACAACGAAAAATTATTTCTGAAACAAATAGACTATTGCATGAAATAGACTCGGATGTTTTTAGTGAACACATATTAAAATATTTGGATAATTTGGAAGTGATTAGATTTTCATTGGTATCGACTAGGTGCCGAGAAATTTTCAGAAATTATCAGGCACGTGTACGTGAATTTCTATTCGTGATGGAAAGATTTACTGAAGGAGAAACCAGAGTGATTTTTAGAGAATGCAAGACAATTATTTGTGTAAATTGTGGATTTAAATTTTCAAACATGTTAAATTATGAATCTAATGTTGTAAATATGTCAATATATGGAGAAATTGAAGGAGCCAAAGAAGAGTTGATTACATTTTTGACCCTTTGTAAATTTAATAATTTGAGAACTTTAGTGTTACAAGCACTGGCATTAAATTATGAAGATTTTAGACATATTTTGGATAGCAATTTCATTGATCTTTTAAAAAAGAATTTGAGATTGTTGGATGTTATGAATAACCGTACTGGTTATATTGGCTATTTATTCGATTCCTTTCATCCAGACTTTAAGATTGTTGTTGGAAGCTTTAGTTTTTGGGAATCGGATAAGAACAAGTACTATTATTGTTTTAATAGACTTCATTTACATTCATATTTTGACGTTGCAACATTCTTTTACTCAAACAAAGATTTCCAAGATTACAAAAAGGCCTTTCACTTCTTTACACTTGCAAGTGAAAATGAGCCAAAGGCTTATGAGTTTATTGGATACATGTATTACAAGGGAAGATACGTTGCAAAGGATTACAAAACAGCCTTTGAGAATTATTTAAAGGGAGCTGAAGATGTTCCTAATTGCACTCTTAATGTTGCTATGGCATTTGAAAATGGTCATGGAGTAGAGAAAGACTGGGTACAGGCCTACGACTATTATAGAAAGGCAGCAAATCAAAATAATGTTAGGGCAATCAAGAAAATGGCTAGAGGTTATCAAGAAGGAGTTCCTCTTGTTTTACCACAGGATTTCAAAACAGCTATTTATTATTACAGAATCTTAGAGAGATTTGAAAAAGAAGAAGCTCATTTTCAAATTGGACACATCTATGAGGTATGCCTAAATAACTTCAAAAGTGCTGCATCATATTTTGAGAAACATTTAAACAATTCTAACTTTCTCTATCGATACACAAGAGTTTCGAAACGGGCTAAAGATCAAAATGGATTTGAGAAGGGCATGGAAATTTATAGAAAAGAATTTGAGATACTGAGAGATTCAGGTAACAAAACTGATCTAGTTAAGAAGGAGGATGGACACAATCAAATCAATTTTACTGACCCCATGCTAGATACTTTATACTTTATTGGAATATTGGATGCAAATAATGGACTATTGCAATTATTATTTGACAATATTTCTGAAAAGACAACAGATATAATTACCAAGTTGGGAGATTTTTATAGGAGTGATCAATTTTTTGCTAATGGAGAGGATGCAAAACGGTTTTATGAGGCAGGTGTTTCAAGAGGTAACAAGAACGCAATCTTTGGACTTGCATTCATGTGCATAAGTGGAGTGAAAGGCAAATTCAAAGATCTGGAGGCTGCCATCAAGTTTACCTCTCTATTCCTACAGACAAACGAACAATCTTACTTATTCAAATTGGGTTTAGAGTACTTTTATGAGAAACATTACACACAAGCTATGGAATGTCTCACTAAAACCAAAGATACATATCCAGAAGCTCAATATTATATCTCTTATATTGAGGGATATTATTTCGAGAAGGGAAAAGGTGGATACAAACAAAATGTGTACAGAGCTATCGATTATTACAAAGCATCTTGCACTCCAAACTTTTTGATACCTTTCGGATATTATAAATGTGGAAAGTTGGCATGTAAACAGAAATATCATGATTTGGCCTTTACAGTTTTGAAACCTCTCGTTGCACAATGTCAAGCCAATCCTAGTTCTCCCTTGTACATCTATATTATGGCTTGTCTTTATCAGGGTGGTTACTATCTCGATACAAATCAAATGGAGGCAATCAAATTATTCGAAACCTCAGCCAAAATGGGATACGAAAGAGCTGGAAAAACCTACAAACGAGTTCTCGAAAAACTCAACAACTCCATCACCTCTAACTATTTTTAAATAATTTAATTGAAATAACAATAATTGTTACGCAATCCTTAATATTTTCATCAAACAAATTTAAATTTTCTAATTTCACAATGTGAAATACAAATCCAAAAAAATTGAAAAATCTTCACACATCATGTTAATGACAACAAGACGACGATCAAGTGGTAAGTAAACACCTTTTCGTTAATAATTATTAAACTTTTAATATATTAAAATCTTGTAAATATTTAAATTAAATCAAGATGAAGTATTTTCCGATGATGTTTGCTATGAAATTTTCAATTATCTTGAATCGTGTGATGTATTGAAATATTTATTGGTTTCAAAACAATTCTTCCGAATTATTAAAAATCGACTGAAACTTTCACTAAGTTTAAACAAGAGAATGTTTAGTCTGATGGATTCAAATTGTCAATTTTTGAATCAAATCGAGGTGTTACAAGTACATGGATGTGGATCAACAGTTTCGAATCTTGTTTCCATCATGGAAAATCTAACATCACTGAGTATTAGCCGAAATCAAATAGGAAATGAAGGAGCTGCACTTTTAAGTCAATTGACAAAGCTGAAAAAGCTTGATGTTGGAACAAGTCATATTGGCAATCAAGGTGCCAAGTCAATCAGTCAAATGAGTCAATTGACCTATCTTGACATTTGTAAAAATCCATTGGGTATCGAAGGTGTTGAATCAATAAGCACAAATTTGAAAAATTTAACATTCCTTAACATGAGCTATAATAATATCAATACAGCTGGAGCCAAATTAATTAGTCAATTGGAGAATTTAACAGAACTCAATGTTGGATGCAATGAAATACATAATGATGGAATCGATTCTATATGTAAACTCAAATTATTGACCTCTTTGGACATTCAATCAAACACATTCCATGCCAGCTCTGTGAAATGCTTAGGTGAGCTGCAAAATTTAAGATTGTTAAATATTGGATACAATCATGTAACTCCAGATTTGGCAAAATGTATTGGAGAATTGAAAGAATTGACCTATCTCAATATTCGATTCAATTATGTTGGAGATGAGGGGATGAAAGAGATAAGTAAATTGAAGAAATTAACATTCCTAGATGTGGCCCAAAATGGATTGAGCTCAGAAGGTGCACTTTCTGTCAGTAAATTGAAATCATTGTCAAGTTTGTGTATTACAAATAATGACATTGACATTATTGGAGAAAATTATATTAAAGGAATGAAAAACCAATTGAAAGTTTGTGGAATGGGTGGAATATCACTTGATAGAATTTAAAATTCATATTACCCAACCTTTACAATAATATATTTAAAAATATTAAAAATTAAACAAAATTTAAAATATTAAATATTAAAAAAAAATGAACAATGACAATGTGGGAAACACCTTTCAACAAAATCAAACCAATTTTCGGAGGAAATTCATAGTCATCTTTATAGTTATCCAATTATTCTTCTACTTTTACTTTCAAATCCAAAAATCTGCTCTTCATACATCATCATCAACTTCCTCACCTCTGAATGGCCAATTAGGTGCTGGAGGTTCTGATCACGATTCAGCAACACTCGGAGGAGGAGGAGGTGGTGGTGGTGGTGGTGAAAATATTTTCGACGATGTTCACTCTCATCAATACAAAAGGGATCAGGAATATAATTATAATTACAATCAGAATAGAATTCGTCTGAATATCATGCTGCAGGAGGATTCGCCGTACAATTTTATATTGGCAGAGATTGCTGCGTTGGTGTATTTTGATTTTGTTTTTCATTCATCGTTGGTGCAGGAGAGAAATTACTTTAACATGTTGGCTTGGGATACGAAATTTGCATCATTTGGTGATCGATTTAAGAAGAATGAAAAGATTTATTTCAGATTTTTATTTCCTAAGGAGGAAAATATGATTTTGAGAGTTTCATCAAACTCAAAGAAAGTTGGTGGAAAATTGGATTCGGAGGAGTATAATCGATGGGATAGTAGATTGTCACTCAGTCAGCAGGAATCATTTCTCAAACATTTTATTCAAATGACGTTTGGAAGTAAGGGATTTTCATTGGCCTACTCTGAGGATTACAAGTTAGGACATTTGGAAGAGGAAAATGTACATTTTAAACATTTACAAAAATCCTATATGCAGTCAATATTCAACAATGATCGATATACCAGATTTTTGAAGAGTTTTAGACTTTCAGATAAGATTCAACAAGAATCTAATCATGATAAACAAAGAGAGGAATCAATATTTATCAATCATAGACCAAAGGACAAATTTTCAGACTATTCTACGATTCACATTACTGATTTACTCAATATGGATTATGGAACTACAATGGAGGTAGAATCAATTGAACTTATTCAACAACATTTTGAAAATCTACTCGAAACAAGTACAAAGAAACAAAAACGATTGAAATATGCCATGAAAAGCAGAGCACTCAATTATGTTCTCTTTTACCTGAATCAACAAAATTTATTACCAATTTTGAATCAAACCAAGTTTGAAATTGATGAAGAAACTAGTCATTTGAAGGGTAAACATCTGGGCTCCATTTACTTGGTGCTTGCATCAAGTCCAGATTGGATTCGTTCATGGTTTACCTATAAAGTAAGATCTGCTGATACCAATGCACTCAGACATTCCTCCAAGAAGAAAGTTCTATTGGATAAGCTCATGGCCTCTATCAAGCAAAAGGGACACAGCAAACACTCACAAATTCACTATGTAATCAGATTTTGGATTCAGGGACATTGTGATACCTATTGTCGATTGAATGTCATCAAGACGTATCACTATTTCAAAGAGCTCCAAAGCAATTTCCCAAATATTTTCAATTTTTCTGTGCTGTTCAATGTGGATGAATCAGTTCAGGCCTCTCTCTACATTTCCATTGAGAAGGAGGAACAAGTGAGTCCAATTATCAATCACTTGAATTGTAAGAAGAGTTGTGTGAAGGAAATTGTTCTCCATCACGAAAAGGCAATGAAGAAATTGAAAAAGATTGAGGTATCTGCATCCTCTTCCTCTCCAACGATACCCAAAATTAACACTATTTCACAAAGATAATCAAACTTGCACAATGTTCAAAATTGAGCAATTACTTTCAAAGGAAGAATGCATCTGCAAACACCCTAGTTGCAACAATGTGGAATCTTTACAAAGGTTGGCCTGTCATACTTGTCACCAAATACTCAGTGAACAATTCGACAAATAAAGCCACAAGCACAAACTCGCTAGCCAATCAGCACACATTGAAAAAAATGGCAACACAAGAAACTGAGAATCCCATCAGCAACAACAGGAATGCTACAAATGATAAATTCAAAAATTCAGTGTGTTATGTGTGGCTATCGCAAAAGACAACTTTTTGGGCCATGTTAATTTTCGTCATGTTGTGTGCATTCGGATTGGTTTCTGTAATTTTAGGAGGAATTGTTGATGGCATGGTTGATAATGAAGAATTGTCAACGACAGTGCCGTGCATTGTGATGGAACATAAAGTGAATTGTACCAATGAGTGTGTAAATAATAATTTGGATATTGTACCAGCGAATTATTCATTGGCTGGTTGTAGAACATTCTGTCGATCGAAGGTGAAACTTACCCTGGAGAATACAAGTTTTAATAGTACAGTGACAAATTTACGTCAAATTAGGAGGACTGAACCGTATGCATCATCATCATTGTTTTTTACTACATTGACTGTTAATTCTACTACAAAGTGTTATATTAATGCATATTCGATTGGAGACGAAACTGCTAAAACTTCATTTGCCTATGTTTATGGACCAAGATTGGTAATGAAAACAGTGTCGATAGTGTTTGGATGTGTTGCAGTTGGATGCTTGATTTATATGGCAATTTATGTTACGTTTGAAACTCAAAATTGTTGGAAATATTACAAGGAAAGAAAAAAACAACAAGCTGAAGGAATTTAATTGATAATTATATGAGAATATTGAATTTATTCTTGGTGAGAATTATTGAACTATTTACTATGAATAAATTAATGCTAGGATTTATGTACATTACAATAATAATTATTGAAAGAGAGTAGTGAGATTGGCCACAAATCTATTATTTCCAAACTTGGCCATACAGAGTAAGTATCCATCTGGTTGTGTTTTGTGTTGATGAATTGATATCAATCTACCATTTTGTTTATCATGGATGAGTGAAACAACTCGTGTTGATTTGAGGGATGGATAAGGATGGAATTTATGTCTTATCAAATCAGAAGAGCATGAGGAATCCAATAATTTGAGAGTGCCATCTTGTTGACCACAAATGAATTTGGAGGAATTGAGGGATATGATAGAGGAGGAATTTTCTGGTAATTTTACATGGTTAGGTTGAATGCTTATTTGATGGTTTTGAACTTTGAGAGGGGTGAGGGAGATTACATTCTGATTGCTTGGGTCGAATTCAGTGAGAATGAAAGAATTTGGCTCGAGAGATGATTCTAATCTTTTTGAAGAAATTTCTTCTAAATTTAAAGTGCTGGAAATGGAGGAGTTTCCTGTTGAAAGATCCAATAACACCAAGCTGATTGATTTGTTATTAAGGGAAAGGTACTCAATCATGCTATCAGAGATACTAACATGCTTGGAAACTTCATTCTCCAATAAAAATGTCTTTCCAATAAATTCTCCACCGCTCAAATTGCCTAATTGTACAATACTCTTGCTTGAGGCAATGAATAGCATGTTATTATTTGGAGCAATAATTCTCGAATTTGGATCAACAAGAGAGCAATCCCATTTGAATTGTTTCTCCAAACACAAAATGGAATTATTAGCAACCTTCAAACGTTCCTCGTCTAAAACTTTGAATAATCCAACATTTCCATCACTCATCAAGACAATAAGGTGTTTCTTATCAAATCTAGTCCAAATATCTACAATTCTAATTTCTTCATCAATTTTAGAATCATTCACTTTGAAATTTCCATCTGAATCAACTGAAAGTGATACATGATCCAGTGAGAAATTTTCACATGCCATAATATCTGTATTTACAACTGTAATTCTTCTTTCATCAGAACAAATGAGTCTGTTGTGATTGAAGAATGTAACCTTGAAATTTGGATTGATGTTTTCTGACCTCAAAACAACATCCTGATGAGAATTACTAAACAAGGTATATCTTGGACCAACATTGTCTTCATTGTGAGTTCTTTCTCTTTCTGGAGGTTCAGTATTTTCAGCAAAATTATTACCAACCACACCAACTCTATCCACATAGAAAGAAAATGAATTCTCTGCATAATATGATGGTGGGTAAACGGTAGAATAAGGTGTCATCAATTGGTGAGTTCCTCTTCCTCCATAGTGAACTGGAGTGTCACATCTTAGAATGGTCACATTATTATCTTTGCAAACTTTTTCAAAATTTCTGCCAAGAGCTTCAAGAGAGATTTTCACTTGAAATCTTCTCGATTTCTCCTCATTTTCAGTCATTAGAGTAGATTTCTTTGAAAGTGTGTTATCATGCAAACCAACTCCTCCAATATAAGTTGGATTTAAAATAAGGAATGGTTTGTAAGCCAAAACTTCATCCAAAATTACTTGATTCTCAATATCAAAACAAATCAATACTGCAATCCTTCCATAGATGGTATCAAAAATTCCAATCCTATCACCAGGAGTACTACTCTCAGCACTGGTTGGTACTCTCTTTCGGTAACAGCCCAACACTTCACCATCTGGATTGATTACTATCATTGAGTTGTAGTACTTGTTGATTGGCTTTAATTTTTCATCAACTGCCCACACCTTCACTCCAATAAATCCATAACATTTGTGATTCTTCATTACTTGACACATTCCCTCCAATTCCTTATTCATTACAATATTTCTATCAGGTGTTGACATGAGTGGACTTGCATGCCAACCTTCAGGGGTCAATACAATATCAGGAGTTCTACCACTTTCCAGAATTGAATTTTGAATTGATTCTTCCAAAACCTTAGCACTATGATTTGGTCTTGAAAATGTAGCCACCAACAAAATCTTCAAATCACTATACAATGGATTAACTCCCGATAACGAACACAAATCCTTAACCACCATTGATTCATCCACCACAAATTGCTGATGCTGCTGAACAATTTCCTCATCAATTTGCTGCTTGATTTCTTCTTCTGGTTTTTTCTTTTCTATAATTTTCTTCTTTGGTTGCTTCGGAATTGAAATCAAAGAAGAAGGGGGAGGTGGTGGAAGTCGATTAGTTGATGGTGATGAACCACTCAGTGGTGGTGGCGGAGGTGGAATCATTTTTTTTGAGTTGTTTTTTGTGTTGGAACAGTATTGTGATTTTCGCGCCTTATTTATTCAAAGTTAGAGTTCCTTGTTCAAAAGTTCATTCGGATCAAAGATGATTTTGTAATACTTCTTGATAGATTAAGGTTGGTTTGGAAAGCTTTTTCAACTAAACAAGACTAAACTGGAGAAAAATCGCTTGAGACAATCAGCATATAATCAACACGTTGTCTGTTAGAGAATGAATAATGATATCAAAGCTACATTCTTTTCCATTTCACAATGAAGAATATTCAATCCTTGGATTTAAAAACTGTTGGACTACAAGAAGGAACGATTCGGGTGATACAACGATCAAAATCACCATTAATATCAATCAGAATCGATATGATCCATTTCTCTATCTTGACTAATTTAATCTGATTTGTTTCTTTCAATACAAATAAATATTCTTCTCATCATGATGAAAATCAAGTAACAGAAGGGTGACCACACTATTATCTGGCTTTTTTGTAAGAAATTTGACCTTGTAATCAAGTTTATTACTACATGTTTAACATTACTAAAAACCTACCAGAAAAGTAAAGTTCAGATTCGCATGTGAATACAGATCTTGACACAATTCACATAATCAAATTAATACAAGAGATATTTCTTATCGCCAATACCCAATAAAAAATATTAAGCTACACACATGTGTGCTATTAGATTGTAAAATTTAGTTCACAACTCTAATCCAATACAACAACAAATATGAAGAATCATCTTGTTCATAGAAACAAACTCCTGCAAAAAGGAGTTTTAGTGCTCATTGTAATGACCAGGTCTCGATTGGGGAAATAAAAGACAAAAAATCAACATGCTGTCTTAGAGCGGGAAACAATTCGCGGATTCGCTTTTCATTTTTAAAAAAATCGCTCAACGAATAAGCACACGTTTAAAAAATGTCAAATCTTTCCACGAGGTTGATTCTTGTCTTGTTGTTCACTACAAGTCTCATTATTAATATTCACGCTGATGCCGTCAAGAAGTATACTATTCAACCAGGTTCATTAACTGTGTCGGGTATTAGTGCTGGTGGTTTTATGGCTGTTCAAACACAAATTGCCTTCAGTAAGTCTGTAAAGGGAAGTGGTATTGTTGCCGGAGGTCCATATTATGTAAGTTTAACAATCAATTAGATAGTAATCTAATCATCATCTTGTTGCTATTCTTCTACTGTGGATTGTTTTTTTGCTATTGGTATTATTAAATTTTCAAATATCCTGTTGTGATGATGTGCTAAAATATTTCGCGAATTTTAATCCTTGCTGATGATTCTGTTTGGAAAATTCGGAAAATATTCCTGTACTGACAAACTATTTGTTGGAAATTTCTCTATTTTGAAAATATCTGTGTTATCCAACAATCTCTTGTTTTGTCCATGTGTGGTAACCATGATAGTGTGCTCAAGGTCAAATGATGAATGCCTTGATGGGTTGTATGAAGTCACCAAGCTCAATTTCATTGAGTTCAATCAGTGGTCAAGTTGCTGCCTATGCTAAGGATGGTTCAATTGACCCAATTGACAATGTTAAGAATCACAAGATTTACCTCTTCTCTGGTACTCAAGACTCAGTTGTTGCTCCTGGTGTTATGGCCAAGCTTGCTGAACAATATACCTCAACTTTTGGTGTTGATAAGGCCAACATCAAGACTGATTTTAACACTCCTGCTCAACACTCAATGGTCACCAATGACTATGGTAACTCATGTTCATATTTGGGATCTCCATACATTAACAATTGTAATGTTGATAGTGCTGGTGCTTTCTTCAAGCAAGTTTACCCAGATTTCAAGGAAGGTGGTAGTGCTGTCTCTTCTAACTTGTTCACTTATAAGCAATCTGGTAAATACAGTGCCAGCAGTTTCTCTGATACTGGTTATATTTACATTCCAACTGCTTGTCAACAAGGTGCTGAATGTAAGGTTTCTGTTGCTTTCCACGGTTGTAATCAAGGTGCTTCTGTTATTGGTACTGCCTATGTTTCCAATGCTGGTTACAATAAGCATGCTGAAATCAACAATATCATTGTTGTCTATCCACAAGTTGGTGTTTCTTACTTTAACCCAATGAATGCTCAAGGATGTTTCGATTGGTTCGGGTAAGTATTTCAAAGTTTTTTTTCAAATATTCTAACATTGTTTTTCACAGTTACTCAAATGCTAAATATGCTACAAAGAAGGGTGATCAAATGGTTGCTATTGCTAATCTCTTGAATGATCTTGGTTACTCCCTTTAATTGGTGGACAATTTCCATATTTAAATAGATATCGATTTATGATATATGCAAGTTTAATCCTTTTGAACTTGTTGTTTAATTTATTGTAATTATTAAATAATTTTCTCTCACTGATTTATTCTAAATCAATCCTTATTGTTTTCCAACTAATCTAGCAAGATTGTCGAATCTACGAATACTTCTCTTTATCAAATAATGTGGGATAATAGAAACAAGATTTCATCAAATCGAATCTATGTGGATAGACATGATTGTAAAACATCAATCTCTAATCAGTGATAAAACGGCAACTGTATCAGTTCATTTATTGTTGTTGTATCAAAATTGTATTGTTGTTTATTTACAGGCCTAAAGTGGAAACAAACTCTCTGAAGCTTGGCAAAGCGAATTGTTTATCAGAAACATCTGATAATACATTGGATGTTGAAGTAATATCATTCAACCATGGATTATTACCAATATTCGAAGAGGAAACATTTTCATATTGATTCGAATATTGTTGTTGTTGGTAGTGTTGATGAGAAACGGTTGGGTAACTCACTGATTGTGTTGAAATCGATTGTAATTGTTGTGGTGAAGCCATCACTGGTGTAGTTGACTTGGCTACCTTTCTTTGACCAGGAATTAAACATGTAGTATGAATATACGAATCTGACCAAACGTTAGTGGTAGAAATACTGTTTGATGATGGCTTTCTATCAAACTTGGAAGTTATAATTGGTGAAGATTGATTGTTGAAAACAACTGTTGGACTTGGTTGGCAAAATGGTGGACTATTCGAAAGTTGACTATTCGAAGATTGAAACCATTGATGATCCTTCTTAACCTTCTTTTTCTTATCTTGTGGACCAATACATTTCTTAATCCACTGTCTTGTATCTGAACGACTCTTCCAATTCGAAAGAATTACCTCACACATGTTTGATTTTGCTGCTGGTTGCTCATTATTCGAAAGTTGACTATTCTCAACCTTGTGTGAAAAGGAAAATGTACCAGGAATATGACTGATACCATTAGTAGTAGCTGCTGAAGACTTTCTGCCTTCAAAGTTTTCAAAAACAATTGCTTGTTGTTGATGTTGAGAAATTAATTGACCAACCATTGGTTGACTTTGGTTCATAACAATTTCACCAATCAAGGATCTTTTCTTCTTCTTACTTGGAGATTGGTTAGATGATTTGTGTTGTTTAGTTATTCTTCTACATGTAGATCTAGTGTTGGTTTGGTCCTCTTCCTCACTATTAGTAGAGGAAGAATATGAGGAGGAAGAATTATTCGAAACATGTGGAGAGGACATGGAAGAAACTCCACAGGTAGATATTTCTTGTTGACCATCATCTTCTTCTGTTGAAGTTGTGGTGCAGGTGGCATGAGAATGGACATTCATTGAATTTTCAACCATCATCATCATCATTCGGTTTAAATCTATTCGAAACTGTTATTTGTTTTTTTAATGTTCAGAAGCGCAATTGAGGAGGTTTGGTAAGAAATTTAACAACGCCACAATGAAGAGTCACCAAGCACATTCCAAACAAACCAAAAATCAACCCAGCATGGATTTGTGTCCGTCAAAAAACGAAGCGTCCAGAAAAGTGACAAGTAGAGAATAGTGCTTCCATTTTAAAACTATTTGGCGGGTAGCTTTTCGGTTGCCAGGTTACTTTTTAAACGAAAGATTGTTTTTAATTGTGATGAAGGTGTTGACTTTAGTTTGTGAGTGTTTGGCTTCCTTAATGTGAGTTCACTTCTTATTGGGGAACGTTTGTCTATGGCTGCCTAATCTATTCGAAAATTTCAATGTCATTTAGGTTTTGAGTTGTTAATTTCTTAAACTCTTTTGTCGGTTGTAGGATTGGAAGTTGGGTCAAGGTATTCGAAATGATTCGTATTTGGTTGGGTCAATGACGATTATCAATTATAACAACAACAGTAGATATTCTTCAAACAGTACATAAAGAAGCTTATGAAAACTGTAGAGAAGAAAAGGAATACAAATAAGAATCGATTATAGTACTTAGAGGATTCGTCCAAGCATGAAAATAAATGGAGAATGCAAACTCATATTTTTATTAACCAGTTAGCTATTCAGTCTAATGCGAATCCTATCTAATTACCACCATGTTCTGCATCCATAGCGAATCACCAACTTTCGAATATGTTAGCAAATCCTTTCTGATTATTGCAATCACTTTTGCATTGTCACTCACAGTATCACCATACGATAAACAAATACATTCTTCCTAAACCAGTTGATAATTAAAGTCCGCCTACTGTTTGTAAATGAAATCGTGATATTTGTGGTCTCGTCGAAGAGTCTTGTCAATCAAATAAACGAACAGTCAGTTTGCCTTTTTGGAACAATCCATTCCATTGAGAGTTGCTGTGAGATGGTATCGATTGTCTCTTTTAGTTTCTTATATTTTAGTGTTGTTCCTTGTATAAAAGCTATTTACAGTTTTTCAGAGGTTTGTGAAAAATTTACAGTTCTCGAGTGGTTCAACTCATTGGAGAGAAATGAGAGAAATGAGGAAAAGTGGAAAATTCTGGGTATTGAGATGTATTAATTGGGTGGATTTGGTTGTGGGAGCAAATTTGGAAATTATTGTCATTGGGGTAGCTAAATCCCGGTTGTATTTGTGAATGTGTGGATGCAGACCATGATTTTCAAATTAGCAACGATATCACCTTTTATTTAATTGAGAAAGGAGAGACATAAAAAACTAATCTGTTTAATTTTTGTTTATTTGAGAGAATTTGTCAACACTCAGTTGTTACTTACAGAACTATACTGTAGTTAACTACAATTTATTGTAAATTGTGAAATAGTGCATCTACATGGTTTCGTGTTCCATTGTCATTCAAACTCAATTCCTTAAAGAAAAATAAAATTGAATTAATTTAAAATTAATTTAATTATTTTAACATTTTCAAAATAAAAATTCCAATTTAATAAAATTCAAGTTTGATATACTTGGCATACTTCTTGGTAAGAGTTTCCAAACCACTCTTTGAAATGACAACCTTTTCTCTTCTGAGCATGTCATAAACATTCAATCCATCAATACTGAGGTAATCAGCATAATGCAAGTTGAATACACCTCTTTCAAAGTTTGCATTAACTTGTTCACCATCAATTAACAAGACACCTCTATCCTTAATTTCCTTTTCATGAGTTTCACTATCTGGGAAAACAGTGTTGGAAATAAGACCAGCAACATATTTGGTCTTGAAAGTATCAATTGAGAAATCATCAACGATAATCAATTTTCCTTGTTGGTATTTTGTTGTTAAAGCCATACGGAGAGCAAGTCTTCTGATTTTCTTGTTGAGATTGTACTCATAAGAGCGTGGACGAAGAGCCATAGCGTGACCACCTCCTCTATATTGTGGAGCACCTCTATCAGAGTGTCTGGCAGCACCTCTACCCTTTTGTGGTGTTTGCTTCTGCTTGCAATAAGCAGTTTCAAGACGATATTTAGTTTTGTGTGTACCTTGTCTTCTCTTAGCTAATTGCCATTTAACCATTAAATATAAAATGTCCTTTCTTGGTGTACAATTGAAAAAGTATGGATGAAGATTAATCATTTCGGTAAATTCTCCAGTTTTCAAATTCTTTACCATAGCTTCTGGTTGTATTTCAAATTTAGGGACGGCTGCTTTGGATGCATCCATAACAACTCTAGTACCGGAAGCAACATTTTTAGAGAGAGCTTTTTCCAAGGCTAATTTGTTAATTTGTTCTGGATTGATGAGTGGGAATTTATACTTGTTTGGTTTAATGACGTGAGTATTAATATGATGTTTAGCCAAAGCTTCACTATTTTGTGCTGATGTATGGTAGCATGTTGATGATGAAAAAACGCCCTTGTTTTTAATGGCGAGCGACAGCCACAGAGAATTGTGTTGTTGATGCACAGAAGAAGATGAGAGAGCCTTTCGCAACATTTTTTGAATCGATAAAATTTTTTTAAAACGCTTACAAAATTCAATTTTTAAAAGTTTAAATTTTATTTTATGTTATTCTTTGAAACATTGTAGATACTGTAACCGAGTTATCAATGATGATGAGATTGTACTTAGTAATAATAGAGAGAGGTGAAGCAAGGTACTACTTCATCACTCATTGACTTCCATCGGCTTTAAAAATTAATAAAATATTTTATTTTGTCTTTCCGTTAAACTTTTCTTCACAAACCACAACAAAAACAACATCTCGAAATAAACAACAAGATAAACAACAAGAAGAGATCTTCATTTGGTGTCCTTTCCTATCAAAGAGGTTGACTCTCCCCAAACAACAAACAACATACTTCATCCCCAATTAACTAACACCATTAATCAATCATCAACAACAAACAAAAATGCAACAACCTCTGAGGACAGAATTTTGCAAGGAAGTTCTCCGATCAACAGAGCAGTGCAAATTTATCGTCTCTGTAGTGTTAAAGCACAATCAGATGAGCACGGCACTTGGTGGAGGTGCTGGATCATCAGCAACAGGATCAGATAAGAATACATCATCAAATAACAAATCAAAAACAAATAATACATCGGAGAAGAATGTACCACTTTCAAAGAGTACAGCTGTTTTTGCAAAGAAGGAATTGGAATCAGTGTTGTTAGCACTTGTTGGTAACTCTGATAAACCAACAAATCTTGCTATTATGATTTTGGAATATTCAGTTGAAACAAATAGCTTCCGAATAAGAGATTTTCAACCAATCAAGAGACAAGATTTTGGAGTTAAAATTGTGGATGAAACACACTTTGATCTATTCTTTAAAAGACAAGCTATTGTTTATAATTTTCAAAGCGAATCAGCAAGTTCACAATGGTTAATTGTTTCTTCACTTTTAAAAGCTTGTAAACTTGTTAATGATGCTACACCTGAACCTAATGAAATTATTGTGGAGCAACCAGTGGTCAAAACTCCTGTCAGCAATACTCCATCAAATCGCTCATCAATTCTTAGGTCAACTAATGAAATGTCATTAACAGAATTTTTGGTTGATGCAGAAACAAATTTTGAAATAATACCATCACCTTCCACTGAATCAGAATGGTGTAATCATTACATTCAAAGAATGCAAAAAGACAAGGCACAAAAAGTCAAAAACGATGAATGTCAAGACATCTCCATTGATATGTTCAAAAAAACAAATCGTCAAACCTCCCTCTCGCAAAATGGACCAAATCAATCGAATGATATTGCTCAAAAAGCAACCATTAATACAGCAACAGATACTCTCTCACAAGAAGTTTCAAGAAAGGACAATTGGATTCAAAGACAACTCAAGCTTAAGGAAGACGAGTTCACTGAAGTGACACCAATTTCTATTGTTGTTTGTGCATGGAATGTGAATAACAAGTTCCCATCTGCTGACTCTAGTTTGGCCAAATGGCTTCATCTCGATGAATTTGAGGCTGATATCTATGCTATTGGTATGCAAGAAATAGACATGACTGCAGCATCACTTTTGAAAGAAGAAACTGAAACTGGTCAAGAATGGCAAAACCTTCTTATCAAGACATTTGCTGATGAGGCCAAACAAAACAGATACAAACTCGTATCTGCCAGACAACTTGTCGGTATTTATCATGCCATTTTCATTAAGGAATCCTTTGCTAATGATATTAATGAAGTAAGAAATTGTGCTGAAGGTGTTGGTATCATGGGCATGATGGGTAACAAGGGTGGTGTTGGTGTCAGATTCAAACTTTTTGATTCTACATTCTGTTTTATTACAGCTCACTTGGCTCCTCACATGGGAGCTGTCGAGAGAAGAAATCAAAACTTCCACGATATTGTTAAAAAGACAGATTTTGGAAATCCATCACTTTATAGACCTGACCAACACGACTTCTTCTTTTGGTATGGAGACTTGAACTATAGAATCAATCAACCAAATTTGATTGTCAGAGAAAAAATCAAACAACAAGATTACAAATTCCTTCTCAAATATGACCAATTAATGATTGAGAAAAACGCCAAGAATGCATTTGTTGGGTTTGCTGAAGGTGAAATTAATTTTGACCCAACCTACAAGTTCGACAGTGGTACTGATGTGTATGATACCAGTGAAAAGGGACGTGTACCATCTTATACGGATCGTATCTTGTGGAGAGAGGATGAGAAGAGTACCATCGTACACAAATCTTACAAATCATTCAAGGAATATAAAATGTCAGACCACAAGCCAGTGACTGCCTGCTTTGAAGTTGGTGTAAAGAAGATTGTTGAGGAAAAGTACAAGAAATGCTACTTGGATATCATCAAAATGTTGGACAAACTTGAAAATGATTTGTTACCAGAAGTTGCCATCACTGGCCAATGCATTGATTTCGAAGCTGTAAAATATGAGGAACCAATCACCCAAACCATCCTTCTCAAGAACACAGGCCAAGTTGTTTGCGAATACCAATTTGTGCCTCAGCCACATGAAAAAGCTCCATGTAAACCATACATGACAATTGAACCTTTGGAAGGATATGTTATTCCAGGTGAAACTGAAGAAATCAAGGTTACAATTTCAGTAAGCACCCAAAAAGCACTAAAATTATTGAGTGGTGAGGACAAGATTGACGATATTCTTATCCTTCACTTGAAGAATGGTAGAGATCACTTTATTTCCATTACAGGTACATATATTCAATCATGTTTTGGATCTACTCTGGATAAATTGGTCAAACAAAAGTGCCCAGTACTAAAAAGTGAGAGCGATGTAGAGTTGTCATCATTCGATAAGGACTTGAAGATACCTAAGGAACTGTGGAGACTTATCGATTTAATCTATCACAATGGCATGAAAGAGGAAGGATTATTTAAATATTCGGGTGCTGCTAGAGAAGTTCACTATATAAGACAATGTCTCGATGAAGGATCACCACTCCTTAATCCAGTTTCAAATCATTCCATTGCAGAATCTTTAATGACATTTTTGGAATCTTTGAGAGAGCCTGTTGTCCCATTCAAGTTTTATCAAATGTGCTTGAATGCTAGCACAAATTCTGCAACTTGCCACCATCTTATTTCCATGTTACCTGATGTACATTTTAACACTTTCCATTATTTAATGTCATTCTTGAGAGAGGTTTTAAAGTATAAGAAATTCAATAGTTTAACATTGGAGGAAGTTGCCATAATTTTCTCTCGTGTTCTTCTCAGATCTCCACTTCAAGAAAAAGCTCACCATACCCACGACGAATCATTAAAATACTACGAGGAGCAAAAGGCTAAGGCACAATTTATAGGACACTTCCTCAAGGAAGATAAGGTTTGGACTAGGGATGAAGTATTGAGAAGTGACGAATTGGAAGAAGATCTCTTTGATGCTCAGGATGATGATGTTTCTTCTGAACTTGCATCAGATAGTACCTCATTCTCCCTCCTTCAAAATGATCAACTTAAAACTTCAGAATCCAATTCTCATTCCAATAATCAACAGTCAACTTCCCAACCACTTTCTGCTGATGAATTCTTGTAAAATGCTAGTAAATTTAAATTTATTGTATTTTCTAACATCCAAGAATTTTTGATCCTTTAATCTTCACCAAGGAACAATTAAAGCTCTAATCTAATTTATTGAGGTGATTCATTGTGTATCTCAATAACAATTAACCAAACTTATTAATAGTGTCAATAAGTTCCAACAACCTTCTACGTCACACAAACAATGGAAAATTCATGAACAATTTGAACATTCAACTCCTAAAAATTCTCCCAACTCGCCTCCACGTAAGCAATTTAAAATCAAAATCTCCAAAGCTCCAAAGAACACAATAATAAAATTACTTCTTCGAGTTCCTCTTTCATAGAGAGAGAGTTTGTTATTGTTGTAGGCAATTTATAAAATTCCAAATTTAAAGGAGAGATACAGAAGAGCAAATAACCAAATAACCAAATAATATCCAGTACAAAAAAATGCATCAACAAGAATCAACGAATTTTGCAAATCCGAGCAGCCAATTGCCATCATCGGTAGTATCATCCTTATCATCATCATCGGAGGAAGAAGCAATTGTTTCGAGCCATTGTCAACATCATCAGCATAATTGCGATCAAGAAAGTTTGATAGATAGGGATGAGACACCAAGATTTGATAATTTTTATATTCCTATTGGTAAAGGAGAAGATGTTGAGGCGGAGGAAGAATTAATTCAATTCAAGATTGCTCAACTTATGATCAAGGCATTCCCTGAACATTTTGTACAATTAGCAGAAACAAATAATGAACAACAACAACAAATTGGAAGAATTGAAAAACAATTGAATATTACAATCAAGAAAAGTTCAATCATTCCAGGAGAAGAGGCTATTGTAGAATCTTCAGAATCAATGGAGAGAGTTATATCATCGGAGAGTTTGGAACTTGAGGATAAAGTTATTGGTGAGGAAACAGCTGTTGAAGAACATTTCTCTCATCACACAACTTTAATTCCTATCCATCACTTGGATGTTAAATTGAATAATGGAGGTGAAGCAACACCAATTGATGAATATGATGTCACCTCAACCGAATCCTTCTCCGATGCTGCAATGACATCAAGTATTACATCATCAAATAACAATTTGGATGATACTAATTCTTTGGATTCTCCTACCTTGTTTCCGAGTGGTGAAGATGGAATCTCACATCATGAAAATGATATGGCTGGATTGAATGAAAAGACGAAACAAAAGAACTTTTTAAAGAATGTTTTGAAGAATTACATTCATGTTAAACAATTAACCGGTGGAACAACCAACAGACTCTTTCTTGTAAAATTTGTACATAGAGAACATGATAAGAGTTCTTTGGATTATCCACAAAAGGTTCTAGTTCGTTGCTTTGGTGAAAATTCAGAGAATTTGATTGATCGTAAAGCTGAATTCCACTATATTCAACAAATTTCAACACTCTATAACGATCTTGCCCCTAGAATTTATGCCACCTTTGAGAATGGAATGATCTACAAGTACTATGAGGGTGGAGGTTTAGATGAGCTAGGAGGTGCCAGAAAGCACTATATTGAAATTGCAAAACTCATGAAGAGTATTCACTCTATTACTGTTAAACCATTTGCAGAGGAGACTCATTATCATGACTTGCAAGCTAGACCTGTGATTTTCGAGAGAACTTTCCGTTGGTTAGCTCTCTTGAAGCACAATAGAGACGAGTTTAACAAGAGAGGAGGAGACAAGCTATCACCAAATTCACCTCTCAATATGGACAAGATTGAGGAAGAAGTGAAACTTATTGAATCTTTGTGCAAGGATTTTCCAGTTAAATTCTGTCACAACGACCTCGGCGCTCACAATATTATTCTCAATGAGAAAGAGTCCTCCTACCACACAATTGATTTTGAATATTGTGCTTACAATTATGCTGCCTTTGATATTGGAAATTTCTTTTGTGAATTTGGTGGATTGTGTATTTTACCTGAAGCTTACCCAACATATGATGAGCAAATTAACTTTTTCAAGACTTACTACTCTGATTGTGAAAATGTTACAGAAGAATTAATTGAAAAGAGTAGAAGACAAGCTCTTGTCATGTCTATGGTCAGTAATTTGCATTGGTCTGTTTGGAGTATGCTTCAATCCATGTTTTCCAAGATTGATTTCGACTATCTCAACTATGCTGAAAGAAGAATGACTTGGTACTATGAAATGAGAGATGCCACTCTCGCCCTAATTCAATAAAACTGTAAATAATAACAACAATTAGATATTTCAATTAGAATATTTATTTATGTTTTGAGGCAGAAATTGTGACATTGTAATTTCTCGAGCTAGATGTTTCATCCAAATTGAGGAATGGTCCAAGTTTTGATTTAATATTTCCTCCAAAACAAACAGCACTAGCATTGCCACTCGTAACAATACCATAATGAGCATTATTTAAGGAGCAATCCAAAGTCACACAATTAGAATTATTGGTTGCAAATACACAACAAGAACCTCCTTGAGAATATTCATTTTCCACATAAACTTCTGGATCAGTCTTGTCTTCATAAATAATTGAGCATCCCTCCATTAATAAACTTCCATTCTCAATGAATATTACACAAGGTGTTCTGTTATCCTTTGGCGAGTGTTTGTTCTTTCCAGATTGATGTGAATTATTATATCTGTTTTGCATTTCAATTTGTTCATTCGAGAGTTGAGAGACGAGTTTCAAAGTGACATTCTTAAATCTCACATTTTCACTATTAATCTTGATCATTGGTTCACAATATTTAGAGCTGTGCATTTCAATTACACAATTCTCTAATGAAGAACCTCTAATTTCCAAAGGTTGGTCAATAGCAAGTGTTTGCAATTCAGTATAAATACCATTGTAGAGGTAGAATCTGATTGGAACCATCTCTGCCAACAGTGCTTGTTCACTAGAAATGAAAGTAAATTTCTCACTGAAAGAACCTTTAAAAGTGACAGAATCTCTCTTCTTGGATTTTCTAAGAGAGCTAATTAGCCTTTCATCAGCTTTTCTTCTTTGAAGTTCATCAAATAAAGTTTCCGATATGACAGATATTGGTTGAGGTGTCATGTTTTGAGTATCCTCTATTTCTGAAACAGCAGAACTCTCCCTACTCAGGAAGGATTCAACACTTGGTAAACTCTTTCTTGATTCACTCAAAATTGAACTGTCTGCTGGGGATGGCTCTGGAGTAGAATCTGTATCCTCATCAGCATCTCCAAACTTTCCAGAATTTCCAATTTTGATAAAGTGAGCCATTTCTCCCATTACATTCAAAATACTTTCGAAAATAAACATTAACCATTCATCACAATCATCTTGAGTTTTGGCATAAATTGCATAGGTACGATTGGCATTTTGAATTTCGAATGGAAACCACGATTTTTGGAAATCATTATCAAATGGCTCTTGAGGAATGATAAAACCAGAAGCACCTGAAAGAGCAGTAAAAGTATTCGTGAGTGAGAATCTTCTCTGATCTGATATACTAATTCTGGAACTGACAGATCTGGAACGATCTCTCTTACTCGATTCTTCAATTTCCATCAATAAATCTTCAGCATTCTTTGTCTTTTTCTTCTTTTTAGCTTGATTTTGTTTAAATCTCGTAGTTGCATTATAAAATGTCACTACTCCTTGTGCAATCATATTTTGCAATTTAAAATCCAAATCTGAAATGTTAACAATCTGAGTACTTGTCAAAATATTACTATCTGATGGATCTCTTCCACTATCCTTTTCATTTGGATCAGATTTTGGTTTGTAATAGTACAACATGTCATTCCTCAAAACGAAAAATCTTTGTTTCCATGAATTCTTCAATTTTCCACCTGATTTAATCAACCAACCCATCTTTTTAGATGTTTGATTTGAAGTATTTTGATCCATTACTTGAATTTGACCCTCCTTTATAACCAAATTCAAATAGTCAACCCACTCTCTCACAATCTTTTCCTCACTATTCAATAACCAATAAGATCTGAATGGTGTCTTTACCACAACAGAACAATAATCCAAATTTTGTCCATTTTCTGAAGGTGGTTTCTTACCATTCTTTATGGTATCCCCAGAATTGGTCAATTCAACACTAGCTCCTTTTAAAACAATGGCTCCTTTCGGTTCAGTATCTTCTTCGGAGGAAAAGTAAAATAAAGTATGATCGTGAATGACAAAGAGACGTTTCTTCCAACTTTTAATTCTACCTCCTTGCTTCCAGAACCATTCGTATTTGGCATTGGCACTCGCTTGTAGTGAATAAAACGAAATCTAATAAAATTAGAAAATTATTCGAAAGTAAAAACTTACTTTTCTATTTCTTCCTGTCTTTCCCATAATGATATATTAATGATGTTTCCAAGACACAAAGAAAATTTGAGCTCCTCTCTCTCTATTGAATGTAGTAGAACTTTTTTTAATTATTATTCGAATTGATGACAATTGACAACAACACGAATAGAGAGAACAAGCGAGAACGAATCTTCATTGATGAGACATTGGGTAATGCAAGTGTTTCCAAAGGCATCTTCTAGTAACCTTGAACTTGTCCCGAATAGCCCACTTTCGAATAGATAACAACACTAACAACAAAACTATTCGAATATAAATCCAAAAGATTTAGAGAGCTTCAGATAATGATAATACACACTACACGATGGTTCTATTCAGGAAGTTTATTTGATTTGTCGTTTTTCGAAAGGATTTAAAAGTATCCAATTCATTGAAGATTCATTGCATCATCATCATGATGTTCGGATATGCAACACAATATTTAGCCACAAGAATTGATTGTTCAAATAATGGATTTGTTATGATCAAAAAATTGCTTTCATTGTTGTCCCTTCTTGTTAATTATTAATAATTATTAATAATAATTAATTTTGTATATATTTATTGTATTATAGTAAGAAAATGATGATGAAGAGGAAATTACACCAAATCAATTATTTAAATAATAATAATAATAATACTAATAATAATATGCGAATGATGATGATATATGGAGTGATGATGATGATGATGATAATGTTTTCATCCTCCGTGAATTTATATTTATTTGCCAATGCCGAACTACAACAACATCTTCATCAGCACAAGCCTTTGATATTTAGTAATAATAATAATAAGAATTGGAATGATCGTATTGCTGAGGGACAATTATTGGCTGTTCCTAATGAGCCTTCAGGTATGTATCACGTGTCTTGTAATTCACAATATAATTGTTTTGTTCTTTATTTCTATTAATTAATGATTTAAATATATATGAATATTTGAAAATTATATGAATATTATATGGAATTGTACACTTTATCAAAATTCAAAAATTAATATATGAATTGATTGATTTGAATTGATGGAGTATAGATAAGAATTTTATGCCATCAATTTCTAATGGCTATTTGGGAACTGTTGTGGATTCTGATAATATCTATGTTGGTGGAGTGTATGTGGGAAAATATGTAGTGATTGAGAAATTAATTGGATTTCACAGTACTAGAGCTAGAATACCTGCCACTCAAAAAGTGAAATTGAGTTCTCCAAATTTACAGCAATTTGGAGTTGGATTGGATATTGAGAGAGCTGTCTATTTGAGAGGATTTAATTTATCAAATGCACAAATTGAGCAACGTTATTATGCTCATAGAGTGTACAGATCATTGTTGGTTCATCAAATTGAGGTTTCCAATTCAAATTCTTTCCCAATTACTATTAATATTAATAATTTGGATAGTCCTGCTTCTGCTGATATTTCTTTCAAACAAGTGGAATGTACTCATACCAATAATTTCAACACAAAATGTCATGTTGGTCAACTCACAAGTTTGGAAACACCTGAATCTGAAAGAGTTACAGTAGCTGTGGTTACATCTCAATTCCCATCCAGTATTCAAGTATCTGCAAATACTGAAACAACTTTTACCTACCTCACTGCCATTAGAACCAGTATCGATTCAGATGATCCATTGGGTGATGCATCCATTGACTTTATCAAGGGTATCACTATCAATCAACAGTCGCTTTATTCATCGCATGTTGCAGCTTGGGCAGAATTATGGAAGAGTGGTATTGAATTGGGTGGAAATGTTGAACTTGCAGCCAAGATTAATAGTACCTTGTACTACTTGTTGAGTAGTACCAGAGAGGATTATCATTGGGGTGTTTCACCAGGAGGAGTTGCTACCGATTCTTATAATGGGTTGATTTTCTGGGATCAAGAGTGTTTCGTTTTACCATCACTGGCTTACTTGCATCCAGAGCTTGCTAAAGGGCTCATTCAGTATCGTTTCGATCGATTGGAGCAGGCCAAATCCCATGCCAAAAAGTATGGCTATAAGGGAGCAATGTATCCATTCCAGACTGGATTTTCTGGTAGGGAGGTTGACCTGATAGCCCTATTTAATGAATTGGAACAACATGTTACTGGAGATGTTTCATTTGCTTTACAATTATTCTGGCAATTGACTAAGGATACCAAGTGGTTGAATTCAATTGGTTATCCAATGGCTTCTGAGATTGCCAAGTTCTGGGCTAGCAGAGTAACAAAGAACGTTGATGGAGTTCACTATGATATAAATAAGGTTGTTGGCCCAGATGAGTTTGGTATTGGTTTTCCATTGTATTCCGGTGTTGACAATGAAGTTTTCACAAATGCTGTTGCCCAAATTGCTCTCAGATTTGGAAACAAGGCAGCTTCTGTTTTAGGAAAATCTATCACTCCAGAGTGGAACTATATTGCTGGAAATATGACTATTCTATTTGATTCTGTCAACCAAATTCATCCAGAATATGCAAGTTTCCCAAGAGGTAACTTTTACTTTGGTGAATATGTAAAACAAGCTGATGTGGTATTATTGGGCTATCCTCTCATGTACGAAATGCCAACACAAATAAGATATAATGACATTAGATATTATGACAAGATAATGTGGAGTGAAGGACCAGCCATGACTTATTCTATGCACACTATTACTTATTTGGATTTGAACAATTTCACATTGGCTGCAGAAGCATTTAAGAGATCATTGTTAAATATTCACCCTCCGTAAGTTTCTCAATATCTTATACAACTAATTAATTGACGAATATTATGATAGATTTAATATCATTTCAGAAACATCTGATCCTTACAAACATTTCCTTGATATGGGGTCTTTCAACTTTTTGACAGGAGCAGGAGGATTTATTCAAAGTATTCAGAATGGCTATGGTGGATTGAAAATGTATGACAACTATATGTTGCTAGCTCCAAAAGATGTATCTCTTTTGGGTGCCAAATTTATCAAGATGAGAGGAGTGAATTATTTAGGAGGATCGTTCGATTTAACATTTGATGGAACAATTGCTACAATCAATATTCTGAATGGACCAAGTGTTAACTCTCAAACCACAAATTACAAATTAAGAGTAGGCACTAGTGATTCCATCCTCCCTGTTGGTAAAACATTATCATTTAAACCTCCAGCACAATTATATGTTTAATATGAAACCTTCATAGAGTGTACTATAATATTTGTATAATAATATTCAATTTAATTTATTTAAATATTATTGATATTTGGATAGAGACAAGAATGAAATGATTTATTGAGTTGGAGTTGGAGAGGTTTCTTGTTGAATTTCCTCTGGTGCTGTATTAGTCGAGCTGTGAAGAATTCTTGCAATAGAAAGATCATCATCTTCTTCATCAATCATTGCAGTAGATACCAATTCAATAAGTGGATTTGTATGATGTTTGGCATTAACTAGATATGCTTGCATTTGACCTTTTCCTTTCACTTCAACTTGTCGTTCTTCAAATTCGAAACCCAAATCATAAACTCGTTCATAGGTTGTTCTGGAAATTTGAATTCTTCCTGGAACACCTGTTGATTCCATACGAGAGGCTGTATTGATGGTATCACCCCATAGATCATAGGCAAATTTTTTAATCTTTCATAATTTTAAATATTTAAATATTATTTAAAATATTGTAAACTAGAATACTTACACCAATTACACCAGCCACACATGCACCAGTATTTATACCAATTCTAATATTCAAATATACACCTTCTTTCAAATTTCCACTCAGATTAAATTCCTTAATCACGTCAAATGTCTCAATGGCGAATTTCAACATATTTTCAGGATGGTCAGAGCAACCATTCAAACCACCAGTCACAAAATAGGCATCACCAATGGTTTTAATCTTTTCCAACTCATACTTTTCAGTCAACTTGTCGAAACCGTTCACCACAAAATTCAACATTTGCACAAGATCAGTAGCTTGCATGTTACTTGAGATTTTTGTAAATCCAACCATGTCTGAGAAGAAACATGTAATGTCATTGAGTTTCTCTGCAATGAACGTCTCACCCTTCTTTAATCTGGCTGCTACTCCTTCTGGGAGAATGTTCTTCAATAGATTTTCAGAGTTTTTCTTCTCCTCTTCAAGGAGTGATTTTTGTTTAGTCTCCGAAGTGATATCCTTAATGGTACAGACAATGATTAGTCCCTTTTCAGACATATTCATGGAGAAGAAGGAAATCTTGGAAGGAAACTTGGTTTGATTCAATCTGAGACAATCAACTTCCAAAGTTTCAACCATGCTTCGATTTTCTGCACTTTCGGATGCTTTCTTTGCTGCGTCCATTATAGAACAGAATGCCTTCTTTACCATTTCCAAACATTTTTCTTCGAATAGCTTGTAGAACTGAGCTCCAAGAAAGTCAGAAGATTTCGAGCCAAATAATCTGTGAGCTGCATTGTTCATTGCATCAATGTAACCAGATTCGTCTATGAGAATTGTTCCATCAATGTGTTTGTTGATCATTTCGGTAAAGCTGGAAATACTAAGACGATCTTCTTGTTTGCTTGTCTTGTGGCTAATCTTGTCGAGAATGACATTAGGATAACTATGATAGAGAACTAGGTTTCGTAAAACTTCATTTCTATCAATGTAATCCAGGGCAATGTAATTGAGCATCATTCTGGTCTTTTGAAGGGAATCCCAATTATTATTCATTACGCTGAAGAGTAAATAACCTAATACTCCAATACATAAGAATCCAAAAATGCTAAAACCGATCAAGAATCCAAACGAAAGTTCAGATGAAACTCTTACAAACTCTTGCATGTAAACTTGCAACTTTTTAGTCAATGGAATAGACATTCTAAACAAGTCATTGTGTTGCAAATATAACTCCAAAGGATCTATCAATTTTGATGGGTCTTTCATTTGCTGAATATAATGATCTCTGGTCAACTCACTAACTTGTGTCGTTTTTGTCAAATATAACGTCACAATCTTTTCAATTCCAGCACAATACTCCAAATAGTTTTCATAAGTTTCTTCCAAACTACGTTGGGCCAAGTAAAGACTGCAATTATTGACATCTACCAGAAGGGCATCCAAAACTGGATATAAACCAATGACAGGATCATCGTCAGGCTTTGTTACATCACCATAAATTAATTCAGACCATTCTGCACCTAGACTATCTGCTTGTTTTCTGATTTCTGCATACATTCCAACAAAATCATATTTGTTAAAGTATGGATGTCCATATTTAACATTTTTTCCTTTCACGGAAATGGAATTATAGCTCAATATTGGAAGACCATAGTATGTTAATAACTCTGTCAAGAAAAATGATGACATTTGTAAATTTTGCAAACATTCAGAAGAAAGGGCAACATTCGTATACGTAAACATTGCACTCTTAATAGTTGCCCTGCTCTCATAAAACATTAAACCAACACACAATGGAATGACAAGTGAAATTGCAATTACCAACACAATGACAGAGACATTTCCTCTCATCATTCGAGAAAATATGGACATTCTTAGGGAGGCTTCTGTATCAGTTTTGGTAGAAAGGGTTTGATAAACCCTTCCAATCAAATCCTTGCCAATTTGCTTGTCGTATACTTTAATCAGTCTCGAGATGAAAGTGAGCTCGTATTGAAGGAATAACGAGAAAAGTAAACCGATAATGATGTAAAAGCATAATGTTCCAATGAAAAAATATTCGAATTGGTAAATCATGTCATTGGCTTGAATATTGCTCTTCTTCATGAAATTGGAGCAGAATTCCTTGTATTGTAAAGAACTTGATTTCATATTAATCCATAGTAACATGAAACTGAAATCATTAACTGGATTGAGAAGTGTAGAGTTCAATAAACGTTCTTGAATTTGATGTCGGGCAGTTTGATTGGTTGTATTGAAGAATGCATTCAAATCGTTGAATGGAAGAACAGTTTTGATTTCATCCATATATTGCAATAAGGAATTAGTCATTTCAATTATCGACAGTGTTCTATTTTCTGGAATTCCAGTAAATTGTAATTTTGACCAAGAATCAGTTCCATTAACACTTGGAACCCTGAAGGAATATTGTGATTTTCCATATGCTGTATAGGTAGATGCATCAAACGCTACCAATTGACCTAATTTTACCAAGTCTTCCAATACTGAAATGTCCTGTTCCAATACTCGACGATGATCATCAACATATGCCTATAAATAGTTCATGTGAAATGGTTCTTTAAAGCAAAACTTACTGTTATATACTCATTTAAAAATCCATGTCTTTGTTCTGGCCAACTATATTCATTCAACACAAACATATTCACCCAATTTTGGAAAGCTCTCAAATTTCTAATTGTGGAAATTGGTGAAATTTGTGGAACACAAATTAATCTCAAATTTACAATATTTTTCTTAATAATGGCCCCTTGATAAGTGGACAAACCAATCGAGCCCAAAATTATAAATCCTCCCAGTAATAAGAATATGGCATAGAAAATTTTAGTTGCCGTATTTGATTTTAAAGTTTTCAAAGCATTCCTAAATAGGTAATCCTTTTTGAGTTCGCCTCCTGCGCCAGCAACACTTGCACTTTCCTCCAATACATCATCCAATAATTGTTGGTGAGCAAATTCAGCATCTGAAAAGAAACTAGCTCTCTTTTGAAATGAACCTTGTTCTGACAAGTTGTCATCTTTTGACATTGGTTGTGGCATAATTCTCGATGTCTTGTATTTTTGCAGTTTGACTGGTTTCTGCTCTTCCATTGCATTGGCTTCCAAGTACAATGCATGAGCTCCTTCCTTATCAAAATACACAATTTCCACAAATGAAGCGTACAAACTTAGTATTTTCTTTGTCTTTCTCGATAGGAGTTGTTTAAAGACTTGTTCACTCTCCATTGTCAACTCACTTATCTTATTGATAATATTCCTCAAACTG